CTGGGAAGCCCATCAGTTCAGTTCGGTTCAGTTGCTCAGTCGTGTCCGACTCTTTGCGACCCCATGAATCACAGCACGCCAGGCCTCCCTGTCCATCACCAATTCCCAGAGTTTACTCAGACTCATGTCCGTTGAGTCGGTGATGCCATCCAGCCATCTCATCCTCTGTCATCCCCTCCTCCTCCTGCCCCCAATCCCTCCCAGCATCAGGGTCTTTTCCAATGAGTCAACTCTTTGAATCAGGTGGCCAAAGTATTGGAGTTTCAGCTTCAGCATCAGTCCTTCCAATGAACACCCAGGACTGATCTCCTTTAGGATGTACTGGGTGGATCTCCTTGCAGTCCAAGGGACTCTCAAGAGTCTTCTCCAACACCACAGTTCAAAAGCATCAATTTTTCAGNCAACTCTTTGAATCAGGTGGCCAAAGTATTGGAGTTTCAGCTTCAGCATCAGTCCTTCCAATGAACACCCAGGACTGATCTCCTTTAGGATGTACTGGGTGGATCTCCTTGCAGTCCAAGGGACTCTCAAGAGTCTTCTCCAACACCACAGTTCAAAAGCATCAATTTTTCAGCGCTCAGCTTTCTTCACAGTCCAACTCCATACATGACCACTGGAAAAACCACAGCCTTGACTAGATGGACCTTTGTTGGCAAAGTACCCATAAGCCACTATTTTTCAAGATAGAGAGGTTGGTTATCTAATGATTTGAAAGATAGTCGGTTATCTAATGGTTTGAAAACAGCATTTTTTTTCAGTATAATAGAGTAGCATGGACCAGAAAAGTATAAAACAGAAACACCTCTTTTAAAAAAAAGACAGACACAAAAAAATAAATGCCCACATGAAAAATAATACCCTTTCTAAAAAGCTACTAATGAAACTACAGCTCATTATGCTGGGCAATGTCTTATATGTCACACAAATACCACTGTGACATTCTTCTTAAAGTTTAATGTTGATGAACTAGTCTCATTTTCTTAGGCAATGGGACCCAAGTAACTTATTATCTCTTTTCTGATCTGCCTGTCAGGAGGTTCATAGGTAAGTTTTTGCTCAATTACAGTACCTATTCTTATCTAGGTTTGGCTGATATAATAATGTGTTCTCAATCTTTCATTCTTTGGCATTTGCTCATTTTCCCTTAAGTTTTTTGGTATCTAGGTTTTCCTTTCTTGTAACTTGTTTGAAGGTTAATAAATAAGAAATAGAAGTAGTTACTGATATAGGAAAAAAATAAAAATGAATTAAAAAGGAGTTAGGGTCAAGAATAATCACCAAATATTAAAAACCAGTATTTTTTTCTATTTAATTATTTTCGATGGGCATGTATCATTACTTTTAAATTCTTAAAGCTATTTTTAATTAGTTTATGATGAATAACAGGCATCAGTGATTGCTAGAAAAGTGTGAGTTTTCCTGTTTTTCTAGAAATCAGTGAACCAGTCAGAAGATTTGAGGGTGGGACTGCCTTGGGGGTCCAGTGGTTAAGACTCTGAATTCCCACTGCACAGGCACAGGTTCAGTGCCTGGTCAGGAGCATAGAATAAATAAAAATACTCTACAAAATAAAAGAAAAAAAAATTTTTAAAGGAGATACAAGGGTGGCACGCTTTATATTTGTGTTTGCTACACAGTGAGGGGAGGATCTCACCCAGCTCCTTGAAAGAACTGTCACCTTTTTGTAGTTTCAGCACAAGTTAACAGAGATGGAGAACTGTCAGCCAGATGGACTTATAAATTATTTGCTTAGAGTTTCTGGAGGGAGGGCAGAGTTGTCCGTAGGAGCCAAAGAAAGACTTCTAGTACATCTTGAAATGTATTAATACTACGAAGTGTTAAAATATTATTTGCTTCAGTCACGTCCAACTCTGTGTGACCCCATGGACTGTAGCCTGCCAGGCTCCTCTGTCCATGGGATTTCCCAGGCAAGAACACTGGAGTGGGTTGCCATTCCCTTCGCCAGGGGATCTTCCCAACCCAGGGATCGAACCCACGTCTTCTGCATTGCAGGCGGATTCTTTACAGTCTGAGCCACCAGGCAGCCTATGAAGTATGGATGTGGTTAATTTCATTGGTGTGGTCTGAACAAGCCTGTTCTTGACCCCGCCTCCTCCTTCTCATGTCCAACAAGGAGTGGGGTGGTGACCTTAGAGTGTGAGGTCCTGACGGTCCAGAGTGTGCGTGCCCTGTTGGTCGCTGAAGCTCCAGCACCGAGCACTGGCTCCACAAGTGTGCTCTGAACTGGTGTGCACGGCCCCCACAGGGGCATGGTGTGCCAATCCATAAAAGTGATCGTGAGCTGGGATTAACAGAATCACCAGACACTGGGCAAGTTCTCTGCAGGCAGTGGGTCAGTCTCCCACGGGCCTGTAAACCATCAATGTGGAATTCAGGCAACCTGTGCTCACTAAAGCATGTCCCCGGTGTGAACCACAGTGGCACGTTGTCATAGGAGTTCCATGATGACAACTGGCCTTCTGAGGTTTGATCCCACTAAATAAACTAACCCTGATGACTCCAGACTGGAAGTCGTGTCAAGGCAAGCCTTGCCTGAAATATGACCACAGCATCACCTATCAGCCTTGCAAAATTAATATCTCCCTAAAGGCCCCACTTCCACCCACACTTCCACCCACCCCTTCCTTGCCAACGTCTACACTTCCTTCTAATGGCCTCTGAAGAACAGAATGAGAGCAACCAGGTGAGGTGGAAGGGAAGTGAGTTGGAATTCCAACTTTATCCTTCACTGATGATTCACTGGTGAACCCCATGTAACAGGGGTATTTCCTAACCTCTCTGAACCTCAGGTTCCTCTTCAATAACATGGATTTCATATTGACCCCAAGGCTGTTGGGAAGTGAAGCGCAGTATCTGTATGCACAGTGTCTAAATATGTCTCCCCTTTCTCTTTGAAAGTCAAAAGCATACAGCCTGAGCCCCAAGACTCCATGTGATCTGGCTCACCCTCTCCCTCACCCTCCAGGCACTGGGTTTCCCCCCTGACTTTGTGGACAGCCCAAGCACACTGCTGCCCCAGGGTCTTTCGTCTCTACTGCTGTTGCTTGAGGGGCTTCCCTGGAGGCTTGGCAGTAAAGAATCTGCCTGCAATGCAGGAGCCACAGGAGACATGGGTTCAATCCTGGGTCAGGAAGACCTCCTGGAGGAAAGCATGGCAACTAACTCCAATATTGTTGCCCAAAGAATCCCAGGGACTGCAGAGCCTGGCAGGTTATGATCCATAAGGTCTCAAAGAGTCAGACATGACTGAAGCAATAGCACACATGCATGCCATTGCTTGACCATTCTCCAGGTGTCCACGTGGCTGGTTCCTTCTTTGAAGGCAATCTTTTTTCAAACTCCTCCTCCCCAGCAGCCTGATCACAAATATGGATGGATTCTACTTTGTAGCTAGAGGGCAGATTCTCATCTCTAGTGGTCATTTCTATTCTTCGTGCTCTAGGAACGCCAGGCTGCCCTCAGCCAGAAGAAGGGTCCACGAGATGGAAATCGGGTCCTCATTAGAGAAAATGAAACACAAGCTCCACTCTAGCCCTCAGTGTCTCTGGCCCCCGACCCCAGTCCTGCCCCACTGTGGAAGTGGGCAGAGAAGGGACAGACAAACTGGACCAGCAGAGCCTGAGTCTGGTGTTTGGAACCCATCCTCCCTGCTCACACAGCCTCCTCCATCAGCCAGCAGAGAGGCCCAGGGATCACCTAGAAGCAACTCAGACAGCAGCACAGGTGCCCAGAAAGGACCTGCTTAGGTTCCTGGTTCCCAAAATGATGGCGTGTGGCAGGTGACAGTGAAGGGGCGATCGGGCCCTGGATACCTAGCAGCTGGGGCAGGCTTCTGATGTCCAATCCCGAGAGCAAAGCCCAGACAAGTTGTCTTGTCACCCTCTGGAGGAGCCACCTCTCATCTAAGATCCTCCCTCACCTGCCACCTGCCTTTGGGGATGAGATTTAACCTTGCTCGGCAGGAACTTCTGCCCTAGACCAGCATTCACACGGTCCCAGAGTGTCTCTCCACACGTGCTCACGCAGTCCCAGACTCACACCTGCCTTCCAGTCCCCCGTGCCCACTGTTCATGCCAGTGAAGTGAGCACCTTCCCCGGCCCCTGCCACTCCACGCCTCTCTCACGAACCACTGGAAACAAGACTCCAGACAGAAACCCCTTCTAGGCAGGGTCAACCCCACCAAACGCACGTGTGTATTCAACATCACCTGAAGATGCAGAAGGGTCATGCCCTGCTCCCCTAAACGCTGCCTCAATTTGCTTTTCCTCTTAAATAAGTTCCCGGGGAAAGACACGCCTGTGTTTCCCACGGTGTAAATGCCCTTTCTGGGGTGGATATGGGCTGGGAGAGACTTCCTAAAATTGTGAGGATGCTCCAAGAGGCTAAAGTCAAGTTGCAGGGGGTGACTCTGAACCTCTGTCCTCAGCAGACTTTCTGAATTAAACCTCAGTTGTTTGCTGAGCCGTTCAGATGTGCTAAACACCCCCTGACTTGTAACAAAGAGAAGATAAAGAGATTGGAATTGGTAATTCATCAATAAAAAGCCGCTGCACCAATCCCCTGACTCTTGTCCTACCTCTTTTCTCCTTGATAGGACATGAGCATCCAGGAAACCACCCCGGTGTCCCTCGCCGTCCGAGGGTGAGAGCCACCCCAGGGTGAGAAGTAGCTGGTCTGCGTGCCCCAGCATCCGGGGGCACCCATTGCTCCACAGACAAGCGTGGGACCCCTGAGCTTGGAGCCCCGGGACAGAGCGGTCTTGGGCTGAACAAAGGGCTTTCATGTCAGGGATCATAGACTGAAATTATGTCTGCCTGTCTAGCCAGCAGACGGATCCGCGGCGAGGCCCCTCCAGGTTCACCGGGGGTCACCAATCTCAAGGGTAGGAATAGGGATGCCCGCTCCTTCACTCCCAGCCCCCTCTCCGTCCTACAAGATTCTAGATGCTCAGGATCAGGTCCATGCAAGGGAGACTCACCATGCAGCCCCGGGGTGGTGGCCATGGAGCGGGCGCACCAGACGCGAAACCCCGACTGTCCCGCGGCTGCGCTGGCGTCTGCACTGGCTTATTCAGCCGCCGGGCTAATTCCATCTCGGCTCAGCTCCGTCTGGACGTGCCCGCCCCTGCCTGCTGCTGCTGTCTCCTCCCCCATCCCTCGCTGGGGCCACCCGGCCTCCTCCGGCTGCTGCGCCCTGGGCGCACCGGCCGCTAGTCGCGCCACGTGGAGGAAGAAGCGCGTTCCTGCCGGCGGGTTGAGTCTGGGTCACGCTCGGGTTAATGAAGCTGAGGGGCCAGACCATAAGACTGCGGCTCTCCCTGCCCCAAGCGCTGCCTCCTAACCTGGTTCGGGTGTGAGCGTTCAGCCGGATTATCTCTCGAACCGTCTGCCTGATTAGTTTCCAATCCCGCCCAGGAACCCTGCTTCCCGCCGCCCTGTGGCTGATTGCCTGGGTGGGGGCGGGTGCTTCCCCGCACAACCACCAGCTGTCCCCCACCTTTCTCTAGACTAAAAGGGGCAGAAGTGGAGGAATCTCGCCCCAGGGACAGGAAGAGGGGCTGCAAGTGGTAAGAGAAGGGGCAGGTTTTAGAAAAGCTTCCCAGGGAGACTGAGACCAGTTGAGGAAGCAGATGTTGAAAGCTCCATCCTGGGAAAAAAGAGGAGGTCCATCTCTCTGGAATGGCTTTGGTACCTAGCCATGGGAAGGGGGATGGAAGAGAAGACCTCCAGAGGGCCATTCTGCATGATGAAATCTACAATTCCAAGATTCCCCCAAGGTAAGCGAGTGCATTAATACCAGGGGCCCAGAAAATGAAAAGGTATTATGTTAACATATATGTCAAGTTGGCTCTGTATGACCACAAACTTTCCCAACTCCCATGTTGATAAGGCGGACTGGTGGGACTGCCCTCCACTTTATGCATGAGTGTTCAGTCTTGAAGTCATGCCCGACTCTTTTGGAATCCCATGGATTGTCAGGCTCCTTGGTCCATGGGATTTTTTAGGCAAGAATACTGGAGTGGATTGCCATTTCCTCCTCCAGGGGATCTTCCTGACCCAGGGATCAAACCCATGTCTCCTTCACTGAAGACAGATTCTTTCTTGCTGAGCTATTGAGGAAGCCCCTCCCCACTTTATACATTGTATCAATTGATGATGAACCTGAGACAGTAAAGGGAAGTCAGGAGCTGAGCAGAAGAAAACCAGAAACAGCATGTGCCCACCCTGGGCTGTGTCCTGGCCGCCAGGGGTAATCAAGGCTGGTATGGATACAGACATCCACTCCCTCCGCACCCTTCTCAGAGCCTTTCCCAAAGGAATGAGTTCAAATAACCGTTCTATGTTTTACTGCCTGTGTACCCATTTCACAGATAAGGAGACTGCAGTGGAAAGGTCAGGCCCCATATCTCTGAGGACTGAGCTCACTCCAGAGTCTGTGCTCTAACATTTGGATCCTGGCTCCTTTCTCTCCCAGACACACCCTTCTCCACCCTCTTCTGGGAACCTTTCCCTATGTGTTTCCAAAGCCAAGAGGACTGGAAACATTTCCACCTTGGTTCATCTCTTCTCTCTCTCCATACTCCCTGAGACTCTTCTTAAGACTCTCACTTCGGGGTACTGTCCCATCTGGTCTGAGGAGGACAAAACAGAGAGTCCTGGGAGAAGACTCTTGAGAGTCCCTTGGACTACAAGATCAAACCAGTCAATCCTAAAGGAAATCAACCCTGAATATTCTTTGGAAGGACCGATGCTGAAGCTGAAACTTCCAATACTTTGGCCACCTGATGCGGAGCCAACTCATTGGAAAAGACCATGGTGCTGGGGAGGATTGAAGGCGGGAGGAGAAGGAGGTGACAGAGGACGAGATGGTTGGGTGGCATCACCGACTCAATGGACGTGAGCTTGAGCAAACTCCGGGAGATGGTGAAGGACAGGGAAGCCTGGCGGGCTGCAGTCCACGGGGTCACAAAGAGTTGGACATGACTGAGCAACTGAATAGCAAGAGCTGGGACCAGAGGCAGACCCACCTTGGAACGCATGCAGAGTGGGAGAGCTCCCGGTTCACACCCCACTGTTTCTCCTTCAGCATCCTATTTACCCTGCTCCCTGCCGTTTTGTAAAATCAAAACATGCAATTTTTCAAGTTCAGCTTTTTCCTTGGTAGTGAATCATCCTGTTAGTAAATACGAGGAGAACTCCGACTATGGGAGCACTGAGAAATTGACACCCTCTGTTGAAGAAGTAGCCTCCCGCTGAATTTCTCAGAGCCCCACGCCACCAACAGCACCTCGTCCCAGGGTGGAGCATCAGGCGATCAGTCAGAAGAGAGACAGCTATTAATAATTCTCTGGCCCCGGATCTGCTTTCCCCCAGAGACCTTAGAGACTACTCAAAATTGGAGGTGGGGTGATGGATAGAGGGCGACAGCCTTTGAATTATTGAGCAGTTATATAAAACTTCTATCCATTCCTCCTTCCCTCTACCCGGCTAAAACTCCCCACCAACGCGACTCAACGCAACTCATGGCGTTTGCCTCCAATGTTATCTTCCCTGGAGGTTCTTCTCCAGTGGAAGCAGAAAGGCCTAAAAATGCAGCCCTCCCTGGTTCCGGTGAACCTGGAATCTAGGCTGAATCTGTCAGCACTAGATTCGTGTGGCTCTGGTGGACCAGCCTGAGTTCTTGCCCAGGTGTCCAGGTCCTCGGCTTCTGAGCCTGGCGTTGCCACCCAGCCGCTGTGTGACCTTCGGCAAGTCACTCAAGCTCTCTGAGCTACTTTCATCCTCGGTGAAGGGGCAGGAGAGGGCAGTGGATGAGATGATGTCTAAATCCTTTCCAGCTTCATTGTCCAGTGCCTGCACTGAGTAGCGTCTCTCTCGGGGCTAAAAAGGATCTGATGTGAAAGCCTGGGCTCCCTCTCCACTCCCCACCCCCCACCTCAGCACCAGGCTCAGAGCAGCCCAGCCGTCTCAACCCGGATGAACCACCAGCCTTTGACGAGAAGATAGATTGGCCTTTATTGTGCGCCCGGGAAGGTCCGGGAGCAGAGTGCGCATGCGCGCGGCGCAGGGGTGGCCAACCCTAGCGAGAGGCAGCGGGTGTCCGCGGAGGGCTGGCAGCACGTCACGGGCTGCATTTCCTGGGGGAGCATTTGCACTGCAGGGCGTTGAGGACCACGTGGTAGATGACGGAGCCGTTGGTACAGCGCAGGGGCACTCGCATGGGCTCCGTGCGCGTGGGTGAGCAGCAGGAACACTGGTCCGGCACATCCTCCGTGTCGATGGAGTACAGGGCTTTGCTGGTGCATCTTCCCTGCAACGGGAAAGAGAGAGGCGGCGACGCGGGTGATGCAGAGTCGCAGGGTGGGGAGGGCTCTTGGGGCAGCCCGCTTCCTGCACCTGCCCTCCTCTAGGCCTGGCCTCCGCCAGAGGAACCCAGGACAGCCAGGCAATGTGTCTGAAAGGCCTGCCCTAATGGAACTCTCACATCCAGCCCTATAGCTGCGATTTCTGTGCATGTTTGATGGATCTCCAGGGAATGCAGCTCCCACGTTCCATAAGTAACCCTCCATTCTCTTCAAAGGACGCTTTGAATCACTGCTGATTTTTTTATCTTCTGGGGTCAAAAGTTCTCAGTTACTTCAATAAAATATTTGCTTTCAAAAAAAAAAAGGAAAAAGAAAGTTCCTAGTTTCTTTCACATCTCCTCCTTGTGAACTTCCCAGATCTTTCCACAATGTATCTAAAGAGAAGTGTTCAAATGAAGAGACCCATCCTCTGAACCAAGGACTCCTTACCTGGCAATAGTGAATGTCCACTTCCTCTTCAGATGTGCAGTCTCCCACCTTGATGTGCTGCACCCTGGCCGTGACGTCCTTGCACTCGGGCTCCTCACCTACAGGGCAGGTGAGAGATGGGAACTGTTCTCCCATTCAACACTGTCCACTCCAGTTCCCTTATTCACTGGACATAGGTCAATTTCACAGTAACCAGGTCGCCACAGCCAGCTCCAGGAGGGCAAGTCAGTGATCCTGGTTCCCCTCAGCTTCTCCTGCTGTCGCTTCAGTCGTGTCCAACTCTTTGCAACCCCACAGCCTGCGGCTCACCAGGCTCCTCTGTCCATGTGATGTCCCAGGCAAGAACACTAGAGTGGGTTGTCATTCCCTTCTCCAGGGGATCTTCCCAACCCAAGGATCAAACTTGCATCTCCTGCATTGGCAGGCAGGTTCTTAACCACTAGCACCACCTGGGAAGCCCAGCTTCTCCTGGCCCTTCATAATCAGAGATAAAGATATCACTGGGTTGAACTCAGTTAACGAAAAAATTCTAACTGCAAGAGAAGCCTAGATTCACTGTGCTTTGGTGATGTCGATGGATAAGACTTACTTTTATACAATTGTAGACTCTAAAAGCAATAATGATCAGAGCAATCCTCTTGTGCTTATAACTCTGCATGTGTGCGAGTTGCTCAGTTATGTCCAACTCTGTGACCCCATGGACTGTAGCCTGCCAGGCTCCTCTGTTCATGGACTTCTCCAGGCAAGAATACTGGAGAGGGTTGCCAGTTTCTTCTCCAAGGGATCTTCCCCACCCAAGGATCAAACCTGCGTCTCCTCCATCTCCAGCATTGGCAGGCGGATTCTTTACCACTGCGCCACCTGGAAGGCCTGCTTATACTATACCCAGAAGCAAACAGGCAATGAAGTATCCAATAAGTACAATTAATATCTATTCATCCCGGTGAATGTCATTGTCTCCCTGGGGACTGAGAAGATCCTTGCAGCCCTTATGGAATCTTTGCTTTGAGTAAAGCCGTCTCCTGGTCGCAGGCATGGGTTTCCTTACCACACAGGGGTTAACAGCATTCAGCTCTGAATCTCTGCTTGCCCCACTGATAATTCTAGGATTTAATGTCAGCTCACTTTTGCCTGTCCAAACACTGGGAGTATTCCATTCCTGGATGGCTCCAAATCTAATTCAACCTTAACTACATATTAGCCAGCCTCCCAATTTCCAAATAATTTCATTTTAAAGCAAAAGCCTGCCAACCACATTAAGAGGGTGAATGAGGAAAACATATTGAAGCCAACACACAGTAGATTTAAATCCCCGAGCCTGGCTTATTTTCCTTATGGAGGGTCCCCGTCTCCTGAAAGCACTGAAGCCCCGGTTGGCCTCATTGCTAGTTTTGCAGATAACAGCCTTGGCCAGATTGCCCCTGCAGCACGCCTAGAGGAAAACGCGTCTCTTCCTGGACGGTTTCCTGATCTCAGCCATGCAGACAGGAATCACAGAGAGAGATGCTCTCAGAGTGTGTCCCCTCAGTCTGCAGCTTGGTTACAGCAACTCCATGGACTGTCAGAGTGAGCCATCAGGAGAAGAATAAATGACTGACCACTGAAGGTGTTCATGTTTTCACTCTTCCTTTCTTTTCCCCATGGGCTTCCCTGGTGGCTCAGAGGGTAAAGAATCCGCCTGCAATGCAGGAGACCAGGTTCGATCCCTGGGTCAGAAAGATCCCCTAGAGATGGGAATGGCTACCCACTCCAGTATTCTTGCTTGAAGAATTACATGGACAGCAGAGCCTGGTGGGCTATAGTCCATGGGGTTGCAAACAGTCGGACACAACTGAGCAACTCTTTTCTTTCTCTACCTCCAAATAAACATGGGAACATGGACCCAGGAATCCAAAAACAAACAAACAAACAAAAGCTAAGTAACTAAACTAAAAAAACAATGAATATTAGTGCAGACAAGTAATTCTATACCCAGAGAATACAGCATGAACTTTGGGATTCTGAAAGGTATGTGTGCTCATGGAAACAAAAATGTGTAGTGAGATGCTTTCTGATGAGCAGACTGGAGCTCCATCTCCAAAGCTGCTGTAGTAACTACTGAAGGACCAACCCATGCAACACACGTGCAAGGTCAGGAAGAGCCAAGGACTTCCCTGGTGGCCCAGTGGTAAAGAATCTGCCTGCCAACACAGGGGATACAGGTTCGATCCCTAGTCCAGGAAGATCCCACATGCCTCGGCATCTAAGCCCATGCACCATGACTACGGAGCCAGCATGCTCTAGAGCCTGTGCTCAGCAACAAGAGAAGCCACCACAATGAGAAGCTTGCACACAGCAAGTAAAGGTAGCCCCAGCTCTCCACAACTAGAGAAAGCTTGGGCACAGCAATGAAGACACAGCACAGCCAAAAGTAAAGTTAATTAATTTTAAAAAAGAACAGGCGAGAGTGAAAGAGAGGAGGTTAATAAAACTGGTTGATGAGACCAGCCTATCAATCCTTGAAAAGACTGTGTTTCTCTGCAGCCCCACAGCTAGCTTCTCGCTTCCCCTTCTCTCTGGGATACCCAAAGAATAGAGGTGTATTGAGTGTCTCATCTGTTGAGATCATAAATCAAGGTGCCTTGTCTTCAAGGAGCTTCAAGGGCAGAGAGAAGACATTCTCTTGTGATAGGACTGTGACCAACCCAAGACCCAACAAGGAGAAAGGCAAGTAAGAGGCTAGTGATTGCCAGGAGTCTGGAAGAAGGAAGAAGAGACTGGTTTACAGGCATCTGAAAGGAGGCTTGAGGAGGGGGCAGTCCAAGGACACGCGAGGCTGGGTGGCAGTCCCCTGCAGAATGGAATGCAATGACTGCACTCTTTCTAGAATAAAGTTCACTTCGAGGAACATCCCCTGGTCTGGATCTGATGGGTTTCAAGGAACAGACTATTGGTAATGTACTTACATGTGTCACAGCACGTGCCAGGAATTTTCACGATTTTCCCCTAAGAAAACAGCAAAGTCCCGAGTTAGGCACAAATAGTACATAGTGGACACTTTCTGTCACTCCAGGCCAAGTCCTGCCTCTGGACTCACAGCCCAAGTCCCCCGAAGTAAACAGGCCGTCCCATCACAAAGGTGAGCAGACTGACCACCCTGCCCAGCCAGGCTGAAACGGTCCTGATTATTCCGAATTCTCTTCCAGTTGAGAGTCACCAGGACTGTCATTCCCAGGGGAGACCATCAGTCAGTTTGGTCTCTCACCTCCCCATTCAAGGATCACAGATCCAGTCTCCCCCAAGGGGAGGTATTTTCTTAGAGCATCGTGGAGAGAGTTTCACCTCTCCATCACGCTGTGATTTGGGTAATTTTGTTGATTTTTAAACTAGGTCGGGGTTCTCCTTGAACACTGGGAATCACGGCAGAGCTGGACTGCCATTCAGAAGAACCTTCTTTCTTTAGTCAAAGATGGAGCCAGTCGAGAGGAAAGCAGGGCCTGGGCTCTGGCGGCTCACCCCCTCAGCCAGACATTTGTGTTCGTTGAAGGGCGGGCAGCCCGTGACCCTCTTCTCCCAGATGAACTCTCCTCTCTTGTTGACTTTGCAGAAGTGGCTGTCACAGCCATCCTGGAGTGTCTCATCACGCTGAAAGGAAAGACAGGATGTGGGTTGAGCACATCTGAAGCAGCCCTTGGGTTTCAAAGCCACTTCGAACAGTGGCCTTGACTCTCGGAGTTGCTGAGACAGTGCAGGGGACCACAGAATAAGAATGAGGTAGGTGCAGTCTGGTTTTGCAACCTGTTTCCTGGGAACAGGGCTGTATGAAGGCAGGGAATCCCTAAACTCTTCTGACCACATAACAGCGTAAAGAATTAAGATGCAGTGGAGGTAAACTGGCCAATCAATAGCTGAACTAGAGATGAGTGCCTCTGACCGAAAGATGAGTGAACTAGGCGCCTGCCTCAGCAGCCCATCCTAACTTTCACAGATGGGCATCTCTGCCACCTGACTGCCTACCCTGTCTCAGAGATAATCGAGGCTGGAGAAAATCTTAGAGGTCAACCAACTCTCAACCATGGGGGCCCACACCAACTGTCCCCTTGTCGAGGAAAGTGACACAATAACTAAATCCTACACCTCCTAAAGGTTATCCATCTTTTCTTTACAAAAAATCAGAAATAGGCATGAAAAGAAGTCAATATCGACCCAAACTTGGCCCCCTCTTTCTTGAAGAAAAGATCCCCAAGCAAGGAAGCAGACGGTGATCTGAGGGGACAGTCTTGACTTCCACTTGCCCCCACCTTCAGCATCAGGATCTGTCCTCCTCGCAGCTGAATGGTGCACGCTGTAGGCAGGCATCTCCCGCAGCATTCGCCCTGGAGCTTCTCTTCCACGTAACCCTGGAACCAGGAGAAAATGCAGCCTCTGTGAACCTTCCCCAAAGACCCCGTCCATAAGTAAGCCAAACTGTAAATGATTTCATCATACCCAGCTGCTCCAACTAGAAATCTGGGGGCCATCCTTGTCCCTGCTCTCTTTTTCTCATCCCCTGCCTCGCCCCTCACTCACTCATCACCAGATCTTGCCAAAAAATGCATCTTGAACTCATCCACTGCTTGTCATTCCAGGGTCCTCTGTCATCACCGAGTCCACACAATCACCATCTGCCACTGGACTTTGTCACGGTGGAAATTGCACCCTGCCTCCGTCCCTTCCCCTTCACGGTAGGGGAAAAGGCTGTAGCTTCCTGACCACAGGATTTCATGGTTTTACAAATATGCCCCCAAATCTGGGAGACCACACAGGGTAACCAACTTTTTATTTTTGCAAAGAATTTTCAAACATGCTAACCAAATAAGAACCAAAAAGCAATCATCAGTTGTCTCATCATTGCATTAAAATTTAAGCTCTTTCACCTTTCCCCACCATGCCAAAAGGGACTTCCCTGGTGGCTGAGACAACAAAGAATCTGCCTGCCATGTGGGAGAACCGGGTCCCTGGATCGGGAAGATCCCCTGGAGAAGGGAATGGCAACCCACTCCAATGTTCTCGCCTGGAGAATTCCATGGACGGAGGAGCCTGGTGGGCTACAGTCCATGGGGTCACAAAGAGTCGGACACGACTGAGCGACTAACACTTTCACACCATGCCAAAAGGAAAAAAAAAAAAACAGGAAGAACAAAATTTAGTAAAATTTTAAAAGAATACATTTAGCTATGTGAAAGCCAACTATGGTGTCATTTTTTTCATCTTGCTACATTTAGTAGTGACCACTTAGAGATTCATTCCTTGGGGTCCTGAGGTTTTCCTGCTGTGAATCCCTAGCAGGTCAGCCTGGAGTTCCGGGCAGAAGACCCGCTGTCTCACAGGGCGCCTGTGTTGACTGCACAGAGACTGCTCCTAACCAGCAGGGCGGTGAGGAGTCTGTGAGAGTGCACTGCACCCACCAGGGAGGCTGCAGAGAAAGCCAGTGAGGACTGAGCTTGCAGCAGAACAGGGCGACTGGATGGACCCTGGCTACACACATGCTTGGAAGGACACCGCCAACATCTGAGGCCATGGGGTAAGCTTTAGCTGTGTTTTCAAAATCACACGATTCCTGAAGGTGTGGACCATGATGGATGGGAGAGGAAGAGAGAGATGGGGAAAACAGCATGAATGCATGCAACTGGTTATTATCAGAACGAGGAAATAAAATGGGGTTGACATCAGACAGGATTTCATGGGAGCCTGGATTGGGGCATTTTCTAGTGAGTGCTAGAAGAGACTAGGAAATACCCTCTACTCAGCCCAAAATCTTTACAGGAGACATGAGGGGTGGGGGACAAATGGAGGAGGGGGTTGCAAAGTGAAGAGATGGGACTGTGGAGGCTCCATCCACACCCCAGAGGGGCCAAGGGCATGGTGAATTCAAGGATGAGGAAAGATGGGGGGCGTCATGGGAGGGAAAGGGACCGGAGGAGGTGGAGGATGGGGTGGGAGGTGAGAGGAGGGGGCACTGATTTCAGAGGAGCAGTGGACTGGGGAAAGAGGGAGGGGAGGGGAGGGAGCAGGCTGACCTCACTCGCAGGAGAGAGAAGAGACCCTGAGAGGCGAGAACACAGGCGCACGGGTGACAAGCGTGTCTGAGCACTGCTGGGCTTCCAGCCACTGCTGACCGGACACCCACTGCACGGCCACCAGGTGGACCAGGAGCGGGCAGGGCTGACCGGGCTTTCGCTGGAGCATCCAATCAGCAAGGGCCAGACGTCCCGCCAACCACAGAACTCAGGTCAGAGCAGCCAACGAGCCCTGCTGCCCTGTCCAGGGAGGCCCCCCAGGCTCTTCTCACAGGTGTCTCCCAGCCCTTTTCACAAGCTGTGTCGGCCACTAGAGGACCCCAGTCCTATCTCCCCACTGCCCTTACTCTTTTTTTCTTTTCTCCCCCTCTTTTTAAACTTTTTTCTCTTGTGAATACATTTATTAACATCGGTCATATGCACGGTTTACAACTGATAATGAATAGTGAATATGGGCTTCCCAGGTGGTGCGAGTTGTAAAGAAAACCTGCCTGCCTATGCAGGAGACATAAGAGACACAGGTTCGATACCCGGGTCAGAAAGATCCCCTGAAGGAGGGCATGGCAACCCACTCTGGTATTCTTGCCTGGAGAATCCCATGGACAGAGGAGCCTGGAGAGTTACGGTCCATGGGGTCACAAAGAGTCAAATGCAGCTGAAGCAACTTAGCACACATGCACAGTGATAATATAATATTTTATACATTGCACTTGAAACTATGTGGGTTATTTTCAAATCTCTTTTGATATTGATTTCTAACATAATTCCACAATGTTAAGAGAACAGAGTTTGTGTGATTTCAATACCTTTAGACCATGAAATTTTTGCACCTTGTTTTATGTCCTTGGATATGTTCCAGTGTCTTGTGGTTTATAGTCTATGGGAACTTGAATAGAATTTTGCATCCTGCTGTTGTGTGAAAATTGTACAAATCTTAATTATGTTGAATTGGTTCATAGAGTTTTTCAGGTCTACTGTATCCTTCTACTTTTCTGTCTATTCATTCTAGTAATTCTTGAGAGTTTTATATTGAAACTCCAACTAAAAACCTTAATTTATCTACTTAAAAAAATCTTTGCAATATCTAGTAGAACTATTTTTTTTTTAAGCCTTTAAAAAAGAGAATGTACTTTTTTTTTTTTTTTTTGGAAAGCCACTGCCTTTACCCTTGCTGATCTGCCAGTCTGGCCCCATTCTGCCTCCTGGGAGGTCACTGCTCAAGGTCAGCCCAAGGTTATGCTCCTTCGGGAGGCCTTCTCAGTGTTGCCGGTCAGGGTCATGTCTCTTCCCCTTGCTTTCCTTTGTCTCTACCAGCACAAACCACCAGCACAGACCACCAGCTGCTGGGCCCCTTGAGGTATAAGCATCATCTCGCCTGGAGGAGACAGAGGGCCCACGTTTCTGGTGATGCTAACAGTTCCATCTGACATTTGCAGTTCAAACAGACTGGCCTAAACTTGACCCAGCACAGCTCCCCACCTGCAGGAGGCCTCCCGGAGGTCCAGGGAAGAATGCTGAGCGACAAGAGGGCATGTGAGGCAGAGCTCAGCAAAGACTGAGAGACACACAGCGGAGCTAGTCTCCAGAATCTCAAGGGGGAGGAAGTGAGATCACTGCCCTGGGGGTGTGCGTGCGTGCGTGCGTGCGTGTGTGTGTCTGCTTGGTTGCTCAGTTGTGTCTGACTCTTTGCGACCCCATGGACTGTGGCCACCACGCTCCTCTGTCCATGGGACTCTCCAGGCAGGAACACTGGAGTGGGTTGCCACTGCCTCCTCCAGGAGATCTTCCCCATCCAGGGATTGAAACCGCTATCTCCTGCGCTGGGAGGCGGATTCTTTACCATCTGAGCCATCAGGGAAGCCCGCACTGCCCTGGGGAGATGCAATTTTGGAGAAGAGGAGGAATACACAGACCAAAGGGGGCTGTGGATTTAAAAATACTTAGAAACCTGTGTCTAGAATGGATTCTAAAGCTGGGTACCTAAGGATGCAGAGGAGATGGCTATGCCACCCTCTGACCACCAGAGGGCGCCAGGAGAGAGTGTGCGCATATCTCTGACCCTTTCCGGCAGGACAGCGGGGGTGGACCTCTCTCTCCTGGCACTGATTGTAATTCCATGGGCATTCAGGTGAAGGGGTGCCACAGACTCCAGACAGCATCATTCCTTCCCATATGCAAGTCCAGATGTATCAGGGGAGTCGTCTCACACACACACACACACACACACACACACACACACACACTCACTTGCACTGGAAATCCTAAAACAACTGGGATTTTAAATTAAAAAAAAAAACAAAAACACACATTTCATTCCCTTCTTCCTCACTGAGGCAGGGATGTTCTCCTTGAGCCGTTCTATCAGAGACAGAATGTGTATCCTGTAGATCCCTTCATTCCCCGTGTATGTTATTAAGCCCCTCTTTGGAGCCTCATACAGTGCACAGGTGCAGAACACATGTCCTCAAGAGCGCTGACCGCACCGGCTACAGTGCTCCTCATCCCTCCTCCCACCGCCGCTCCCCTCTGGCCACTGCATTGCTCCTCTGATGAGAGATTCCTCTCCAGGAACCGTCCAGCCCCCACCCACTGCTCCACCACCTAGAAGAGTGGTTACTATTACGTATTCTGTGCATCCAGCTCACAAGAAACTCATCTGACCAACTGTATTTTCTAAGACAGCAGGAGTCCCAAATGCAGGGGGCAGCCTGCAGAAGAAGCCAAGGCGTCCTCCTCAGCATTGGGTGCAGCTCTGTGCAAGGGAGGGGGGTTGCTAAGAGTCCTGATTAGACCAGTGAATGCATGCTCTCCTCTACTCCACTAGAAATGATGATCCAGATCCCAGATCCTACTCCACGTCCCAGCTCCCACCTGTGGAGGTGTTCAAAGCAAACCCCATCATTGCAACCTGGCAAAAACAGGGTGAACTATTTTAGGTCACCCCAGTGTCCAATAGGGCTTCCCTGGTGGCTCAGTGGTAAAGTGTCTGCCTGCAATGCTAGAGATCTGGATTCAATCCCTGGGTCAGGACGATCCCTCGGAAAAAGAAACGGCAATCCACTCCAGTATTCTTGCCTGGGAAATTCCACTGGACAGAGGAACCTGGTGGGGTGCAGTCCATGGGGTCACAAAGAAGCGGACAGCATTAATAAAAGTATACTTTGAGGCAGGTCCACTCCTGCCTCAGAGAATGTTGTGTAGAATTCTGCACATAGCAAGTTTCTGATAAATAACTGTGAGCTAACTGGCAACTGTCAGATAAATATTTGACTGATTTTTAATGTTTTCAAAGATCAGTAGTGATGTCACTTACAATGTTGCCTAAAAGAAGAATACAGAATTGTGAATATGATCTCAGCCTTGCAAATATAGGAAGAAAACGTTTAAAATGTACAAAACTAAATTAAAATTATTTCTGAGAAATGCAATCTGGGTAGGTGACTTTTAGTCCCTTCCTGACAGTTGTCAGATTTGTCCATAATCAGAAAATCATGAAAGCTTGTATTTAAAGATCCTGGTGAGGTCCCATTGCCTGGATCCTATAAGTACCCAGCTGACCCCCCAGCACCCCCCAGCCACAGCCTCTCTTACCACAGGGCAGGCCTGGCAGGTGGTCTGCCTACACTCCAGCTTGAATCCGGAGATGACCCCCGCCTGCACTGTGCAGCGGCAGGTCATGCATGCGTCAACCATCACAGTCTTCCCAGGCTGGAACCAGGGGGGACCAGGGTCAGGCCTCCTGGCACCCCGGTCCCCCAATCCCCGACTGCCCTCAGCCCCATGAGCCATCTGTCCTAGGTGTGGGGCCTGACTGCTCAAAGCTGCTAGGAGCCATCATCACCCCAATTCCCCTCCGGTCCCCAGAGGCCACTCCCTCCCCCACTATCCTCTCTCAAGGATGGCAGTGGTGAGAGTGAGGGCTTTCTCTGGGGCAGAGGGAGAGGGAACAGACTGACATCTCCCGTGCCTGGGGCTGGGGGACCGGGAGGTGAGCGCTAGAAGGTGAAGGTGGGACCCAGGCCCTGGGGAGTTGGGGCTTCTACTCCAGGATGCCTGGGAAGCCTAGGAGCAAGGGAAGTGTGGGTGGAGCAGAGAACCCGGGGTCCTGTCATTTGCACTTTCATTTTCAGATGCTGCCCACCCTCCACACAGCCCCTGTCCCTGCCCCCCTGGGGAGAAGGCATCAGCTCACCCCGATGATGGTGCCGTTGAGCACGCAGGCCTGCACGGGCTCTGGGGAGAGACAGGCGCAGGACGTGAGTGATTGGAACACACCTGGTGGAGACCTGCAACCTGGCTGCTCCGCTGGGCTGGGCCTCCCTCCTCCACCTGCCAGTCCTTCCCCCCACCCCACGCCAGGCACTGTGGGTCCTCCTGCCCACGTGGCCGCACTGACCCCAGGCCCCCCAAGGATGGGCAGCTGCCTGCTCCCCACCCTCCAGCCCCCTGGAGCCCTGGAGGGGAGGGTGCTTGTTTAAGTGATTCACACTGGGTGCTGGGCTTGTGAAGGAATGAAAATCTGCTTTGGAAACTTAAGTCCCAAGATAAAATCACACAAAGAATTCAGAGTAGGAGGTGGTGAGAGTTGTTTGTTGTTGCTGCCGCTATTGGTTATTTGGTTGGTTGCTTGCTTGCTTGGTTGATGGTTGATTGGTTGTTTGGTTGATTAATTAATTGGTTGGTTGGTTGGCTGGTTGGTGGGATTAGGAGATGGGCAGTTGGAATACCTTCTCCAGAAGAATGATGAAGAAAGCATTTCTAGAATCAGAGAAGCCTGGGTCCAATCCCAGTTCTACCACTCAGGTGAGCAAATGGAGGTATCATGGTACTCACTGTGATTGTCATGGGGTGACATGAGGCACAGTACAAAGCCAGCACTGAGCTCAGTGGGACCTTCAGGAGTTGTCCTACTTCTCTCCTCTCGTTTGCTTTCTCCCCAAAACGTTAGGAGTGGACAGGAAGATCTGACCCTGCCCATTTCCCTAAGCTGCTCCAAAGGCAAGGATTCGGGAGCCTTTCTGAGCCTTTCTGGAGGGTTGGGAGGCCTGGAGGCTGGCCTGGCGGCACGTCTTACCGCAGCGACAGGTGGGACAACAGCCCAAGGTCTGACAGCGCAGCTGGAAGCCCAAGGGGCAGATGGGGACGTCCAGCTGGGGGCAGGAGACGTTCCGCTGCTGCACGAAGACCTCCTCCTTGACTCGGACGCACTCGTGGATGAGGCAGGGGTTCTCGGGGGAGGTCCAGTGAGAGCCCACCTGTGGGCAGGGCACCCGAGTGGGTCGAGGGGTCCGAGGTCCTGCTGGGAGTGGGCGGTCCCCCCGGGAGCTGGGGTGAGCCCTGCTCCACAGCTAAGCCCCGCCCACAGGGGGAGGCCCCTGGAGGGAGTGACAGCTCATCCAGGTCCTTCGGTGAGTCTGGTTCAGAGTCCCCCCAGACCAGGAGCCCAGCTCAGAACCACATATGCTCCCAAGACAGTCTTAAGCCACCAGAGGAAGCACCTGAGGACGCCTGAGGGTGCTCCCTCCACCCTCAGCCCGCCTGGGAGCTGAGCAACCAGGAACAGCTACATGGGGAGACAGCGGAGGGGAGATGTGGGGGGTGGGGGCACCCAGCCCATTGCCCACCCCACACCGCCTCCCTCTGAGGATGGGATGCTGGCATCTGGCCCTCAGCCCTGCAAATTGCCCCCAGGCCTCCAGGCTGCAATGGGTGGCCTGTCCCCACGGGCTGGCTCCACCGCCCAGGACCACCGAGTGTCCAGAACATGGTTTAGAAAGCCCTCCGGAGGTTCTGATTAGGCAATGCAAGACCGTGAGCACGGTCTGTGTGAGCGTCTCCTAAACGCACGAGCAGGGGTGCCCAGTCAGCCTGCTCCAGGCCCAGCAGCTTCTTTCGGGCCCGGTTCCCTTTCTTCTCTTTTCAGAGGAGGAGCAGAGAGCGCCCTGAATGCAGCCTCTGTCCTGACCCCCTTCTGACTCACCCTGCACACAAGTTCCCGCTGCAGGCCCCACTAGACTCTGATCAATAACCCACTGAGCCCTGGACACCGTACGCATTAAGAAGATCCATCCCCAACCACTCCCGCTGGTCCCTCATGTTTCAGAGTCACTGCCGACCCCCAAGTCTTACAGGTCAGAGGGAGACTCTTCCATAAACACTGATGTCAGAGCTGAGTGAGCCCTGGAGGCAGATGAGTGACTCGGAGGGAGGGGTGATGAGCCTCAAAGGTACCAGCTGTCAGCTCCCCCCGCCCCCAGGACGCAGCAGCCTCTGACCCTGGGGAGGATTCGCAAAACCAGCCTGATTCTGGGGTGACGGGGAGCAGGCAAGCTGACAGGGCGGGAGGAGGGATGGAGCAGGGAACTCAGCCCTGCAAATTGCCCCCAGGCCTCCAGGCTGCAATGGGTGGCCTGTCCCCACGGGCTGGCTCCACCGCCCAGGACCACCGAGTGTCCAGAGCATGGTTTAGAAAGCCCTCCGGAGGTTCTGATTAGGCAATGCAAGACCGTGAGCACGGTCTGTGTGAGCGTCTCCTAAACGCACGAGCAGGGGTGCCCAGTCAGCCTGCTCCAGGCCCAGCAGCTTCTTTCGGGCCCGGTTCCCTTTCTTCTCTTTTCAGAGGAGGAGCAGAGAGCGCCCTGAATGCAGCCTCTGTCCTGACCCCCTTCTGACTCACCCTGCACACAAGTTCCCGCTGCAGGCCCCACTAGACTCTGATCAATAACCCACTGAGCCCTGGACACCGTATGCATTAAGAAGACCCATCCCCACCCACTCCCGCTGGTCCCTCATGTTTCAGAGTCACTGCCGACCCCCAAGTCTTACAGGTCAGAGGGAGACTCTTCCATAAACACTGATGTCAGAGCTGAGTGAGCCCTGGAGGCAGATGAGTGACTCGGAGGGAGGGGTGATGAGCCTCAAAGGTACCAGCTGTCAGCTCCCCCCGCCCCCAGGACGCAGCAGCCTCTGACCCTGGGGAGGATTCGCAAAACCAGCCTGATTCTGGGGTGACGGGGAGCAGGCAAGCTGACAGGGCGGGAGGAGGGATGGAGCAGGGACGGCCCCAGGGACCAGGACTAGAAGAGGGAGGTGGGATCTCATGTGGGGAACTCAGCGAGTCCCTCTGTCACCACCCAGGAGGAAGAGGCCAGTGGGCCAGGGCAGGACAGTTAACCCTCTGCCCTCCCTCCAAACAGAGTGTGTTTTGGTCTCCCTGGAGGACTGAGAAGGGGAAGGCCCCCAGATGCACCTCACACCCACCCCAGCACCTGCCACCTGAGGATCCCAGGGCTAAGCACCCCCATTTTACCCATATCAGCCAGAGTGAAAGGTCTGTTCACATCCCAGCATCTGGGCTAAGACTCCCAGGGAGGGATCCTCTGTGTTTCAGAAAACGGCTTGACTAGCATCCAGAGCCCATGTGAAAGCCTCTGGCCATAAAGGAGAGGCTAAGCTGCTCTGGTTCAGGGAGGGGGATCTGGGGGTGGGGGTCCAGACAGGAGAAGATAAGGGAGCGGGGAGGGGCTGCCAGCATCATCAAGGGCCACAGCCAGAGCTGCATAAGTAGCTTGCAGGGTCTGGGAACAGAAACACTGTTTGCTTCTCTGGATTGTAAATTTCTCCAATGGAAATCAGCGACAAGGTCAGAGGACCCTGCCCGGGCCATCACACAGACCTCCACCAACCATCAGGGTCCTCAGGCGAACAGGAGCTCACAGAACTCACAGGGAGGGCACTGGGCTCCTCCCCAGATCTGGGGCAACCTTAACTAGTTCCCCAGCTAACATCTGGATAAACCAACAGCTACATTAAAGTTGCCGTGGGGAGAGTAAACAGGGAGTGAGCATCTACTTTATCGAAACCAAGGCCAGCCCTGGACCCCAGATGAAGTTGGCTCGGCCCCCAACCTCCTGCCCACCCACCCTGGCCCAGACCTACACTCTTCCACTGGGACTGGGTGTCCCCCCGAGGGGAGCCAGTCACCACCTCGCAGGCCGACGGCAGGCACCTTCCGCAGCACTCGCCCTCGCGGAGGACATAGGTGAAGCCCTGAAAACACACAAAGGATGGAGTGTCAGGACAGCCGGCAGCAAAGATGCAGGCGTTCTGGTCCCCACGGAAGGTGTTCGGAGCTCCGGGGCTTGCAGAGGACAGCCGGACTGGATGTCCTCATCGCTGCGCTCCTCTGGCCCCACAATCATGCTAAGTGGTCAGGAAGCATCACCTGCTGAATCACTATGGGTCTCACACCATCCATCCAGATACAACCCTGCCCTCCGCAAGCATCCACTCCAGACCAAGAGCCAGTCCTTGTTCAGTTGCTAAGTCATGTCTGACTATTTGAGAGGCCGTGGACATAGCCCACCAGGCTCCTCTGTCCATGGAATTCTCCAGGCAAGAATATTGGAGTGGGTAGCCATTTCCTTCTCCAGGGGATCTTCCTGAACCAGGGATCAAACCTGTGTCTCCTGCATTGGCAGGTGGATTCTTTACCACTGAGCTACCAGGGAAGCCCCAAGAGTCAGTCCATGGGGGTATTAAAGACGTTCAGAGTTCATGCAGCAGCCTCCAGCTGACCCAACGTTTATCATGGCCCAAGTCTATTGACCAGAGGAGAACATTCAGGATGCCTGGAGTCTGGGCTCGGCCCTAACAGGGCGAGTTACCTCACCAGATGGGCGCCTCTCAGTAACCTGCAGAGCTGGGCTTCCCCAGGTCACCACTTGACACCGACCTAGTAGTTTACAGGGCACCATGAGATGAGACCAACCATCCCCAGAGAGCCGGCCAGGGAGACCAGCATCCTGCAAGTCTGCCAACCCATCCTCCTCTTGGAGGTCCTCCAATCTGGCCAAAGCATGGAGACCTTGGATTGAAACTCTCCACCAAGAAGGCGGAAGCAATGCACAAAGAACAGACAAAAGTGTGATGTGCGAGGCTGTCCCGGGGGAGGAGGGGCCGGAAGCCAGGACTGAGCGGCATGAGAGAAGGATGAACTGCAGGTGTTCGGGACGGGCGTGGGCACCACCCCCGCTCTACTCCCCCTGCACACTCACAAGCAGCACCAAGTCACAGGATGTGCTCGACACTCAGCAACACCCCAGCTACTGCCTCTCCCAGGGACCTGGGAGCCTGAGGGCCATCTCCATGGGACCTGCCGATACCCAACCCGCGTCACAGCGGTGCTTGGCAAGCTGTTCTCAGTCTTAATAGCTGAGATCTCATTAGTTATCCTGCAGCTGGAGGTCAAACCAGTCAGTCCCTAAAGGAAATCAAACCTGTTGCCAGCTATACCAGCCTACCAGCACAGCCCCAGGCTAGGAGTCGGGACTTGCCCGTCTTCTGGCTTCAGACGATCCAAAGCACAACGTCCCTCTGCTTTCAGCCAACTTCAATCCCTCTGCTTTCTAGCAAGTGGGAAGAACAGCCCTGCCTCTTCTTCCTTCTAGAGGAGAATCATGAGGATGAATAAGACCTAATGGCTTAGATTTCCCTGGTGGCCCAGTGGTTGGGAATCCACCTGCCAATGCAGGGGACCCGGGTCTGATCCCTGGTCTGCGAAGATTCTACATGCCGAGGGACAACGAAGCCCATGAGCCACAACTCCTGAGCCCGCCGACTGCAACTACTGAAGCCCGTGTGCCCTAGAGCGCGTGCTCCACGACAAGACAAGTCACCACAATGAGAAGCCCGCGCACCGCAACTGGAGAGCAGCCCCTGCTTGCTGAAACTAGAGAAATCCCACGCACTGCAACAAAGACCCATCACAGTCAAAACAAACAAACAAACAAACCTCCCTACCAAAACGCAAAACATCCTGGGGACCAATTTTATAAAAACGACCTCTAAACAGCATTCTCTTCACCTGATGGCATGTTATTCCTGCTGTCTCCCGTGGCCTGTGGGAGGAGATGGAGACGAATGGGCGCTCCCCAGAGGCACCCCTGGATCCCACAGCGTCATCCTCTCCCAGGGGCCTGGCAGGCCCGCTCCTCCACAGCACCAGCGAAACAGGGAGAGCCGTGGGGGAACTGAATGGACGTCCCTACTTCTGGATTCACTCTCAGGCCCTCCCCTCCATCAGCAAAGCACACACACTTCTGAAAAAGCATCAAGAGCCTTCTCTTCAATGCTGTTGCAGGTATAGATCTGTCCTAGCTCCTCTTCTTTGATCAACATTCTCTACTGAAAATAAAGCCATAATAATAATGTAACTGAGCAGGACCCCGTGGAGCCTTCTACAAATGGGCCTCACCCACATCCTCTGCTGTAGCTCCTCTCTGAAGTACCTGGGTAACAATATCTGATGCACATTTTCTGAGTTGTTTTGCAAATGTGAAAACTCCCCACCCAACAGAAGAAGTTCACCACTTGCTGACCATGAGCACACTGGTCATGTTCACCTTTATGACACCACCTGCTCCTTCACTCAGCCCATCAGAGAACTGTGTGCAAGCTGATCACATACCTTGTGACCCCCTCCCTCACCTGGCTTTTAGAAATACTTTGCCAAAACCCTTAGGAGATCTTAGGGATTTTTAGGGCAAGAGCGACCTGTCTCCTTAGGTGGCCCTGCAATGAACCTTTCTCTGCCTCAAACTCCGAAGTTTTGGTTTGTCTGGCCTCCCTGTGCATCAGGCACATGAACCTGTGCTAACAATAATAGCTTTAAGCCAGCAAGAAGAACTCAACCCACAATTCCTATAGCAGACTGTGGTTCCCTTTCTCTAGAGTCTGATCAGTGTGCAATAAAGCATCCCCAAATACACAGGTGCCTTAGTGGGCAGGCCACCACAAAAAGAATTAAAAACTGAATTGCGGGGGAGGGGGGTTCAAACTCCCAGCTATACCTCAAACTATAAACACAGCTCGACTTCTGTACTTCAAATTATAAACCTGGTCTGAAAAATCACCAACCTATGTAGAAACACAATGGAACACTGACACTAGGACCATCTCAGAAAATTCAGAACACGTGTCTGGACTAGGTTTAGGCTAAGAAGATGCCTGAAAAGGGCAAAGACAGGAAAAAAAACCAAGCCCTGTTTTCTAGGCTATTAAATCCATCTCTCTGCTTAAACTGACTCCCCAGCCCTCTGGCCTCAAGACCACATGACAGAGATGACCAACAGATGAGAACTGGTTATGGGAGGATGACAGAGCGATGCTTGCCTCATGCTTCTTTCCACTAACCAGCCTCACTCTCCTCCCGGCCTCTCCCCTCTGGCCTTGAACCAGAGGTTCCTAAAGGGGCTTTCTTGCCCGTTCCTGGGATCCCCATCCCTACTGCCCCCCACTGCTCCCCCTTACCGGCCGGCAGCTGTCTGCGCAGGGTTTCTGAGAGCACTGGGCCACACGCAGGCCCATCACAGCATCCTCCAGATCCGTGCAGGTGCAGGTATCACAGCCCTCCTCCCAGAACTGGCCCATGGGGTAGATGGTGCCTCGGTGGACGCACACCTGTAGACGCAAGGTTTCCGTGAGTGAATTCACTCGGTTCATCTCAATAAGAGGTGAGTGGGCATCTGCTGGGACCTTCCCCAGTAGCTCACATGGCAAAGCATCTGCCTATAATGCCGGTAGACCTGGGTTAAATCCCTGGGTTGGGAAGATCCCCTGGAGAAGGAAATGGCAACCCACTCCAGTACTCTTGCCTGGAAAATCCCACGGACGGAGGATCTACCTGTTGGAAGCTACCCTAAGTGCTGAGACTACAGCAGTAAGTAAGACAGCATGGTCTCTGTCCACACTAGAGTCTGGCCTCTTCCCACCCCTGCCCATCTAACTCAGGAAAGCCTACTCCTGGACTAGCCCCCTGTTGAGTCTTTCATGGCTCTCGGGTGGGGATATAATACACTGGCTGACCTGACCCACTATCACTGCTGCCTTCGCTGCATTGAACTCCTTCCTGTGTCCCTCGGAAAGCTATACCCTACTTCTCAGGCCTAGTGATATCCTTGGACTCGGAACCCACCCATGAATAGCCCTCTGTCCTGTAAGGAGTGACTGAAAGTGAGGGACGGCTAGACAGGGGCTATGAATGAGTGCTCCCTTGAGGCCCGCAAAGGACAAGAAATGGATCAAACGAAGGCTCGGGCACAGAGTGTGGGCTGTGTTTGAGACACAAGGATCCTGTTTGGAGGGACTGTAGACTATGGAAGGAACGTGGGAAATCTCAGCGGTTGGTTAGGATTAGAACAGTAAAGCCTGGGGTGCATGTGATACACATGCTCAGACTTTATTTTCTTGGCATGAGATGCTCAAGGAAACTCTTTGATCATGAGGCTTAAAGACAGGTTTTAAATGATCCCAAGTGTGTCCTCTAAAGCTCCAAACAGGTGTCTATGTTCACTCACATCATAGTACAAATAGGTTTAAACCATTTTCCTATACCTGCCCCAAAGAATCTGCCTGCAATGCAGGAGACCTGGGTTTGATCCCTGGGTCGGGAAAGATCCCCTGGAGAAGGGAATGGCTACCCACTCCAGTATCCTTGCCTGGAGAATCCCGACAGAGGAGCCTGGCAGGCCACAGTAGTTCATGGGGTCACAAAGAGTCAGACGTGACTGAGCGACTAACACTTTCACTATACCCACTCGGTCTTCCAGCTTCTGTACCAGGAGCTCTTTACAGGTAGGACCGTATCTTACACCATGTTTATAACCTCAGCACGCAGCCATGCTGAGACCTGGTAGTCTCTGAGTATCCGCTGAGCTAATGAGATTCAGGCTAAGAGAGAATGCTGACGCTGCCCACCAGGCCACACAGCGCTCATCCGGGCAGGAAGGCACGTCTTCCATGAGAAGCATGTGTCTGGCCGTCACCCCAGCCAGCACCAAGCAGCCCTACCTTGTCGGGGAGGCAGGTGGTGGTGGTACAGCCGCAGTCGTTGGTGACGGTGGAGGCCAGGTACCCCAGCGGGCAGCTTGCCGTGGAGTTGGCACAGCTGCAAGCGCACTCGTACTCATCACAGCACCGGGTCTTCCGAAGGGCGGGCGTCCGATGCGGGGGGCAGGAGGGTGGGGACCCCTTCGGGCATTCCTCCTTCCTGCAGGCTAAGGGGCAGCACAAAGTGGTACCCCCGTCCTGTCACGCCGAGCCCTGCACTCATCCCGGGCTCCTCAGCATTCAGCTAGGATGCGAGGTCCCTGGGAACTCTAGCCCCACTGAAGTCAGAAACACACGTGAGCCCCACTCAGGAGCCCTGGGACAGTCAGTCACACTGCAAACACTTAGTCTGCAGGAAAGTAAGGACACTAACCCAAAGGGGAAATGTGAGGTTATTTTAACAGAGAGGAAGAGAAGGCTGCTGGGTGTCTACTCCATCACCCTCCCAGGCACCTCTGGAAGGGGTGGGGTTCTTTCACCTGCAGATACTCAGAGAGGACAGATGCAGAATCTCTAAGACCCAGGTACCCCAGGCACACAGGCACTGGTTAGCATTTTTACAAGCTGGTAGCTTATGAGATCTTATTCCCATCTCAGTACCTGGAGTAATAAATACCCTACAGTTTTAAGTCTCCAACAATGATGAATGAAAAATGACAGCAAATCCACAGTGTCATTTTATCAAGGCCAAATCCTACCCATGTCTTTGCCTGTCCCCAGCTTCCTCCAGATATACAGTGTTCTCTCACCCTTGAGGGTTTCCATCTATGAACTCAAGTGAGATTCCAAATCAACAGGATGGTAAGTAGGTATTGACTTTAGGTGGGTATACTCAGTAGCTTAACACAAAATGTGGTTTCTTAACATGTCCAGGACTTTCTTTAGTCCAATCCTAGGCTTAAATTGGTAGTACTTAGAATTTAAATAGATAAACATACAGGGAATGAAAAATCTATAGATTTATTTGGGAATAAGCTCCAGTACTTTGGCCACCTGATGCAAAGAGCCAACTCATTGGAAAAGACCCTGATACTGGGAAAGATTAAAGGCAGGAGGAGAAGGGGACAACAGAGAACAAGATGGTTTGATAGGATCCCCAACTCAATGGACATGAATTTGAGCAAACTCTGGGAGGCAGAGAAGGTCAGAGGAGCCTGGCACACTGCAGTCCAGGGAGTCACAAAGAGCCAGACGTGACAGCAACTGAACAACAACAAAGATCCAGTGATGAGGACAAGACAAGGGTACATTCCTTCCCCTCCATGGTTTACGGGAGGATGGGAGTAAATAAAAATGAGATACGGAGGCTTCTTCATCTCAGACCCAACTGCCTCCTAATAAACCAAGAGGGTGATGCCTGCAGCTGTGCCCATGCCTGCTCCCCCGTTACAGCCGGTGGCTGGGAGGAGTCTTAGAGGAGTCAGTCCAGGTGTGACCTTGACCCTTCTGTTCCAGACACACCCCAAGCCCAGACTCAGCTCACTAGAATACAGGACACCTTCCCAGGTCAGGGGACAGTGACTGCACTGCCCCCTCCTCACCCCCAGAGGGAGGACTTACCACAGGTGAAGTTGGGTCTGCACTCGCCGGGATTGGACAGCATCGGCTGGAGGCCATCTTCGCAGTCAGGCACCGGGGGCAGGTCACAGCTCACCAGGTCACAAACTGAGGGCCAGAAGAGGGATGGGCCCTCAGGGTCCAGCGAGGCTACTCTTGTGCTAGTGAGTGGTTCCCTACATTTCTACCCATGAGACCTCCACTGTTCACACACATGATGACAATGAGATAAAGGTAGAGCTAGAGACGGAGACAGAGGGAGAGCTGGAGATGAAGATACAGATGAAGATGCAGGTGGAGATGGAGATGCAGGCAGAGTTAGATGCAGGTAGAAATGGAGATGCAGGTAGAGTTGATGCAGGTAGAGATGGAGATGAAGGCAGAGAGTGGAGATGTAGGTAGAAATGGAGATGCAGGTAGCAATAGAGATGAAGGTAAAGATGGAGACAGAGGAACAAGGAGGGGGCAGGGAGGAAGTGATGATAAATAAATATATACATAATAGACAGATGATCGATAGATAACAGATAGATAGATCTAAGCTACAGGACAAACTCATGTTAATTACTCTCATCATCTTCAGGGACTCCAGATCTAGGCCAAGTCTCTTGAACCCTCTAAACCTCAGGATCACCTTCTGTAAGGTGGGAAGTCCACCACACAGGGCCAGTCTAAGGCTGTCCTGAAATAATGGCAGCAAAGTGCCCGGCACCTTGAAGAAGCTTTGTGCCATCCATAAATGAAAGCCTTGAACTAAATGACCACCTGTTCCCTCTACTGCTAACAACCCAAGACGGTTCGGAAGGGGTCCCAACAGTCTACTAAACTGTTCTCCAGTCAGATCTCCTGACGGGGCTTCTGTTTGTCCTTGATAAATTTCATCAGCATAAAGCAAAGTCTCACGATTTCTTTTCGAGGTCCTCCCGCTGCCTTGATCTACCTGCTCTCCCTCAAAGATTTTGTTGCTGCAGGCTTCACAAGCCTGTGTTTTATTTCTTTGCCTGTACAGCTAAAAAATACCTCGGACAGGATGAGCACAGCGCACTAGAGATTTCCTGTCGCGTTAACCAGAATTCCATCAGCTCTGGATTCATTTAATTACACTGTCATTCCACCAATTATTCACAGTGTAGTTTGCAATCCTATAACAAAACCCTCTGACAAATAACGTGCTGAAATCAAGGTGCCCATCCATGTGTGGCCTTCTCTACAGTTACTCTGGCATAACTGTGCCAGTTACTCTGGCATACTCACAATTTTTAAAGGTTATACTCCACTTATAGTTATCATAAAATATTGGCTATATTCCCAGTGCTGCATAACATGTCCTTGTAGCTTATCTACTGTACACACAGTAGTTTGTATCTCTTAATCCACCCCCCATTTTACCCCTCCCTGTCCCCTCTCCCCACTGGTAACCACTAGCTTGCTCTCTATATCTGTGAGTCTGTCTATTTTGCTATATTCGCTAGTTGGTTGCAGTTTTTAGGCTCCACATATAAGAGGTATCATACAGTATTTGTCTTTCTCTGTCTGACTCACTTCACTTAGCATCATGCCCTCTAGGTCTATCTGTGTTGCTGCAGGTGTCAAATTTTATTCTTTTTATGGCTGAGCAGTATTCCATTGCGTGTATGTACCACATCTTTATGCATTCATCTGTTTCTTTCTTTTTTTCTGTTTTTTTGGCCGCACGGCACATGGCATTTTAGTTCCCTGACCAAGGATTGAACCCGTGGCCCCTGCAGTGGAAGGATGGAGTCTTAACCACTGGACCACCAAGGAAGTCCCTATCCACTCATCTCTTGATGGGCACTTAGGTGGCTCCCATATCTTGGCTGCTGCGAGCACCTCTGTGAGCACTGTACCCTATTCTTTGTTAATGCTCTCAAACCTTACATTTGATAAGTCACTGCAGAATCTTTCTAGGAAGCAAATCCTCTTTTCCAGAAGCTACTCTTTCCAGGTTTTAGAAAATCCACCCCCGGCCCCTCCCACTGTCCCCTTCAGCACCACCACCTCGCCCTCCCGGGCTGGGCTGCGGTTGGACCTGGAGAAAGGCTGCGGGGTGACACGTACCACACTCGTACTCGGGACAGCACTGCTGCGTGCTCTGCCGGAGCCGGGCCACCTCACATGGGCCACACGTGGGCACTGGGGGACAAGAGGCCACAGGGGTCAGAAGAAGAGACAATGGTAGCCGCCAGCACACACCCCGCCCCCCGCAGACTCTGCACCATGGCAACCAGCCGGCCAACAAATGAGTCTCTCCAGCACGTCCTGCCACCCCGCTCAGATGCGCCCTCAGGACACCAGGGCTGAGAATCAAGGTGGAGACAGCAGGAGAGGCCTCCCTGGCCCTCCAACCCGAGAGCTCTACCCATGTGCAGAGAGGGGACCCCACCCCCAAGAGGTAAGGAGGGGGGCTGGCACAGGTAATCCGTGTATGGATCTGGCCCCCCCGGCTCTAGAGACGGTGTGGGCAGGGGTGGGGGGTTGAGGGGGACCTCACCTCCAGCCGAGGGGCAGGGCTGTGTCGTGCAGTTGACCCTCCGGCCGCTAAGGCACGTGCAGATCTGGCAGGGCTGATGGTCTGGGACCCATGTTTCCAGGAGCTGAGGGAGAACGAGGTTCAGAGAGAGTCAAGGAGTTTGTGGAAGTCGGGCGTCTCCACCCCTGGTTCTGTCTCCCCAGGTGGGGCCCCAGGGTTAGAGCCATGCAGATGAACCAGGCGGACTGACAGATGCCAGGGGGTCCTGAGAAGGAGGCATGGGGCCACCCACATCACTTTGCACACCCTGGGGAAGGGCAAACCACAGGTGTCAGGAAACATGGAGCTTTCACTGCAACCCTTCTGATGGTGATGCTAAAATGAAGCAAGGCAAGAAAACAGGGACTCTGGTGTCACTACCACCCCCCACCAGCCACGTCCCAAGCCAGAGAAGAAGCTGGGCTGTAGCCTGAGACAGGTTCCCTTTGTTTCTGGAACAGGCTTCAGACTATGCGGCAGGAAGAATGGAAGTGGGAACAGCAAAACTCAGAATTGCCACGTGTTTGGGTCTGGGAGTGACTTTGGAGACCAGGCTGCAGTTTCCAGATGAGGGGTCACCTAGGGACTAATGCAGTGACCTTAGGGCAGGAGGTACCCACACTGCACAAGGGTTTTGATTCAGGGGATCCCCCACTTCTACATATGCTTCACCCCTGAGTAGCAATACCTGGCTTCCTTCCCTGCAAGGTGAAGACCCCCCCAGCCTGCCTCCCAGGCCTGTGCAAGGAGTAGGGGGCTGTGAACAGCACAGACCACAGAGCCAGGAATGGCTCCCTGCAGACTCAGCCATGCACGAAAATTCCAGTGAAATCGCCCCTGAATAAAATTCATTCTTATCCAGCAGCTAAAAGGCCGCTAAGAAGTTCCCAGGTCAGGAAGATCTTACTTGTCCCATCCGCTTCCAAGGTCCTCGATCAGTGTCAGCCACTGAGAGGAAGGACACGGGAGAGCCCCAGGTGACCCCCGCCCCGGCTGCCTTCCTCCTGCGGGATTAAACCTCAGAGGCCTCCCTGGACGCCGTCTGCTCACTGCACACATGTAAGAGCCCACATCTGCGGGGCCAGTGCCACGTGGCACAGTTTAGGGCTTTATGTAAACTACTCACTTAATCCTCATTTAATCCTCACCGAAGCCCCACGGCCGGGACATCCTTACTGTCGTCCCCACTCGTCCAAGGAGACAGCAGAGGCACCTGCCCGGGTCACATTGTCACAGCATGGAGCTGGGATCTGGACCCAGAATCCACTTTTCAACCCTGTGCTCAGCTGCCTCCCAATAATGTGCGTGCATGCTCAGTCGCTCAGTTGTGTCCAATTCTTTGCGACCCTTTGGACTATAGCTTGCCAGGCTCCTCTATCTATGGGATTTTTCAGGCAGGAATACTGGGGTGGGTTGCCATTTCCTCTTCCAGGGGATCTTCCCGACCCAGGGATCGAATCTGCATCTCTTATATCACCCATATTGCAGATAGATTCTTTACTGCTGAGCCAATGGTGAAGGCCCTTTCCCAGGAACAAGTAACATGAAACTTGTTCAAGATAATTCCCCAAAGGTTCCACACTGACTCACTGAATGTGCCTTCTGACAACCTTGTCCGGTGAGGATGACCATAGTCTACACTGACAGAGGTGAGGATGACCATCGTCTACACTGACCAGGGGTGACACTGAGGCACAGACCAGGAGCTTGACCAGGTGAACTCAGCATCCTAGCCCTGGACACCACGTGCTCTCTCTCCAGACCACAACCTCCAAGCTCAGCCGGCCCGCTGCAGGGCTGGGGGAGTGATGAGCATTAGATATTCTGTCCCAGCCCTCAAATGACTGACAGTCAAGCCAAGGAGATAGGATTCACCCATGAAAAGTTGAATGAGATCTCTCAGTTGTGATGCATTCACATCACAGAATCCTACTCAGCCATAAAAACAAACAATGGAACACACAGCAGCATGGATGGATCTCAAGAATATTATGCTGAGTGAAAGAAGCCAGGCAAAAGGGGAGTAAATATTGCATGAGTCCATTTATATAAAATTCCAGAAAATATCAACGAATCTACAGTGACAGAAAGCAGACCAGTCCAGCGGTTTCCTGGGGATGAGAGGTGAGGGGTATGGGGTATTAAAAAGGAGGCTCAGGAAACTTTTGGAGGTGATGGGAATGTCATTATTTTGATTATGATGACGGCTTTACAGGTGCAGGCACTTGTCAAAACTCATCACACTGTGTGTTTACCTTTGGTGCTGCTAACTGTCTGGGAACTCTCAATAGAGCTGATTTTTAAAATAAAAAATCCAAGAGCCCCAGGAGTGCAGAAAAAAGTTCACTAGGATTGGGGGCTCCAGAGAGGTCTCACCTCCCGGGGGTCTGTCCACTGTGGGAGACTCTGCTTAACTTGGAGGACAAGGTGCAGCCCTGAGGCTTTGTGAGCAGGTCCCACCTCAAAGGGAAGCAGCCTCAAAGTTCAACAGAGACCAGCGTGGTGCTGGCGAGCAGGCGCAGAGGGCAGGACGAGGACCAGGAGGCAGCACAGAGGCTGCAGTGGCCAAGTTCCAGCTCCTCCTGGGGCTGTGAAAACCTGGGGAGGGTCAGAGGGCGCTGACCTCAGAGGCCCAGGACATAGGACAGAGGATACGGGAGGCTAGGCAGAGTGGGGGGCGGGGAGGGGGACTCACGTCTCCCTGGGCGTCTCTCTGTCCAGGCTCTTCCTGCTCTTTTACACTGATGGTGATGCCAAGAAAACCGTAAACTGAGGGATATTTAGACATTTACGCAACAAAAGTGATAAGAAAGGAAATTATATAGAGAGATGATCTTATTTGCAAAACAGAGATGCAGACACAGATGTAGAGAAGAAATGTGTGGACACCAAAGGGGAAAAGGGGGAGGGATGAATTGGGAGACTGGGATTGACCTATATACACTACTATATATAAAATAGATATCCAGTGAGAACTACTGTATAGCACAGGGAACCCTACTTAATGCTCTGTGGTGACCTAAATGGGAAGGAAATCCAAAAAACAGGGGGTTTTATATGTGCATGTACAGCTGATTCACTTTGCTGTATAGGAGAAAATGTGCTATGCTGGGCTTAGTTGCTCAGTTGTGTCCAACTCTTTGTGACCCCGTGGACTATAAACCACCAGGCTCCTCTGTCCATGGGGATTCTCCAGGCAAGAAGACTGGAGAGGGTTGCCATGCCCTCCTCCAAGGGATCTTCCCATTCCAAAGGATCGAATCCAGGTCTCCCACAATCCAGGTGAATTCTTTACCGTTTGAGCCACCAGGAAGCCCACAGTAGAAACTAACACAGAATATCGTAAAGCAACTTTTTAGTTTAGTCGCTAAGTCGTGTCTGACTCTTTGTGACCCAGTGGACTGTAGCCCACCAGGTTCCTCTTTCCGTGGGATTTCCCAGGCAAGAATACTGGAGTGGGTAGCCATTCCCTTCTCCAGGGGATCTTCCCGACCCAGGGAGCGAACCCTGAGTCTCCTGCATAGGCAGGCGGATTCTTTACCACTGAGCCACCAGGGAAGCCCACGAAAGAAACAACTATACTCCAATAAAAATTAATTAAAAATAAAAGAAAGGAGATAGATATTTACGTATTAGTTTTTTTCTCTCTTTTTAAAAATGAACTCCAGACAGCTAAAATTTAAGAATGAGTAATACAACTTTCCAACTCTCCTGGGCAACATCACAATAGATGACCAAAATCGGTGTTAAACTGCTTTTCCAGGGATTTCCATTGTCCCAGGAAGCTCCTCAGGCCAGAGAATCTACAGCTCCTGAAAAAGCCCTTTTAGGCCTCAAAGGCTAAGCTTCGAAAAGGCCCTGGGGCCACACAACTGGAGGGTTATGCAGCCAAGCGGCCAGGAGAGGGCACTCCTGCATCAGGACATGACTCAGTAGCCGGCAGCCCTATCTCAGTCCCCAGGTCCCAGAGCGGGTATAGGACTGTTACCTGGACAGAACAGGTCAGCCAGATGGCTGGAGTTAAAGATTAAACAAAGATGACAGAAGAACGGCCTGCAGAGAAATGGAAGGGGAAACGGAAGTCTTCAGAACCCAGGGACTCAGCAAGTCACAAGCACTGTCCACCCTGGCCAGGATTTGAGGAAAGGTGCAAATGAACTAACACCAGAGATCTGGCAGGGAACCGGGCTCAGGGCAGACCGACAAGATGATGGAGGCAGTCCTAGAGGGGCTAGAGCAGTGCTTGCCCAGCACAGTGGGGTGGGGGGGACCCCAAAACTGTTGGGAGGACAGCCCACGTACGGGGGCTCTGGATTCCTCCAGTGTGTGTGTGCGTGAGTCTGTGTGTCTGTGTGTCTGTGTGTCTGTGCTCAGTCATGTCCGAGTCTTTGCGACCCCACGGACTATAGCCCTCCAGGCTCCTCTGTCCACAGGATTCCTCCGGGGCCCGCTATAAAGGCAGAGTGCATTTGTAACATGAACAAGAGCTATGGAAACTGGTAAATATTTTGCCCTTCCGACGTTAGCACGAGGGATTTCTACCCTGAATTATTTCCCCAAAGAAAAGTTTTCTAGGCTTTAGTTTTCAGTTTAAAGAAAATTCGTTTAATGGGAATGTTCTTCATATTAGATTTTTAGTCTTTCTCTGCTATGAAAGTAATGACATTGCAGGTGGCTGGATAATTTTTTTTATCCGTTTAAACTATATTTTCTGAAATAACTAACACTGGCTGTGTTCCCTCCATAGTGTTTTATTAACTGATTTTATGTTGCTTGGTTTTAAAACATAAGACTGTTCCTACATCAAAGTGCCACACTGTTTGAACTCCCTCTTCATGTGACTTGGATACATATTCCAATGTGCTGGACTGAAGGGTCGGGAGCAGTGAAAAGGGGAAATAGGCTCAGAGAGAAGGAGTAGGGAAGGAGCTGCGGACCCTAAGATAAAATTCACAAGCCTCCTGCTTTCAGGATCCTATAGACATCTGATCATGGAGCCAGAAAAACAAACTTGACATTCCTTCCAATCCCAGGATGCCAAGAAGGGAGTAGAGATCATTTCTACCTCCCTCCGAGAATATCTGCCACCAACAGCAAAGCCAGCCTGAAATGACCACTGGGTGTCAGCTCCCTCTGGCAATGGTACACGTCGTCTGTGCCCAGTAGGAGCCTAGGACCACGCAAGTCAGGGAGAGCAATGTAAGGTTTTGTCAACTCTGGGGGAATATCCGGGAAGATCCCCTGGAGAAGAGAATGACAACCCACTCCAGTATTGCCTGGAGAACTCCATGGACAGAGGAGCCTGGTGGGCTACCATCCATGGGATCACAAAGAGTTGGACACGACTGAGCAATGAATACTTTCACTTATGGTACAGACAGTTACTTAATTTAGCAAGTTGAAATATGGCAGTAGAGAGTGGCTGGGCTTCCCTCTTGGTTTACCAACTACACTCTTGTTTATCAACTACAAAATGGTTCAACTAGGATAAAACCCAACAACAAAACAGTCAATGGAACCATCCAAGTAATAGCCTAATGCAAACACGCTTACATGGATATCGGGTCAGCTCAGAGATTAGCTCACAGTTCCAGTGAGATCTGTGGCAAGCCTAGGACATTAAGGGTTGACCTGGTGTAGTGAATAGGGTTTTTTTAAATCACCACTTGCCATCTGAGCCACAGTTCCGTCATCCATTTAATGAGATGTGTAATGATTACCCTATGGAGTTTTGGGGGAAAATCAAGTGAAACTAAATACAGTTAAGTCATCAGCCAGGTTCCCTTAGTGATGAAGGTCTTCCCTGGTGATGATGGAGAGTTTAGGCCTTGAGTGTAGCTCACAGTGATAGAACACATCCTCCTTCTCTAGAAGCCAAATGAGCTCCCCTCTAGCACGCTCCATGGTATTGCTGCCAGAATGAAGGGCAGGACCATACCCATGGCCACAGACACACTCTGCCCCAGGGACTACAATATACACATGGGTAACTCTGGAGAGAAGTGACTGCCATCTGAGGCCAAGGTGTTGGTAAATAGAGTTTGGTAAATAAATCACCTTTCAAAATATAATGACTCCTAAAGGGCTAAAGGAACTGATGACTTGATGACTCAATGACTTCCAAGCAAATCAGCTTAAAGGAGACCTAGCCGAAGAGTAATTTCATATATTGGAAAGAGCAAGCTCTAGGGAGTCAGGCAGAGCTTCAGATATTGACTCCAGCTCCCAACCCATCACCTACAAACTGCATCCATGGGCAGGGGACCAAGTTCACTAAACTTCCATTTTCTCAAAGAGGTTTCGTGAGTATTTACAAGATGATGTAAGATAGCGAAGTGTGTTCTGTGGGACCCTAGTCCAAGGAATGCTGTACACACACACACACACACACACACACACACACACACACTCCACCACACACATTGGATTAGCCAGAAAGTTCATTAGGGTTTTTTCATAACACCTTATGGAAAAACAAGAACGAACTTTTTGGCTAACCCAATACAATTCCATGGTCTAATAGAAGCAAAACCTTGCAATGGACATCAGCACATCAAAAGCTCTAAAGAATCCAGCAATAAAGAAACTGTCTAACTTGCTTAACTAGTGTATTTTCATCCCCTCTTGACCACAGTAACTGTCAATACCCTCCCTGCAAAACACACCTTGGAATGTTTAAATATGAATACAGAGTGCTTAGTACAATGCAAGGCACATAATATATCTTAAAAATGGTGAAAAGTGAAAAAGTGTTAAGTCATGTCCAACTCTTTGTGACCCCATGGACTACAGCCCGCCAGGCTCCTCTGGCTATGGAATTCTCCAGGCAAGAATACTGGAGTGGATAGCCATTCCATTCCCTTCTCCAGGGGATCTTACTGACCCAGGGATCGAACCTGGGAGTCCTGCATTGGAGGCAGATTCTTTACCGTCTGAGGCATCAGGGAATCCCCTAATAATGGTAGACATCACTATATAAAATATTCTTTTCCCATCCCCTCCTAGGTTCCCAGCATTCTACTTATGTGAATATAATCAGAAAAAATAGTGCTAATAGGAACTTCCCTGGTGGTCCAATGGTAAAGACTTTGCCTTCCAATGCAAGGCGTGCAGGTTCAATTTCTGGTCAAGAAACTAAGAGACCACATGCCTTGTGGCCAAAANTGAATATAATCAGAAAAAATAGTGCTAATAGGAACTTCCCTGGTGGTCCAATGGTAAAGACTTTGCCTTCCAATGCAAGGCGTGCAGGTTCAATTTCTGGTCAAGAAACTAAGAGACCACATGCCTTGTGGCCAAAAAAAACAAACAGTAATGCAACAAATTCAATAAAGACATAAAAAAATGTTTTTAAAAAAATAGTACTAGTAGTAATAATGGGTTGTTACACTCTGGTGTTTGATCACACAGCTAACCCACAATAGACTGAGGTTTGAACCAAGGTACGTCCGATTCTGAGTCTTTATGCCATGCTGCTTCCCCATCCCTCAGGGATACCTGGAATAGCCAAGCCCTGCTGCCAAGGTTGGAAGGGGCCAATCATGGATCAATGCTCCCCCACTGAGCCAGGGAGAAGCAGCCCCCTTGGGAGGTGGGGGGTGGGGGGCTCCTACCTGGTGCCGGATGCCATTGTCACTAACGCACTGGGTACAGGCCTCCTCGGGGACACAGCTGCCTTCCAGCATCACTTGGTGCGGGGGGCAGAAGCAGCCTTCCGAGGGATGGTCCGCGCAGGAGCTCGAGTTGCCTTCACACTGCCGGGGGCAGCCACTCTCACAGTGGTTGTAGACCAGGGAGGGCGGGCAGGACACAGCTGCAGAGAGAGAAGGGGGTGATTCTCAGGGCCCACAGCAACCGAGGGAAGCAGGTACTGCTGATTCAAGGCGGCTGATCACCCGACAAGTTTGCCGGGATGGAAGCTAGCCAGTTTCCACCAATTTTCATTCCCTCCATCTTCCATAGAAACAAGACTTTCAAGCGGGGCACATGACCACCCAGAATAAAGACTACACTTCCCAGCATGCTTTGCAACTAAGTGTAGTCACCTGACAACATTGTGACCAATGAACTGCTAGAGCAAGTGTAGACTCTTAGGCAGCGTCTAGGAATCTTTTTTTGAAAGACAGCTGTGCCTCTGGCCCTTCTCCTTCCTTCCCTTCATCCTGCTGCTTGGAACCTGGGTGTAACAGCCAGAGCTCCATCTTAAAGCACGAGGAAAGAAGTGAACCCACGGGAGGATGGGGCAGAGAACTAGAACCCACTTTGAGAACCGGAAAGAGCTGAAGTCGCCCACCTCTGGTCAGCTGTGTGACAGAGAATTTTACTTCTTCCTCGCCTGCAGCCAAATTTAACCCCAACTGATGATGTGAACCTGTGATCCTTAGGAAGTTCTGTAGTTCTTTTTTGAATACAGGTATTTTTAATGCTTTTAAAATTCTCTTCAACTTAAAAAAAAGAATCCACAGCTATGGAGGGATGCCCTGGAAGAGAAGCTACAAAGTGACCCACTTCTCCCCTCCGGTCCTACCCAACCCCTTCCTCACATTTTCAGGGTGCCAAGGCATGTGGTAGAGAAGATTCCAAGGATTTAGACTATCAAAGACTTTCCTCGCGCATGCATGCTAAGTTGCCTCAGTTGTGTCCGACTCTTTGCAACCCCATGGACTATAGCCTGCCAGGCTCCTCTGTCCATGGGATTCACCAGGCAAAATAGTGGAGTGGGTTGCCATGCTCTCCTCCAGGGCATCTTCCCCACCCAGGGATCCAACCCACATCTCTTGCATCTCCTGCATTGGCAGGCAGGCTCTTTATCATTAGCACCACCTGGGAAGCCCAAATGCACAGCAAATTGCCAGGAGGTATGACAATTAATCGGAGAAGGCAATGGCACCCCACTCCAGTACTCTTGCCTGGAAAATCCCATGGACGGAGGAGCCTGTTGCAGGCTACCGTCCATGGGGTCGCGAAGAGTCGGACACGACTGAGCGACTTCACTTTCACTTTTCACTTTTATGCATTGGAGAAGGAAATGGCAACCCACTCCAGTGTTCTTGCCTGGAGAATCCCAGGGATGGGGTCACACAGGGTCGGACACGACTGAAGTGACTTAGCAGCAGTAGCAGCATGATGATCAATAAATAGAGAAGGTGCAATCAGTAACTCAGAAACTAACATTTTCCCCTTGATCTGCAGGCAGGTTGAAAGGAGGCAGTATCAGCCAGAGAGACTCATAAAACCAGAGCCCCAACACACCTAGGGGCTTGATAGGGACAGTGTGAAGGAACAAAGTAGGTGATGAAATAGTTAATCCCACTAGAGGACCGAAAGTGGGGAAAATATCAAAGATCCCTATAAGTTAATGATGACTCAGAAAGCATGTTTGCTTAACCACAAAACCAAGCAGGCTTGCTTAGCAACAAAACCATGAGACAGAAACATGAGACATGTCCCCAAATAATAAAACAGTGGTGGCATGAGCCCCACATCCTACCCAGTGAATTCAGTAAGTTTATGATCTCTAGGACATGCTCTCTGCACACATAAAAAACAACTTTTGGACCCAGCTTGAGCAGGTAGGGACAAGAAAATCCTGCTCAACCTGGAGGAGGAGCTGATGCTAGAAGCAGGACGTCTACTCAAGAAGACAGGGAAGGTCTTCCCCCCCACCCCGCCTCCCCTCTTCTCCTTTGATTATAAAACTGGAGCCCAGTAAGTTCTTGGGGGTGGGGCACCCTCTTGCCCACTTGCTTGTAAAACGTCCCACGTGTCCTATTCTAATAAATGACTTATCTTTCACTTTGCCTCTCAGTGAATTCCTTCTGTGCTGAGACATAGAGGGCTTGGTATAGGAGCTCTTCGGCGCCACCCCCCCACCCCCAGCCCCGCAAATGACACCAAACCATTTCAAGTCATCTAGTCCAACTATCATTTCAAGATGCAGAAGCTGAGGTCCAGAAAGACTAAGGAAATAGCTGATCACCCAGATCACCTAGCTGGGGCTAGGATGCCCGAGTCCTCCAGCCCCAATTAAAGCTGAGACAGCATAATAATCATAAACTCAGAGACTCTGAGATGCTTGGACATATTCATTTCCTTCAAAAAAAAAAAAAAAGTCAGGGATTACATTAGAAACTGAGGATGTTGAAGTTCAGTGTTATCAGTCTAGCACCCCCTGAGGGCAGGAGCCATATCTGACTCACTTTGGTATCCCCGACTTGTTAAATAATAAACATGTGCCAAATCCAAGTAAGGAAGCTGCCCATGCAGAAGTATCCACACTAGCAATCCCATGGTATCTCTAATGAAGAAGCTTCTTGGTATTTGAATGGTAAAATTCCACTCACACTTCTAAACCCTGCTCAGGTGTGGCTTGCTCTGGGAGCCTTTGCTAAAGCCTGGTGCAAGTCCAAGTTCAAGGTGACTGCTTATTCTGTACTTTGCTGGCGCCTAGATGTGTCTTATTGTTGTTCAGTCGTTAAGTTGTGTCCGACTCTTTGTGACCCCATGGACTGCAGCATGTCAGGCTTCCCTGTCCTTTACTCTCTCCCGGAGTTTGCTCAAACTCATGTCCATTGGGTCGGTGATGCCATCCAATGTGTCTAATACATTAAAGTCACATGTGCAGGAACTGCAGAAATACTGATAGAAAGGACCATGCTTTCATTTACCTAGAAACTCATTACATAGAAATCCTATGTTCAAATTACCTGTATGTCTACCATCTTACTAGACCCTGAATGGAATCCTAGGGAACAGGAAAGGCAGAGATTTTGATCTCCATGGCCCAGATTAAAAAAATAAAGAGGTTTCAGAGAGGCTGAGCAGGCTCCCCATTCATCATTCTTCACAGCATTTGGGGGAGATTGTGGAGACTCACCACAGAAATTGGGGGTCCTCCAGTCGACACACACCCCCTTGGTCCGGCAGAGGTGGGCATAAGAGGCAATGGCTTCACACACTTGCTCCTGGTGGCAACTGTCCTGCAGGCACATGGCGTGAAATGTGGCCGGAGCAAGGACCTTGTGGCACTCGGCAAATAGCTCAGAGAGGAGGACCTGGCAGCGGGAGCCCTGGGAGATGGGGCATGGCTCCTCGGGGCCCAGCGGGCACGTCTGCCCTGGCTGCTGCACTGTCCACTCCTGGACCAGTGTCTTCCAGTCCGCGGTGACCGTGCCATCCCTCAGCATGAAGTCATTGGCCCCGTTCTCATCACAGAACCCTAGAGAAACCAGGAGAGGCATGGTTGGGAGCCCAAAGCCAGCTCCTGATGCTGGAAGCTTGGTCATTCTCCACCCCTGCCAGCATCTGAGACCACTACTGGACCCAAAAATGGCAGTAGCCAGGGGCCCTGAGATTAGAGCAAGGAGGGCGTACATCCCAGGGAAGAGGCAGACGACAGTCTTACCACAGAGACCGTATGTCTTTGAGGCAGCGATCTTGGGGCTCAGTTGCAGCTGGAACTCATTGTTTTGTGGGGTGAAGGCAAGGATGTGGCCCAGAAGCTTGAATCTGACCTCGAACATGATAGTACCATAGACTCTGACCTCCATGTCCCCACCCAGGTAAGGGACAGAGACCAGTCTCCCATTCACCATCACCTGTCCAAAGGAGAAAGGCCCTGTCAGTAGTCATGGCAACAAGGAATCCTAGGATATCACTCGTAGTGTCTTTTCACAGTTCATGACAGTTCCTACACATTCATCCCACTCAACTCCAAGTTATTCACAAACTTGGGCACTGGCAGGCAGCTCTTCTCAGGTAAAGGGGCTCTGCAGAGCTTGGCAGGAGAGTGGGCTCTTACAAAACTGAACAGCCAGCCATGCACCTGGAACCCAAAAGCCCAGGGGTTAAGGGAAACCTTGAGTCCATCTGCACTCAACAGGGAAGACTGACTCCTCAAGACAGGCTGGGGAAGTTGCCATTTTCCCAACTCACTGGCTCCCTATCTCCAGGAGCATCTAATAAGAATACCTTAACCTTTATTTTACTTTGGTCACCAGATCTACGGAGGCCCCACAGTACATCACATCGAACCTGTTAAAATACACTCACATCCCATGATGACTATAATTTTTGCTGTAAAAATTTTGGAACACTTTTTATCCTCTTGAATTTTAAACATTTGGCTATGAGCTACTCATTTAATATATGACGAGCTGTGATTTTTTTTTTCAGCAATCACTGTGAGTGTTCAAGAAGTCTTGCAAGAGGAGAAGGTCTAACCCTTAAGTTGCTTTCACGTAATGAAATATGTATGATTTCCAAACAAACATGTAAAAAAGTTGCATGATACAACCTCTTGTAAACATGTAATCAAACATTTATTTTGATCAGTTTTGCAGTTTTCTTTTTTAGTTTTGGGGCCACACATTTTGCTTGGGCCCTAAATATTTTCAAAGGCTTTCATCTAGGCCCTAAATACTTTCCTTCAGAAGGTTGGCAGGCCCAAGCCTAGATATGGGACACAAAATGTCTGCTGGACAAACAGCCTGGTGTAAACCCCAAACTTCTACTAGTGCAAAAAACTGGCACCCCACTGACAATATAATGCTACTGAAATCAGACCCTCTCTGGGACTTCCCTGGTGGTCCAATGGCTAAGACTCCATTCCCCCAATGCAGGGACCCTAGGTTCGATCCCTGGTCAGGGAATTAAAATCCCACATGCCACAACTAAAGATTCCTCATGCCACAACTAAGAGTTTGGCAAAGTCACATAAAGAAAAATTTCTTAAAAAAAGAAAGAAAATGGACCCTTTCTTCCAAATCTGGGCCCAGAACAACAAGAAATCACACCAGAAGGGAGATGCAATAAGCCCCTCCTACAAAGATGGCGCCCTGCTAATCAGGCAGAAGGTCAAGTCTTCACACAGGAGCACCAGCTAAAACCAGCTGCCACTGGGTCCATGTGGCTTCCCCAAGGGCCCTGCCTCAGGACCACGGAAAGCACCTCTTACCTCCATGTTGCTGCGGAGCTCAACCGAGAGGCCGTTCTGCTTCACTTCCACAGATTTCATGCAGGCCTGCCTCGCCCCGGTGCTGCAGAATCCGTTATGGAGAATCACCTCCAAGTCCTGCTCCTTGTTGTGAAACAGAACGTATGAGCAGTTGCCAGTCAGCTTGAAATTCCGCCCATCAAAGGTCACGATGTGCCGAGTGGAGCTGCCTGTGCACACACCTGGGCAAGAAAGCAAAGGATGGGCATGACCTGAGCGGACTCCCACCAAAGCAAAGAGGCAGCCGCATGCAGATGACCAGAGCTGAGAGCTGAGTGGACCTTTTGAAGCCATTGAGGCAAATTTCTTCCTTTTTACAGACTAGGAAATTGATTCTGAGAGGTAGAAGAGCTTAGGTAACACTTGGCCATTAAATATATTCCTAGGGAAGGTTTAGAAGGACAAGGATTCCATTACAATGTGGCAAATTATAGAGCCATACTTCCAAAAAATGTAAACATGCAAAGTTAATGCTCTCCTCCACAAGGATGTCTTGGCCCAGGAAACAAAGTGAGGTTCCAGGGGTGTTAGGACATGTTGAAACCACAACAAGCTAAGCAAACCATGAGCTCATGACCTCTCTGGAAAGGAAGTTCCCCTAAAGGCGCACGTGTCTTTTCAGCTACCAAGTGACTAATGGTACACATGGCCACGTTGACGTGATCCCTTAAGAGACCCTGCAAGAGAAATATTCCTGAAGCCAAAACAAACGGTGGGGTCTCGACACAACCTCGTCTGCCACTCGTTCATCCACACCATCAGCAAACTCTCAGGGTTTCTATTAAAACACCACTTGGGAAGACTAATCATCTTGCAACTATGTCAGATGATTCCATAAAAATCTCCCCAATGGACCACAGTCCATGAATAAAAGAAATAAGTCCTGAATATTCATTGGAAGGACTGATACTGAAGCTCCAATACTTTGGCCACCTGATTCAAAGAACTGACTCACTGGAAAAGACCCTGATCCTGGGAAAGACTGAAGGCAGGAGGAGACGGGGACGACAGAGGATGAACTGGTTGGATGGCATCACTGACTCAATGGACAAGTTTGAGCAAATTCTGGGAGCTGGTGATAGACAGGGAAGCCTGGCGTGTTGCAGTCCATGAGGTCGCAAAGAGTTGGACACAACTGAGTGATTTAACTGAACTGATGGACCAGAGTCATACATGATCTGAAAACTAATCTCAGAAACCTCAGTAAAGTTGGAAATGAGCCTTCCAGACAAACCATGACTATGTCTATGGTGGTGGAGAAATGGAAACCAAGAACTGAGAGGCAGATCCAGGGGGTCAGCAAGGACTCACTAACACTACCCTTGCTCTCCGCCAGGCCCAGGAGACCTCCACAGCAAGAGTGACCGTATACCAAGGCAGCACAGACCCTGGCAAATGATACACCATCGGTCAGGGCTGATCGGCTCCCAGATGCTCTTCTACTCAAAGTTCCCCACGTCTTGAGCAGCCAGTCACATCCTGAATGCTACCACCCCACTGACATCCATGCTGTAAGTGTTCCCAGACACTCCAGCCGGGTACCGTAAAGTCTTTTTTTAAAAGAAAGTATCTATCTGGTCTTAGTTGCCGCATGTAGAATCTTTCAGTTGCAGCATGTGGGATCTAGTTCCCCAATCAGGGATGGAACCCAGGGCCCCTGCATTAGGAATATGGAGCCTGAGCCACTGGGCCACCAGGGAAGTCCCTGTGGCCAAGTCTTAAGCAGTCCAACCCCAGCTGCCACAAGAACATAGTAAGTCCCAAGGTAAAGAAATGGCATTAAGTTGGCAGGCTAATGGGAGTGGCTTTGCCCACCTGGGGCAAGCTGTTTCAGTGAAATGGTGTTAAGTTGGCAGGTCAGTGGGAGTGGCTTTGCCACCTAAATGACTTAACTTCTGTGATCCTCTCCCATTTGCTCTGCTCTCTTTAAACCAACAGGGCGACTTCTGGGCATATCTTTTGATAGACTTCTGACACTGAGAACCACGTGAAGGCCTCACACACAGAAGGCAAACAAATGGAATCAGATAGGATGGTGGAGAGGAAAACTCAAGATGGAGCACAAACAGGTACAAAATCAAATGAATGGTAATGAATAATGGGAGTGCACACCAGGGAAGGGGAAAACTAACCTAAATAATTTTGGTGAAAAAATTTACTCTATACCCAAAGTGAAAGTCGTTCAGGCGTGTCTGACACTTTGCGACCCCATGGACTATGGAATTCTCCAGGCCAGAATACTGGATTGGGTAGCCTTTCCCTTCTCCAGGGGATCTTCCCAACCCAGGGATCGAACCCAGGTCTCCCACACTGCAGGTGGATTCTTTACCAGCTGAGCTACCCGGGAAGCCCTGCACAAATGTATACTCTAGTTAGGATATTCAGTTTTCATAAAGATATTGATTAGCAATTCTGTTTTTGTGGGTTTTGTTTTGTTTTTTTTTTTTTTTAATGCATGGCATGTGGGATTTTGATTCCCAACCAGGGATCGAACCCACACCCCCTACATTGGAAGCGTGGCATCTTAACCACTGGACTGCCAGGGAATCTCCTTGGCAGCAAATCTGAAACTACTCTGTGTGTATTTTATATATGGTCTACAAAGGAATGAAGGCCCAGCGTTGCTCTAAAAGTGCTCAAACTTCTATAAGGTAAGGAGGACCCCTAAAGAGAGACAAAGAGAGAGCCTGTGTGAGGGGCTGAATGCAAAAACAAATAAATAAAAATAACAAAGCAAACCAGAAGGATGGCAAGATGAAGCAGTGGGCAGGCAAAGAATATAGAATACACAACTGATATCAAAGGAAAACTCGGGAGAGCTGGAAAGAAAAAGCAGCTGCCTTAAACACTTGTCAGGCCAGAACACAGGGCCCTCCCACAGAAGCACCAGTCATGTTAAGAACTTGAGAATCCACTTTCAGCCTCACTCTCCCCCGGCTCGAAACTGGAGGGAGGCTGCCCACACCCCCTCCCTAGAGGCAGGCAGTCCATGCTGGGATCAGGGAGGCTTTTCAGCTCTAACTCAAGTTAAAAGTCTTATTTATTACCCAGGAGCAGGCATCTAACCAGTATTCTTGCCTGGAGAATCCCACAGACAGAGGAGCCTGGAGGGCTACGGTCCATGAGATTGCAAAGAGTCGGACACAACTGAGCGACTGAGCAAGAGGCTGAGTACTGACCTCAGAAAATCAATTCTTCCCTCTGGTTATGCATTATCTGGGGATGTGTCCTCCAAAAGGCACAGGAAGGAGATAGGGAGCCCTGGACTGGAATGGAAACATGTCCCAAAGACAGGAAAGTGAGGGGGTGGTAGGGACAGGAGATGGCCTTCTGGTCTACCTCTTGGCACAGACAAGCAAAAGGCACCACCCCCTGAACACTGCCCAGGCTGAGGAAGCAAAGGACTCACAGGGACAGGCCCAGCGGCAGCCACAGGCTTCCTCCATTCTGATCGGGGTCTGGCTGTCGGGGCATGATGGCTGCGGCCCCTGATCACAGTTGACCCGGTGACTCTTCAGCAAGGTCTGGCCATCTGGCAGGCAAGTCACCGTGTGGCACTGATCCAGCAAGGTCCAGACGTCCCCAGGCTGCAGAGAAAGAATCAAGTTCGGACAGGGACTGGAGTGAGGCACTTCAACATCCGCTAGGCAACTAACCCTCCCACACTCAGGAGACACAGAAACTACAGCTTGGGCCTGAATGGCAAGGAGGCAGGATACAGAACATAAGAATTACAGGTGGATCCACTCCCATCCCCAACCAAAATTATTTATTTATTTATTTATGCTTTTATTATTTATTTCATTCCAGGTCTTTGCTGCTCCGTGGGCTTTCTCTAGTTGTGGCGAGTAGGGGACACTGTCTAGTTGTGGTGCGTGGGTTTCTCATTGCAGTGACTTCTCCTGTTGTGGAGCACGGGCTCTAGGGTATGCAGGCTTCAGTAGTTGCAGCTCCTGGGCTCTAGAGCACAGGCTCAATAGTTGTGGCCCATGGGCATGGTTGCTCCACGGCATATGGAATCTGCCCAGACCAGGGATCAAACCTGTGTCTCTTGCCTTGGCAGGCAGATTCTTTACCAGTGAGCCACCAGGGAAGCCCCCAATTTAAAAAAAAAAAAAAAAACTACTGGACCCAGACCAAAGGAGGAAAAGTTAACCAGGGGGTCGAGGACCCCAAATATACATTCCTGATCTTTCCTTCAAAGCCAACAGAAAGGAACTTACCCTCCTCTCATTCCCATCCTCATCCACGCAAACACTGACGAACCCTGAAACAGATACAAGTCAGACCTCTGTCCCCACCCACCACCCAGAAATTCTGAGCCATTCGCTCAGCTACCTGGCTAGTCCTTGAAGCTGGATTAACTCTGAAAACAACGTGAGTGAAATGAGCAGTGAGGATTCAGGTACGGGAGATTAGAAGGCAGTCATCTTGTGGTTCTTCAGGCAAACGTTGTGGGGTGCTTTTTTTTTTTTTTGGCTTTGCCTTATGGCTTGCAGGATCTTAGTTCCCTGATCAGGGAGCAAGTCCATGCTCCCAGCAGTGGGAGTGTATGATCCTAACCACTGGATCGCCAGAGAATTCCATAAGCTTTGTGGTTGTTAGTCATTATAGTGATACAACAGTAATAACATGGCAACAACTACAATCAATATCTTCTTGTCCTCTTTTCTATGTATTGATATTAATAGATCAGTGCCTAGTAAGAAGAGGGAAATGAGACAAGATCCTGAAATCTTAAAAGAAATCATCAAAATTCCTACTAATTCCTTCCTTGCTATCATCTAGCAAGACAGGGCAATAACTCCTAGTAGGTTTGGACTCACACCTAATTATATTAGGTAAATACAAAAAAACAAGTTTAAAAAATATTATGTATGGGGAAGAAAAGGAGATCAAACCAGTCAATCCTAAAGGAAATCAACCTGAATATTCATTGGAAGGACTGATGTTGAAGCTGAAGCTCCAAAACTTTGACCACCTGATGCAAAGAGCTGACTCATTGGAAAAGACCTTGATGCTGGGAAAGATTGAAGGCAGGAGGAAAAGGAGACAACAGAGGATGAGACAATCGGATGGCATCACGATTCAATGGACATGAACTTGAGCAAACTCCGGGAGATAGTGAAGGACAGGGAAGCCTAACATGCTGCAGTCCATGGGGTCGCAGAGAGTCATACACGACTTGGCAACTGAACAGCAATGGTAAAAACAAAAAGCTTCTAACCCTAAATCAGCTTAAATTATGGTACTTTGATGTTAGATTCTATGTTACCATATTTCTTTTTTTAATCTTTTCATTTTCTTTTTTATTGGAGAATAGTTGATTGACAATACTGTGTCAGTTTCAGGTATACCACAAAGGTATTATTATATTTTTTTAGATTATATTCCGTTATAGATTATTACAAGATCTTGATTATAAATCTCCATGCTATACAGTAAATCTGTATTGCTTTTCTAAAGCCTTTTACACCCTTGCTGAGGATGAGTGCAGGGCCTGGAGAAGAGGTCCATGACCTGTGGATATTGGGGTTCCCTGACTCTGCCTTCCATTTCTTTGTCCAGAAGCCCCATCCATAGTGAGCAAGGACAGTAAGGAGGGGAGGAGGTAGATACATAGAGAACTTTCTGGCAGCCCCTTGGAGATTTGTCTTAAAATCTCCCACAAGCAGAAATTTATAAATCATGGCCTATAAAACAGTCTTAATTCAAGGCCAAATCCCATGTATGGGAACCTCTAGTGTCTAGATGGATTTCATTGCTTTTGCTTCTATTTTGAGGGGATAAGAGAGGCATCACAAGACTCACCAGAGCATAGCTTCTGGAAGAAGGAGTTGCCAAGGGCAACCATGCTGGGGAGGTCTTCAATCCGCTGGAGCTCTGCCACGTTGGAGCTGGCCCCCGGGCCTGCCAAGACCCTTAGCTGGGCTGCATCATACTGGTCCCCAATCCCGATGGGGAATACGGCCACTCCTGGGGTTGCAGAGGAACGAGAAAGGGTCTGTGCTCACCTTTGGTCAGGTGGGTTCAGAGTGGTCTGGCCTGAAGCTTCACCCAGCCACGTGTAGAGTCTCCATACTTTAAAGCAATTATCCTCCAATTAAAAATAAATTTTAAAAAAACTGAAAAAAAAAGATGAGCTGTTCCCCAGGGAGCATAAGGAGATGCTACATCATTCCACTCATCCAGCACTCCACGCCTCCTCCCCCGGGGCAACACTACCTGCCCCAGCTCACAGCATGAGCTCTCACAAGACCTGCAGCCTAGGCACACCTGTAACCTTTGCCTTCCTAAAGCAGCACCCTTGGTCTCCTCCTGTCCATCCAGCATCCCCAAGCCCCTAGGCTGGTACCAAACAGGGGCCACGAATACAGGAAGATCCCTGGTGGTTCTCTAGGCCCCAGCACGAATCACTCAAGCCTCAGACACATGGGAGTGGAGAGAGGCCAATGAGGCCATAGTTGTGGGGGTACGACCCGGCCCTGGACACAGAGGGCAAGTCAGGAGAAACTGAAGGTTACGGTCAAAGGAATGCAAATGAAGGATGTGTGCATGAATGCTAAGTCTCTCAGTTGTGTCCGACTCTTTGCGACCCTATGGACTGTAGCCTGCCAGGCTCCTCTGTCCATGGGTTTCTCCAGGCAAGAAAACTGGAGTGGGTTGCCAGGAACAATCGTTTATCACCGCTTCACTCCCAAATAACACAGGGATTGGGCAATTTCCCACTGTTTGAAACCAGGCCACACGTGGGCATCAAGCATTCGAAATCAGCCAGGACATCGGAAAGTAACCACCGCCCACTCTGCCCTCCAGCAGGTTGGGGGGTGGGGACAGGGGTGGTCTCAGGACTGAACCCTGGACACTCACGGTTGGATCTGGCAGCAGCAGCAGCCGCCTCCACTGAGTCCATGGAGGAGCCTGTGACCAGAATCACCACCACCTTGGAGGCCCCGGGCCTGGCACCATGGACTTGGGATGTGATGTAGCGCACCGCGAAGGACAACGCCTCCCCTGGGAACAGACAGGGGGCCGCACAATCAGTCCTGACTCAGAAATGGTGGTCCTGAGGCCAGCTGAGCACCCCGTCTCCTGATGGAGCCTCAGATCACGAGACGGAGTGACTCGGAGAGGCTCACACATGGGTGAGATGGGGAAGAGTGTCTCGGCCCTTGGTTTACAGGAAGGAAACTAAGGCTAAGGAGTGAGGCGGCCAGCCGGGGTCACTCGGTCACTTGTGCCAGGAGCGGGGACTGCACGCAGCATCCCCCGCCCCCAAGCCCGCACCCACATTACCGACTTGGCTGGGGCCTCCCTCGCGCTGCATGGGGTCCACAAGCCTCAGCAGGTGGTCTTTGTCCATGTGCACGCTCCAGGACACGTCGATGTTGGTGATGCTTCCGTATTGCAGGACTGACACCTGGGTGAGCTGAGGGCCTGGCGGGAGATGGGGCGCAGGAGTCACACTCTGGATCAGCCCCCGTAACACCCCGCTTCGGATGCCTCACTCACCTAGGTTGGCTTTTGAGATGAAAGCCTTGGCGAAACTCTTCATTTCATCAAAGTAAGAGGCTGGAGGGGTGGAGGAGCCGTCCAGGAGGAGGACTACATCCAGGGGCTGGCTGCAGTCTGCGGAGAGACAGGAGAGAGGAGCCAAGGGCAGCGGGGGACAGGGCCCAGATACGCAGTGGAGGGTGTGTGCAGGGCGCTGGACTGGGAGGCGCCACATCAGGGAGGCATGTCGCCCAGTCCTGCATGGGTGCGGCAGCTGGTGCCAGGTGGCAGGCAAGGGGGCTGCAAGACCCTGGGTGTGGAGACGTTGGGGGGATGCCAACACCGCACAAAGGCAGTTTAGACACCACAGGCGGCAGCAAGAGGCAGAGACATCCTGCCTCTCCATTTCGGGGGCTCTTCTGGAATTGAATGATAGACTGGAGCAGAAAACAGGTAGATGGCAAGGGAAACAGAGCAGCCCATCCTTGGAAGGTGGACTTGTGTGTCCGCAGGTCTCAGGCGGCACATAAGGAGCTAGGAGGTGATTCTATTACAAAGGCCTAAAGCTCATGTGGATGGTTGGGACCAGGGTCATGATCACCGTGAGGAAACAAACTCTGCCCCAAATGCCATTCTGAGATCGGATGAAGCTATTACTGAGCAATCACAAGAGTTTAGATAAACCAGTGGCCCAAATAAAAACCAAGAAACAAAGGCATAGACAACAAGTGTAAGGATCAAGAGACAATGAAAGAAGGCTAGTGATTCTGGAATGGTTCCAAACACTCCAAATAAAGATACTCTAGAACTAGGGATTGGGCTTCCCCGGAGACTCTGTGGTTAAGAGTCCATCTGCCAATGCAGGAGACATGGGTTCGCTCTCTCATCCGGGAAGATCCCACATGCTTGTGGAGCAACTAAGCCCATGCATTGCAACTGTTCAGCCTGCACTCTGGAGCTGGGGAACCACAACTACTGAAGCCCAAGTGCCCTAGAGCCGGTGTTCCACAAGAGAAACCGCCACAGTGAGAAAAACTTGCACCACAACACAGAGTAGCCCCCGCTCACCACAACTAGAGGAAAGCCTGAGCGCAGCAACAAAGACCAAGCACATCCAGAAATAAGTAAGTAAATAAAGAACTAGAAACTGATTAGTCGTTAGTATCAGCTAAGAAGGTAGTAATAATAGCAGGGAAGATAAGCCATCTTTGAGTTCTTGCTACGTCCTAGGTACCATTCTAAGCATTTACAAGTAAGCACTATTATTATCCACATCTTACAGATGCATGCGTGCTGAGTCACTCAGTTGTGTCTGACTCTTTGCGACCCTATGGACTGTAGCCTGCCAGACATCTCTGCTCAAGGGATTCTCCAGGCAAGAATACTGGAGTGGGTGACCATGCTCCTCCTCTAGGGAATCTCCCCAACCCAGTGATTGAACCTGGGTCTGCAGAATCTTTACCATTTGAGCCACTGGGGAAGCCCATAAGAAAAGATCCGTCCCCCTCAAAAGACCACAGATGCCTCTCCCTGAAGGCGGGATGTGACAGAAAACAGAGCAGAGAAGCCAGACTGGAGTCTGAGAATGGCATCTCCACCAAGGCAGCCCCCAGACCCCCCCGCCAAGTCCTCACTCCCACGCCAAGCGCCCACATACCTGGGTCAGGGATGAGGGTGGGGAGGTGAGGGCCGTCTTCGGAGCAGCACCGCTGCAGCACCAGATCCGGAGCTTCTCGGGGGAGCCTCTCGAAGTCCTGGATGAAGATGGGGGTCTGGGGCCAGCTGACCCTCTCCAGCTCCTGCACGTCCACGCGGGGGCCCACGCCGATGGGCACCAGCTGGATGTCTCCGGGCATCCGCCGGATCTTGTCCGAGGCCGGGCTGCCCGTCACCATGTAGACCAAGTTGGGCGCCTGCTCCCGGTCCCCCTGGTTGGCGGAGAAGCTGTGCTCCGACAGGTACTGCAGGGCCAGCCCCGTGTTCGTCTGGTTGCCACCCCGATAGCGGACTTCACGGAGCCGCCGCAGGACCTCCTCCTTGGACTGCGGCTCCCTGAAGGAGTGCTCCACGCTCACCACGTACGAGTACTGCAGCACTGTGACATGGATGCCGTCCCGGCCCACGTCCATGCGCCGGATCACTTCCTTCACCATCTCCGCGCTCCTGTTGAAGTTGGCCTCGCCCACCTCGTCGGAGCCTTCCAGGAGGAACGCCACATCCAGGACCACGGAGCTCCTCTTAGGTCCCGACGGCGAAGGACCCAGGAGCAGAGGCGCCACAGTGACCTGTGCGGCGAGGGGACGTCGCGTCGGGGTCGGGGCAGGCACCTCGGGGGCGAGGTCGCAGAGGTAGCCGACGATCTCGTCCATCCGCTGCTCCAGCTCGTGCACACCGCTTAGCACAAAGGCTTTGTTCTCGGACGCCTGCTTCTCGATGAGGCGGATCTGCTTGAGGCTGGCGTGGGGCCCAATGCCCACGGGGACCACGGAAACCTTTTTCTTCTTCAGGCCCTGGGCGTAGCGGACCAAGTTCCGGGCCAGCCTGGGGGGCTCCTGGCTGGCCGTAAGTAGCAGGGCCACGCGAGAGGCCTCGGGCCGGTCAATCCTGCCGAAGATCTGGAAGAGCGTGTACTTCAAGACCTCACTGGTGGAAGCCACCTCGCTACCCGCGTACTTCACCTGCCCGGCGATGCGCCGCAGCTCAGACGGCCGTTTCCGGTCCTGCAGCGCGAGGTAGGCGTGGGAGCCATCGTGGTACTCCACCACGGCCACGCGGATGCGCTTCTGGGAAATGTGCAGACGCTCCATCATGCCCACCACGAACGCCTTCAGCGTCTCGAAGTCGGCCTCGGACAGCTTGGAGGAGCCGTCCAGCAGGAAGACGAGGTCCAGGAGTCTGCTGCAGAAAAAGTCGTGTAGGGGCGGCTCCGGGGTGTCCTCCACGTATGGGGTTGTGGGGCTGACCGGGCCTTCGGTGGGGGGCGCGGGCAGGCCTCCTGGCTCCCTGCAGGCTTCACAAGAGAGGCTGACACCATCACAGTGACTGCAGGAGGGGAGAGACCAAAGTGGTTCAGGAAGAAGCTCTGGGCACTTCCCAGCCCCCTGGACCTGAGCCCCCAAAGACTACTGCCCACTGGAAAGAGACACCATGCTTAACATATGTCCCCAAGCAGTCCCCTACACACACACACACACACACACACACATACACACATGCACACACACATATATACACACATTTATGCATATACATGCATAAATATACACATGCACATTTTATACACATAGATACATACACATATGCACACACATATACACATACACACTTCCTTTGAGTTGTGATTCCTCTGAAAACCAAAGCTTCTACCCAACCTAGGACCAAAAAATGAATTTTTCTTCTTTCTCTGCAGTCCACACAGCCATTCAAAGTTGACTGATTTTCAACCTATGCCTCTAGCAACATAAATATTTAATTATAATCCAAGCCTTCTCCCAAATATCTCCAAAGACAAACACTGCTCTGTAATGTTGACGCTAACCAGGACTTGTAAATGCTCTACTGAAGATATATGTTTTTCAGTATTTATTAAACAGAGTCTAAGCTGCGTAATTCTGTAGCGTCTTTAACATGTTGGGCTTTAGAAAGAGAGGAAAACTGGAGTAAAATCATTTTGGAGAGATGAATAAAGATTTGAAATCCCAGTTTTATCTGGCAGAACAAAGTACTGGAAGTGGTATTCTCGGGTCTCCAAGATGCTAGATGGGGAACAACAGTAACTCATTCATTCTTTCCCACAATGGACAGGCGATTTACGCCCATCACGTGCCAGGATCTGGCTATGCCCCATGCCCAGCCCCAAGCCCCCACACAACTTCTCACCCCACCATGCCAAGTTTCCGGTCCCCTGGTCACTTCTCTTCCTTTCACCAGGATTCTGGAAAGTGGCAGGGTCTGCCAGACCACAGGAGAAGCTGCCTGTGGTAGAGACCCATTCAGGCTAGAACCTTGTCCTGCAGGCACTCTCAGCCGTTGTGGCCACTTGCTCGCAGCATCGCAGTAGGGTGAGGGGACAGCAGTGCCTAAACCCCAGAGTATCCCTGCGGAGTGCCTCCCAGAGGTGTCCCCAGCCTGCTCCAGGACCGCTCTCCACACGGGTTTGCAACCGCAGCATGTACCCAGGTGACTGCCCTCCCCATGTGCCTGCAGCTCAGAACCCCTACACTTCGGCACAGCCAGCAGGCAGGCAGGGTCTTAAAGGAAAGTCGATTCCTACTTCCTCATACTCCACGTGATTTAGGGCCTCCATCCTTGGTTAATGGAGCATGAGTAATGTACTCTCGAGTTTTCCTGTGTTTGCTAGAAAATTCACCCAGGATGAGTGCACTCGGAGTCTGACCCTGGCAGCCATAGCCACGGCCCCTTTCTTCCTCAGCGAGTTTGAGTTCTCAAGTTTAGGATCCCATAAAGGAATGGTGCTGAGCATATCAGCGTTGGGACAAATATTCTCAACTTAGGAGCAGGGCTTCAGGGAGGTCAGAGCTCACCCCCCAACTCCTCCTCACCTCCCCAGGGCCAGCTGCCAGAGGCAATCGGGTAATGGGGCAGTAGGGGGCCCCTACAATTGGTAGGGGGCAGTGACCAGTGTCTAGCTCCAGTTATGAGAGCCTCATCCTGGAACCTTGGCGGTGGCCCAAGGTGTCTAAGCTCTGCTGCCGGATCAGGGGCTCCACCTCACTTTTCCCCCACCTGCACCCCTACCTCCAGGAAACAAGAAACCTGATTTCCATAGATGCCTGTCCCCAGACTAGATGCCACCTCCAGGGACAAGAAGAGGCCAGGCCCTTCCTTCAGCAGCAGGGATAAAAACCTAAATCTCCTAAGAGGTGTTTCCTGGGGAAGAAATCTAGTCTGTCTTCAAAGACAGAGAGGCAAACTGAACAAGAACAAGACGTCCTTCCCCAAACAGACACTTTGGAGCAGGCCCCCAGGTTTGACAGTGAGACTGACCATTCAGACAACCCGGGGCGGGGTGAGGGGTGCCGTGTTACCAGATCTGGCAATGCTCAGGGTCCCCAGGGTTCAGGGTCACTTTCTTCCCGGAGGCTAAGCGCCGGCCCTCCACCTGACACACAGGGCAGTCCTCGGGGTTAACGCAGGTCTGCAAAAGCTCGTCCAGAATTTTCCCTGCACGACAAGCCTCTTGTTAGGAGCCAAAGTTCCACCTTGCCTGCAAGGAAGACTCTCCTGGCATCAAAGGGCCTGTCCCAGCTCTGCCTGCCTCCCCCAAGGGCCACCACATCACTTAGGGAGCATCCTTTCACCTACAAAATTAGGAGAGGGGGTTCCTTCTCCCACCTTGCCTCCTCCAAATCCCAGGACAAAGCAGGTCTTATCACCAGGGGTCTTTTTGTTCCTCCACCAAAAAAGATATCTGATAACTCTCAACCTGTGCTACCCACTGCCGTAGCCACTAACCACCAGTGGCTGTTACATTTGAATGTAAATTAAGTAACATCAATAAAACTGAACATTCAATTCCTTAGACACAATGAGCCCACGTCTGAGTTGAACTCTCCTGGCATTGCAGAAAGTTCTATCAGAAAGTGCTGCTCCAGATGATAAACCCATCAATGGACCCCCAGAAGCATCACACAGGAGCTCAGTTTGGCAAAAATCCCAGCTGGCCTGGCTTTGGTGGAAGGACATGGAAACAGGACCTAGGGTGATGGGGCTGGGGAGAAGGGCCCTTGGGCAAGGCTGAGATCAAGCAGGACGGGGCGGAACTTTCCCGAGGACTAGCCCACCCTCCACGCCATCCCCACTCAGGGCCAGGGCCTCACCGGGCGGGCAGTGTGCGTGGCAGCCCTCCACGCACGGCACGGGGCAGGCCAGGGGCTCCGGGTGCTGGCACGTGACGGGACAGGCGGGAGCACAGCTGTTGTAGCGCCACTCGCATTGGTACCCGCCCTCCTTCAGGTTCCGCTCCTCACAGTTCTGGGCTGTGCAGACCCCCAAACAGGCAGGACGGTTATTAAGACCCCGGGCAACCCCATGCAGCCCCGGACAGATAGCGGGAGACCCGTGGGGGTGACGGCCCCGGGGAGGAGACAATGGTGCTGGGGAAATAATACACAGTAACCCACCTCAGATCATCTGGGCTTTGAGAGCCCCCCAACCAGGAACCCAGTGGTTCTGAATCTGTTTTCCTTTTAAAAATGTTCAGTCGCTCAACACAGGAAGGAAGACGTAACATAAGTATCTGAGCTGCTCGATCATGATGGTGTGAAATGTGCTTAGTGGGTCAGTCGAGTCCGACTCCCCATGGACCATAGCCCGCCAGGCTTCTCTGTCCATGGGATTCTCCAGGCAAGAAGACTGGAGTGGGTTGTTATTCCCTTCTCCAGGGGAGCATTCTGACCCAGGGATTAAATCTAGGTATCCTGCACTGCAGGAGGATTCTTTACCATCAGAGCTACCTGGGAAGCGCTTGCTATGGTAAAAATGATCGAGTTTAATTACAGACATGCTGACCTCTTTCTTCTCTTCTTCACTGCTTCCTCTTCTCCTTCTCCCAGAATGTCCCTAGAAGAGGCTCTCCCTGTTGCTCTATTCAATCCTGACCCTCCTCACGCACACCTGTGTCCTGACCCCTCCACCTCGGGAGGGGTGACCCTCACATGGGTCTTTCTCCCCCACCGAGGTGTCCACCCCCAGGGTCTCAAGGTCTAGATGTGTGAGGGGAGGGGGCACGGCCAGGACCGTGAGGGACCACAGGACTCACGGCACAGTGTGGCTGTCCTCCAGGCCACCACCTCGCCATGCTGGGCACACACGTGGGCATAGGCGGCGATGGTGTCGCAGAAGCAGGCGCAGTCCCCGATGGACTCGCAGGAGCAGGTGTCGTAGATGCAAACATCCAGGTACGGCTCGGGGTTCACCTGCAAGGGAGGCGCGGGTAGCCGTGACCCAGGGCTGCACTTGGGGACTCTGGCCCTTGGCCAGGCAGGAATGTGCCGTTGATCAGAGTAGGGACAGCAGCTCCAGGGCAGAAGGAGAGATGTGAGGCCACGGTGCCCAGGAGGGGGTGGGTTAAAAGGCAGAAATCCTATGTCCTCACTTGGATTCCAGAAAAGGGGGGGAAAGACAGGCTTGCCAGCCTCTTATAGATAAGATGTGCCTGAGAATTTTTCAGAAGAACATTCCTTTCAATCCACTGTTCCAGGCGCCTGCTGAGCCACCATCCATCCCCATAACCCACTCCCACCCTCACGGGAGTCTGGGTGCTTTACATAAACACAACACACACACACACACACACACACACACACACACACACACACACACACACACACTCGTTCCTGGCCTTCACTCAGCAGAGAGACCAAGAAAACTGAAAACCCATCAGGACCACCCATACTGCCCCGCGAAGATGCTATAGGCTGACGTGCTGGACCTTGGCTGGCCCAGTGCTCCTGGACTCCGACCCCAAACCTACCCAAGGGAAAGTCCACCTGCTGTCCACATTCAAGCTCAGTAACCACCTCCCACCTTCATCTGCCCCACACCTGACCCCCACACACCAGCCTTGTTTGGGGGAGTAGTGGTTGGAATGAATCTGGACATAAAACAGGTCACTGGGCCCAACAGCCTTGGTTTCTTTGACCCTCTCACTGTTTCCCCACTTCCTGCTCAGGTGCCCGGGGTCTCCACCAAACCAGGGGATCCTACGTATCCTTCCAGGTCCTGCAGGACTAAAAATCACTGGCTGGACAGGAAGAGATGAAACACAGGTGCTCAGCCACTCCCACGAGGGAGACGCCACGGAGCAACAGGCCTATGCACCTGGCTGTGACTGCCCATACACGTGTCCATACATACACAGACACACACCTACCCACAGATATACACGTGCGCATATGTACATTCAGAGAGAGACAGAGAGGACACTGCACTGAACCTTGTTCGGAGAAATTCCTCATCGCCATGTGAGATAAAGACATCAAAAGAAGCCATAAAATGAGGGCTCAAAATCTGGCTTCTTAAGGGAACTTCCCTGGTGATCCCCAGATCCCCTGGTAGTTGGGATTCTGCACTTCCAATGCAGGGGGCACAGGTTCGATCCCTGGTCGGGGAACTAAGATCCCACATGCCACACAGAGCAGCCAAAAAAAAATGTTTTTAATCTGTCTGTAAGACCAGGTGAGTTTCTGTGAGACAAGACCTGGGAGCCCAGGGCAGGGGTGGAACGCCTGGGGCCAGAGACATGGCAGGGTCAGGAGAAGGGAACCCCCCATTCTGATGTTAGAGATAAGGTAACCTGTGGGGGACAAACCCCAAGACAGAGGCCAGAAGAGCAGCTCTGGCAGGATGCACAGAGAGACAAGCATTGCACAGAAGAAAAAGGCTTTGCCAAGCATCGCTTTCCCGATAAGCCATCGATTATTCTTTCTGTTTCTCAGACTGAAGCCACGAGAAGTAAGCAGCTCCAGATCATTTCTAAAGCTCCTGGAAGCATCCACGGTTGGAAGTGCCTGCCCCCCAGATCCCCCGCCACCCTCACCAGCCTGTTGCACTCCCGGAAAACATCACTGGTGAGGACCCTGCAGGAGGAATCCACCATGGTCTGCTTCATGACGTTGTCGTGGCAGGTGGCAGGGGCCGAGTCCAGCGGCACCTGGGGAGCCAAGAGGGAGAACACAGGTGGACCCAGAACAGTCAACCTGGAAGCACCCAAGAGGCCCTCTCCCCGAGCCCGCCCCCTGCAGGCCACACCACCCACCTCGCAGAGCAGGGGGGACCCCGACCTACTTTCTGGGTGTCAGCGCACCGCGGGCTCACTTTCCAGGAATTCCCAAAGTCCACGGGGTCTTCCTCCACTTGGAGGCTGCTGCTGGTGAGGTCGTTGTTCTGGATGCCGTCAAAATTCCCACACAGGCCGCACACCCGCTCCTGGGGGACAAGTAGGGGGAGCATGAGCTTTGCAAACCTCGGAGCAAACTGGCTGAGTCAGGAGGAGGAGGGTTCCGGACAGCAGGGGAGGCAGACTCGCCTGAGGAAAAGGAGGAGGGAAGGGGATGGGAGGGCGGCCCAGAGGGAGACCAGGGTGGTCAGCAAAGTCTTGACCCTGCCAAGGCCTTTGACCTGTTTCTGCACTGACCTCCATACTGTGACTGTTCAATTGCTCGGTCATGTCCAACTCTGTGAACCCATGGATCACAGCACAACTGTCCTTCACCATCTCCCTGCATTTGCTCAAACTCATGTCCATTGAGTCGGTGATGCCATCCAACCATCTCATCCTCTGTCTCCCCCTTCTCAGTATGAACATAAATGACCCCATGTTAAGGTTAAGGAAACCAAGATCATTCACAGAGATCCAGGTCCCTTGGAGGGCCAGTTAAGCAGCTTGCGTCCTGATCCCTGCAGTATAAACCATCAGCCGCCCCAGTAAGGGTCTGAGCAGAAGAGAAGCTGGTTCAACATTACATCAGTGAAAGTGTGAGAGGTCTGAGGAAGGAGCCCTCTAGTCCCGCCTGACTGTGGACAGGTGCTTGCCTTCCCTGGACAACTGCAGCCTGTTCGGAGCAGGCTGGCCAGGATTCTGTGTGTGTTAGTCACTCGGTCGTATCCAACTCTTTGTGACCCCATGGGCTACAGCCCACCAGGTTCCTCTGTCCATGGAATTCTCCAGGCAAGAATACTGGAGTGGGTTGCCATTTTCTTCTCCAGTGGACCTTCCCAACCCAGGGATCTAACCCATGTCTCCTGCATTACAGGCAGATTCCTTACCATCTGAGCCACCAGGGAAGGCCAGGATTCTGCTGTATACTAAATGCTACCAGGGCTGACATAGTATCTTACTTGTCTCCATGTTCACCCATCAAGGGGTGCAGTATACAACAAATCCTGACCAACTAATGAGTGAATAGATGGAAACCATCACATCAGAACGACTGGACAAGGACTTCTCCAGAGGTCCAGTGGTTAAGACTCTGCCTTCCAATGCAGGGGGTGCAGGTTCGATCCCTGGTCAAGGAACTAAGGTCTCATAAGCCGTGAGGTGTGCCCGAATTTTTTTTTTTAAATGGACAAAATCAGCCTGGAAAAGAAAAGGTGATGCTTTTAGAACCTTTTTGAAGTCCTGCCTTGAGACAAAGAGAGGTGACTTATTCTGTTTTGCTAGGAAATATGTAAGAAAAATGTTCTCACAGGTGGACAAAAGGACAAAGATATTTACTTGGCCTAATAGCCCCTGTGTATGGCCCCTGCCTGGTCCCTGTCCTTACTGACCACCAATCACCCCAAGCCCCTCCTCTCTAGCCACCCTGGTCTGCTTGTTCAAAACAAACACCATCCACCTCAGGGCCTTGGCACCTGCTGTGCCATCTGCCTAAACTCTCAAGTCAGGATATTTACATGACTCCATTCCCTCTTCCGCAAAGACTCTATTCACACTTTCTGTGTGAGTTTCTGTGAGTTTGTGTCTCATCACACTTTCTGAGACAAGTCTCATCAGACCAACCAATCTAAAATACTTAGTGGCCCAGTGGTTTAGAATCAGTCTTGCAACGCAAAAGGATGTGAGTTCAATCCCTGGTTAGGGAGCTAACATCCCACATACCACGGAGCAACTGAACCCAAACACCACTAGAGAGTCCCTGCTCTGCAATGGAAGATATCACATAACATGACTAAGATCCAACACAGCCAAATAAATAAATAATTTTTTTTAAAAGACATATAATAGGGACTTCCCTGGTGGCCCAGTGGCTAAGACTCCATGCTCCCAATGCAGAGGGCCTGGGTTTGATCCTTGGTCGGGGAACTAGATCCCACATGCTGCAACTAAGAGTTTACATGCTGCAACTAAACAGCCTGCACGCTGCAACTAAGACTCGGAGCAGCCAAATAAATAAATAAAAAATATATTTTTAAATATATATATAATCTTTAAAAAATGAAACACATAATATCCCCACTAGAATACGACCTCCATCAGGTTTCCCTGATGGCTCAGAGAGTAAGGAATCTGCCTGAAGTGCAGGAGATGCAGGAGATGCGGGAGATGCAGGAGATGCGGGTTCAATCCTTGCGTCAGGAAGATCCCCTGGAGGAGGGCATGGCAACCCACTCCAGTATTCTTGCCTGGAGAATCCCATGGATAGAGGAGCCTGGTAGGCTGCAGTCCATGAGGTCGCAAAGAGTCAGACACAACTGAGCGATTAAGCAAGCAGGCAGGGTTGTGGTAGGCAAAACGATACCCAGCCCCAAAGATGTCCAAGTCCTAATCCCCAGAACCAGGAATATGTCACCATACACGGCTAAGGGAACTTTGCAGGTGTGTTAGGTCAAAGACCTTGAGACAGGAAGACTGTCCTGGGTCATCTGGGTAAGCTCAAGGTAATCACTGGGTCCCATACGGTGTGCAGGAGAAGTCAGAATGAGAAAGGCGATGTGACAGAGGGGAACAGAGAGCAGACGATGCTATGCTGTTGGCTTTGAAGATGGAGGATGAGACCACAGCCAGGGGATGCAGGCAGTCTCCTGAAGCTAGAAAAGTCAAGGACAGATTCTCCCCTCACTGTATCAATAGTCAGTTATTTCCCCCCCCGGACCCAGAGTGCCTAGAACAGTGCTTGACACATAACAGGGGTTTAGTAAGCATCTGTTGAATAATGGAATGAGTACATTGCTGATGCTCTCCAGAAATGGCATGATGTCCCAAGGAGCAGCCTCACTTGGGTACGAGCTGAGAATGAGCCATCAGAATGCTGGGAAAGTGGGTCCTGCCACCAGGGCAGACAGAGCACTCATCACATACATGCATGGAGGAAATGAAGTCCCAGCAAACTGTCAAGACCTGGACAGACACCACGAGCTTTCCCCCAAGCACGTCATGAGCCGTCTCACCACAGCCCCTGGCAGGTGCTGGCCTGGGCTCCATGGGAGGCACACCCAGAATGTTCTGGAGTGTTATAGTCACATGGTGTGTGATGGGATTTGCTCCTTAGGTTAGGAAACCTTAAGAATACCTACTTCCAGTCAAGGGACTGTTTGCAGGGTCCAGGACCCTCATCCTGCCATAGGCAACTGTCTCGGGAAACAGCCAAGGCGAACTCTAATCCTTGAGTCTTATTTGTGTTGGGAGGAGGCTGAGCCAGGTGACCACCCATCTTCCCCCTGAGACTGTGGGTGAGGATCCCAGATGCTGCTCAGGGAGCTGAAGATGCAAGCAGACAGAAGAGGGAGGAAGTGGAGAAAGGCCACCCACCTGGTACGTCCGCTTCAGGAACACGGAGACGGCCAGGTGCCCGTCCCAGACCACAGAGAGGGACTTGCCCAGCAGCACAGTGATGTACCGGCCGGACTCCACCACCTCGAAGTGCGTCTCATCCTTCATGGGCTTCTTCACGTTCACCTGAGCGAGAGACCAGGACAGTAAGGGACAGTATACATGTGTATATATATAATGTATGCTTGTATATGTGTATGCTGCTGCTGCTGCTAAGTCGCTTCAGTCGTGTCCACTCTGTGCGACCCCATAGACGGCAGCCCAACAGGCTCCTCTGTCCCTGGGATTCTCCAGGCAAGAATGCTGGAGTGGGTTGACATTTCCTTCTCCAATATATGTGTATATACCTGTATATATATATGTGTATATATATAATGTATGCTTGTATATGTGTGTATATATATTTGTGCGAATAATGCATGTATATATGTGTGTATCATTTGTATATGTAATACATATAAATGTGGGACTTAATATATATGTGTGTATAACACAATTACATGTATAATGTATGTGTATATATATGTGCAGACATTTGTATATATTATATATAAGTGTGGGTATACATGCATACATGTGTATGTATGTGTGTATACATTTATACACGCTATATACGTGTGTGGGATACAATATGTGTACATATGTATATATGCATATACATTTGTATGTATATGTGTATATACATGTATATACATTGTGTATACATTTGTATATATAATATATATGCACATGTGTGTATAATACATTTGTGTATATATTTATACTTGTTGCATACATTTGCATGTATAATACATATAACTGGGTATACAATATATGTATACATGTGTCTAAACGTGTGTATACATTTGTATATATAATAACATACAGCTATGGGTATATAATATGCATGTATATGTGTATACATGTGCATATAATGTATATTTATAATGTATATTTATATATACATATGTGTACGTGTGTATATATAATACATATAGCTATAGGTACATAATACATATGCATATGTATGTGTGTATAGAATATATATGTATATGTGTGTGTACATGTGTGTGTATATATAATTCATATAACTGTGGTACATAATATATATGTATATGTGTGTACACTAGTATGTGTGCTTGTATGTGATGTGTATGTATGTGTGTATACATTTATACACGCTATATACGTGTGTGGGATATAATATGTGTACATATGTATATATGCATATACATTTGTATGTATATGTGTATATACACATATACATTATACACATTTGTATGTATATGTGTATATACATGTATATACATTATGTATACATTTGTATATATAATATATATGCACATGTGTGTATAATACATTTGTGTATATATTTATACTTATTGCATACATTTGCATGTATAATACATATAACTGGGTATACAATATATGTATACATGTGTCTAAACATGTGTATACATTTGTATATATAATACATACAGCTATGGGTATATAATATGCATGTATATGTGTATACATGTGCATATAATGTATATTTATATAATACTATGTGTACGTGTGTATATATAATACATATAGCTATGGGTACATAATATATATGCATATGTATGTGTGTATAGAATATATATATGTATGTGTGTGTGTACATGTGTGTGTATATATAATTCATATAACTGTGGTACATAATATATATGTATATGTGTGTACACTAGTATGTGTGCTTGTATGTGTATAATGCATGTTTATACATACACATGTCTACATGTGTATTGTAATAACAAGACTGTGGGCATATAACACAGGTGTGTGTGTGCATGTATTCCCATATGAAAGTCCTCCCGCCCTCCACTCCGCCCAGAGTCAGCCTGGCTCTTTCTACACTGGTGCAGATACAGTTACACACCCTCCTCCACATGTGCCTGCACTTTCTTTTACTAAAATCCATCACCATCTGCACCTGCCCCCCTCGCAGGACGTGGTGAGGTCTCTCCACCAGCAGCATCATGCTCCACCGCACATGTCCTGCACGAATGCTGGGCACTGCTCCCCATTAGCTGACGGGGGGACTGAGGGTGGGGGGACCTGCCCACACTCACCTCCCCGTCAAACAGCTCGATCTCTCCTCCTTCCACCAGGATGGTGATGCGCTTCCTGCACTTCAGGGAGGGGACGCTGCACCCCTCATTCCCCACCAGGACCCGGAAGGTCCCAGGGTTACTACCGCAGTGGTCCTGGGGAAAGGAGTGGGTGTCAGGAGAGAAACACGATCCTTCCACCCCTCCCCAGACCGGCAGACCAGTGGCCGGTCCTCCCAGGCCTTTGGAGGGAATGTTACAGGAGGCTGCCGTGACCACACGCATGTGTGTGTGCTTCTGTGTTCATGGCCAGGCGACACTCACAGGTGTGCCATCCTCCGCCGTCACCCACGAGCCGAGTGCCTACAGTCAGGCAGGGAGAAGGGCTGGGGGGCAGGAGGGAGGAAGAAGGGAGGCAGAGCGGGAGTGTGGACACATCAGCCTGCTGCTCCCCCCGACCCCGGAGCCTGCTGGGCCAGCCTCAGCCAGGGACCCACGCTATCAGGCATGTGACACTCGCTAGACCCAAGCTCCAGTGGAGTCCCCTGGGTGGCTGGCCAGGACTGTAACCAAGGACCGCCAGACCCAGCAACACCAGCTGAGCTGCCAGCTCTAGAAGGGAACGGAGGCTGAGTGGGCACTGGTCCTCGCTGGGGTCTGCACAGAAAAGAAGCAGAAAGGGACAGGCTTCTGGCAAACACCTCCCATCGTGGCTGTCGCTGCAGTGTGGTGGGGAAAACCACTCAACTTAGAAAAGCTAGGTGCGGGCTTGCTTCTGCCATGTCTGGGATAATGTTGAGTAGGTCACTTACCTCTCTGACCCCACACACACACACATAAGTACACACACATACATGCACATGCATCACACATACAATACATGCTTGCACACACACAGACATGCACATATACATAAACAGACACACATTCATAAAGACACACACACAACATACATACAATATACACTTTCACGCATACACACATGTATATATATACACATGCACACATACACATGCACACATACAGACACACATTCATATACACACAAAGACACATATGTGCACATACATAACACACAAAGTACATGTTCATACACAGCCACACACATGCATATACACACAAGTGCACACATATGCAAACACATATACAGACACGTGCATATACGCACATACACCCAAATGCACGTACATAGATAACACATGCAATACACACTCTGCACATACCTAGACACATACACTGACACACACGCATACAGACATACCACACATAGGACGTGCCCCTCTGTAAGATGGAATTAGCCAACCTAACAGGACTCAGGTTAAACGGGTTTGTCTCAGGCTAATGGGTTGTCAGGTTAATGCGTTTGTGTTGGGTTCGTGGGATTGCTGGGTTAAACGGGTTAGTGTTGGGTTAACGGGATTGTGAAAGTTGTAAGAGGGAACAAAGGTAGAAGCGCTGCGTCACCAGCGGAGATTTTTCTGGAGGAGAGAGTTTAGTCCTGAGAACACCTCCCAGAGGAGGAAGGGGGGGCAGGGAGGGGGCCCAGGAAGAGCATCGAGGGGACATCAGCACTGGCTGTGGGGCGGGACTAGCGGCCCCCCGAGGGCACAGCTCCACGGGGCACAACTGCCCACCTGGGCAGCTTCACTGGGCAGGCAGAGGCAGGGCAGGGGGTCTGACCAGCTCCTCTCACTGCACTGAACTGCGCTTTCTGGGTGTCCAGATATGAACCTGACTGAGGGTGGAGCTCCAGAGCTGGGGTCACCCCTTCTTTTGCTACCAAGGCTGGAAGGCACTCAGGTAACAAAGATGGGCTTCCACATACGACCTGTTCGGAAGCCCCAGAGGGCACCTGGGTGTGGGTAAAACCATTTCATGGCGTGCATGCCCGTCTGCCAGCATGCCACCGCCTCTCTGGGGCCAATCTGGGGCGGGGGACAGAGGCAGGGGGCTCATTTCCCCCATGCCAGGCAGGTGTCATCCTCTGTCTCCCTCAATGCCCGACTCCCTGCAGTTGTCTCTGGGGCTGAGGCTCCTGTGGGTCTGTGGTCCTCCCTCCAGATCACACAGAGCCCCTCCTCCCACTCGAGAGAGTGGAGATGAACAGACCTGCAGAGTCCAGCCTCCTCGTTGTCATGAATAAAGAGCCCAGCCCTCCTTGCTCACCCACATCGGTGTCAACCAGCAAGAGAAACGCCCAGGAGTCCACCCGGCGGGAGAGGGGGCAGAGCGGTCCACGGCTAGGATCCCCGGGGTTGCTTCCTACCCTGTGGGCAGTAGGACCTGCACTACCCCACACCCCCTCCCCACTCTGAGCTGCACTAGGTTGGAAATGACAATGGTGAATAGGATAGAACAGGATACAACAGAATAGAATACAATAGAAAAGAAGAGGAGCCCCCTACGTATGAACCTTCAAGTTCCGAACTTTCAAAGATGCAAACGTGCAACTTGTGTTCTAGCAAGGAACCATCAACATCAGGCGTGAGTGAACAGGCAGCTTGCCCTCCGTCTCCCACTGCTGATGGCCCTTCAGCTCCACCATCTCCCCCTCCTCTCCCAGCTCCAGGCCCAACTCTTCTTGCCTGGTCACGCGATGCCAGCCCCTGTGGGTCAGCTGTTGTGCTGTTCTACTTTTGTACTATTGTACTTTTCGAGGTACTGCAGTGTCAGATTAAAAATGTTTTCTTTACTTTTGTATTTGTTTTTTCACATAGTATTTGTATAAAAAGTATTATAAACCTATTACAGTATAGTACAAAATATAGACAACTGTGTTAACCTAGGCTAATGTAGGTGGATTTGTGAACAAACTGGACTTACAAATGTGCTCTCAGAATAGAACTCATTCGTATGTAGGAGACACGTTGTAGAAAAGAACAGAACAGAATAGATATGATGGAACAGAATCACAGGAAGCGAAGGAAACTCCAGGGGTCATTTCCACTATCCCCAGCAGGCTGTCCACCATACAAGGATGCTGGCAGAGAGGGTGCCGGGGCCAAAATCCAGGCCCGACTCCACTCGCCATAGTTGGTTCCCTGTCCAAGCTGTGTCTGCCAGGAGGAAAGAAGCCCTTCTCTCATTCCCTTGTGCTGGAATTGGGGTGATGTGAGCCTGCTCCACACCAAGGCCGGTTGACCAATGAGTTTCTGTCCATCCCTGGAGGCATCCAGGGAGTTGGGGCAAGTCAGCAGTCACCAGGGTCTCGAGGCCCCGCCTCTCCAGGGACTGGGAAATCACTCCCTTAGAAACCAGTCCCCAGAGCTGTTTCCACTAGCAGCTCTATCCTGGGGCCCCCCTCCCCACTCCCCGGCTCTCACCTGCACCAGGACGTACTGGCACTCCCCCGGGAACAGGTACTTGAGCCCATCAAAGGTAAAGTAGTGAGCCAGACCCAGGGCGGAGCACCTAGCGTCACACACGTGGTCCGTACAGTTCCACTTCCGGTCTTGACAGACGCTGGGGACAGAAGATGGTGAGTGAGGGTGAGGCCCTTGGATATGGGGGCAGGTCCAGCATCAGGGCAGCCAGGACACCACCTACCCCCAGGAGGCCTCGGGAAGCGGTGGGGGGCTTTGTGGCTTGAAGCTCGGACCTCACAGGGCTCTGCAGTCATGAACCCACATGTTTTTAGAGCACCAGGCCCAGGAGGACAGGGAGGCCATGCTACCCTCTCATCAAAGGGGGAAACAGGCAAAGAAGAGCCCCAGTTGTCCGAGGTGACCCAGGGACACTGTCACCACCTACTCCGAGCGTGCTGAAGCCCAGTCTCCCGGGACATTAGCTGGGAAGGGCTACTGGGTCTCTACAGAACAGACCCCAAGGCCAAAGCCCCTCTGATGCTAAGGGAACACACAGGACAGAAAAGCAGGCAAGTTCTGAGTCAGAGAAATGGTGACCAGCCGTGAACTTCTGGGTGTGACTCGCAGCAATGTATATAAACCCACAGGGACTTGCCCGCTGCCCACACCCCCAACTCCCCAGCTGGTACCAGAACCAACATCAGGAAGCCTGCTCTGGGGGTCGTGGTGGGGCGCTCAGACCTCCAGCCCCAGACAGTGAGCCGCTTCCTGCCTGGCCCCTTGGCCCGTCCGTAAAGCTCTGCACGGCCCCAAAGAAAGGCGGGGTGATGAGCAGAGTCAGGGGCTGGGTGAAGGATGGTCCCTTTCCAGGCAGACACCCTTGAAATACGCCTGGGGGAGGGGGACCAGGATAAAGCCACAGAAGGACCCCAACCTGGTGCCCTGGGGCGGTTTGGTCGCACATGCAGTGATGAATACAGCCCTTATCTTACCCAGGCCCCGCTCCCTGCAGGGAAACACTGCTTTCCAGAGAGCATCCATCCAGGGCGAGCCCAGGGGATGAAAAAGATTACAGAGGCAGAGGGAAAAGGAGAGGTGCAGTCACGTTCCCACGCGTGGGGAGCAGGCTAGTGACCAAACCCCGCCCCCGCCTGCCCCCAGCGCCCCCGGAACCGCTCCCAGCCTCACCAGCTATTGCAGTCAACCTTCACTCTGTCTCCGGGGGCATACTCTCTGCCCTGGTGGAAGCAGGGGCACCTTTCCAGGGCCACACACCTGTTCTCATGCCGGACCTGAGGGAAAGCGAATGGAAAGTCTTGGGGCTGCAGTGAGTGAACAGCCTCGGCTAGAGGCAAGCCGGGGAGCCCAGGCCCGGACCGGGGCTGGAGCCCCAGCTCTCATCCACACTGGCCCTCCTGGATCAGCTGGAGACACTCCGACCCCCTCTGCCCTCACACACTGCTGCGGGCAGGAGCCCTGGGACCCAGGGGAGACTCCAGTAACACATGTCAAAAGCCCCTGACACATGCATCTCCTTAGACCCAGTAATTCTTCCAGGGGATTTCTCCAAAGGTAACAGAGTTATGGGCAAAGATTAATGTGCAATTATTTATCACTTCGAAAAAAGCGGGAGCAATTAAGTGTTCAACAATACGAAAATGATTAAGCCCACTGAGGAATCTCCAGGTGATGTTGTCCAATGAAAATATTAAAATCTTAAAAGTTTTGAGAACTACTTATTCTGTTAATTTTTAAAACAAGAGATAAAAAACTATATACATATAGTCTCAATTATGAAAAAATATACATATACATTTCAAAAACTGTCTGGAAGGGAATTTAGAAGTTGCCTCTGAGGGGCTGGGATAAGGGAGTTTAATTCTCTTTTTGTGGTTTTAAAATTTTTTCTGATTGTCCTTCATTGAGCATTTATTATGTTCTATAATTGAAAAAAACTGGACAATCAATTTATTAAAATGAAGTAATTAGTTAACAATGTACATAATGTCCTGGAGGTGAGAGCGAAATACTGGCCACAGGCAGGGATGGACCAGAAGCAGAGGCTGGGGGTTTTCAAGTCCCACGAGCCCCCTCCTGAGGGTCTGACACGCCTGCCCTCCTCCCCCACCCTCCACCAGCTGAGGAGTTACCACGTGACAAGTTAGACTCCTCAAGGATGCCGCCGAGGGGGCGGGGGAGAACTGAAAAGAGCCACTGGCCCCAGTGGGCTCAGGAAGAGCTGGCCGAGCCCCTCTGACCCCACAAGGGGATCTGCTTCCATCCCGGCCCAGGAGGCAGCCCTGGACCCATGCTCTGCATGACCCTGGGAGAAGGACCCACAGCACTCTGGTTCCAAAGCCAACCAAGGGTGAGAAGCTTCTGGTCTGGGTGCCCCAGCATCCACATGACCCCACTGCTCCACAGACGAGCCTGGGACCCCTGGGCTTGGAGCCCTGGGACAGGGCGGTCTTAGGCTGAGCATAGGGCTTTCATGTCAGGGATCACAGACTGAAATCAGGTGTGTGAATATGTATATATGTGCATGCATGTATGTGTGTTTGTATGCACATGCTTGTGTATATGCATGCATTTGTGTTCATGTGTGTGTGTGCCTTGTGTATGCACGTGTGTATCTGTGTGTGTGAGTGCCTGTGTGTATGTGTGGGCACGTGTGTGTATGTGGGTGTGTGCCTGTGTGTATGTGGGTGTATGTGTGTGTTGATACATGTGAGTGCCCATGTGTCTATATTTGTGTGTGCCTGTGTGTATATGTGTGTGCCTACGTGTTTGTGTGGGTAGGCACATGTGTGTGTGTATGGCTGTGTGCCTGTGTGTGCCTATATATATGCGTATGCCTGTGTGTCTCTGTGTGTGCATGCAAGTGTGTGGGGTGCATGTATGTACGTGTGTGTGCATGCATGTGTGTTAATATACATGAGTGTACATATGTGTCTATATTTGGTGTGCCCGTGTGTGTGTGTGTATATGTGTGTGCCATACCTATGTGCCTGTGTGGGTAGGTGCATGTGTGTGTATGAGTGTGTGCCTGTATATATGTGTGTGCCTGTGTGTATGTGTGCATATGTGTATATGTGTGTGTATATGTGTACTTGCCTCTGTGTGTGTATGTGTGGGTGCCTGTGTGTGTTTATACATGTAAGTGTGTCTATATGCATGTGTACTTCTGTGTGTATGTGTGTATATATGTGTGTGTGCCTATGTATATGTGAGACAAGGTTTCCCATCAGGAGGCTCTCAACTTTAACGCCACCAGCCCAGCTAAATCACCCAGAGTCCTAAAGCATTAAAAAAAAATCCATAGAGATAGAAAGATAAAGACAAAATGCAGGAGATGGGTGGGATGTAGACATGACGGGTGGGCCAGCACTGCAGCCCCCAAGTGAATTTTGTGTAAGTCAGTCTCTTGGACATGTTTAAAAAGAACCATCCCTGCCTAGCATCTGCCCCTTTGGGACACGAGAAGGATGATACAATAAAGGTGATGACTGTCCTTCAAGGACTTCAGAAGAGAACAGGCAGAAATAGTAGTCACATTTGTTCATCAACTCATGACATCTTGAGCAAGAAAGGTTTGTGCTGAGAACTTGGTCCTGGGTTTCAATCGGCCACAAGAAAAATTATGAGGTAGAAAAAAATTGGTTTTGTCACTTTTCTCTGAAAAAAACCCAATCTTCACCCCTCCACGCTGACCCATTCTCCAAAATCTTTTTTTTTTTTTTTTTGCCTTCCAACTGTGCTATGTCCTCCCTGCTAATATTTCCAGCTCAATGCATGTTTGCTACCAGGAAAGAATCTGATGAACTAACTCTCACTAAAGTGTGAATGACTTCCTATGAGGATTTATAAGAGAAGCTTTTTTAAAGTTCTTTTTTGTTAACCAAACTAACTTCATACCTATCATAATTTAGTAAATCTGAAGAGGTGACAAACCATAGGAAGTATAGGAGATATATTTGAGACAGAAGGGCTTTCTGGAACCTTTTAGGATTACATTTCATAGGATTTACAATGCCCTCCTATGAGGCTCTCTATGAATGGGCCCCTGAGCTCAAGCTCTAGTTTTCAAGAAGCAGCACCAACCAAGAGGGAAAGGGAGAGAAGAAATAAATCAGGAGATTGGGACTGACACATAAGCACAACTAAACATAAAATTGATAACTAATAAGAACCTACTATACAGCACAGGGAACTCTACTCAATACTCTGTAATGAGCTATATGGGAAAAGAATCTAAAAAAGAGTGCAAAAAAAAATAAAGATAAAAAAGAGTGCACACATGTATAACTGATTAACACCAGATTGTAAGTCCAAACACACCAATACAAATTAATTTAAAACAAAACAAAATAAAAACAGCACCAAAGTCTCTTCAGGCTTCCCAGTGGGCCAGCGAGAAAACTGGGCCTCAAAGCACCAGAGAGGTGAACACACTTCTCCTCTGCCAAGAGGTTCCCTGATGCCCGCAGAGCTGGGTACCAGTTTGGAAGATGTGACCACAAGACTTGAGAGGTAAGTGAGCATCTCACAGACAGTGGTACAACACCTGGGGCTGGGAGTCAGGAGACCAGGATTTCCACTACACAGTTGTGTATCTTGAATGGTTCTGTGTCTTTTCTCTCCTTGGTCTCCTCCAGAGTGGGAGGAGGTGTTGAAAGCTTGTGTCTAGGCTCTGCCTGGAGACTGTGTCCAGCCCTGGCTGGAGGGCGAGAGACGGGCGCTGGACTGTGCTTTGCTGCCACCTCGTGGTGGAAGCAGGTAAATAGTCTAATTTAAACACCGGTGGTCCATTCAAGAATTTTTGATCAAAAAGGCTTGGGAACTTTTCTAGAGCAATCCCCTCATTTTTGTTGATCCTTCACGGGAAAGAAAAAAAAAAACAAAATCTGGGCTCTCACCATGCCCGGGGGGCAGAGGCAGCCGGACACGCAGCCCGTGCTCACACATTCCAGGTCATAGTTCTGGCAGGTCTTGGTGCATTCGAGCCCTTCGGCCCTCGGATTGTCAGCAGGGCACACCAGCTTGACCATGGGGGGTCGGCAGGACAGGCTCCTTTTGCCTTGGAGTCAGGAAAACCACAGATCAGCGGAGGGGAGAATGGGTCAGCCATCTACCCTGCCCTTCATCCCCTGCGCGCACTCACACCACCCCAGAGGCTCAGGCTGTCCGCGCCCTGGGACACAGTCCTGCCTGACCTCCAGCCGGGCCCTGGGCAGCAGCCTCATCTATGCATCTGACCTCTGACCTTTGCCCACACTGAGGGCACGTCTGTTGAGCTCAGCAACCCCTCCGATGCCCCGTGGTCCTCATCCCCCGACACTGAATCAGGACACACCGCAAAAAACGTCCAGAGCCAGGATTTAGTCAGGTGCCAAAAAGGAACCTTTGCCCCAAAACAATCATTCCTAAAATTAGCTTAATCACAAGAACTTTAAAGGGGGCTTTGCTCACATGTCCTCCTCTGCCCGGCCCCCAACCATCCCATCCCCTCCATTTAAAGCTGGAACACTCCATCCCTGGAACTTCATACCTGTCCCCAACTCCCGCTTTGTCATTCTCCACCTGATAGCCGCCTGACATCACCATCTGATGCACCAGATGGGGGTGGGGCGCAATATCTGCCTTGTTCACTGATACATTTCCTGACAATTAGTATCACTGCATGATTGAATAAATGATGGCAGCAGATGACTGATACAGCACCTGTCTTTCAAAAACCCTGACGCACTGAATTGCATTTGTATCTTACATATACAGTATTTACTACCTCATATGGGTAAGAAAGTCAGAATTTCCAGCCTCATTTTTATATGGAAACATCTGTAGGAAACTAAAACCCTAAGAGGTTAAATGCTTTTTCCAAAGCACATGAAATTCTAGGAGTTCCCTGACTTTGAAAAAAGATACCCTCCATTGACTAGACAAGAAGACTCTGGGCAAGAGAGATATGAAAGACCTAAGAGGCAGGATGTAGCCCAGAGGGGTGAAGTAGTGGGGGAAATGCTTCAATGAGAGAGAGCAGGAGGAAGAAAGAGGCAGAGGGATGCAGTGACCTTGGGGTCCGCTATGGACTGAATGGTTGTGTCCCCCAAAATTCACATGCTGAAATCCTAACCCCCAAAGGTTAGGAGGTTAGAAGGCAAGAGTTGGGGGAGGAGATTGGTTATGAGGGTGGGTGACCAATCATCCCTCATGAAAGGGGTTAGCATCCTAAGGAAACACACCATGGGGCTCCCTTGCCCTTTCCACCATGCAAGGACACAGTGAGGACCCAGAAGCGGGTTCTCACCTGACCACATGGGCACCCTGCTCTCGAATCTCCACCCTCCAGGACTGTGAGAAGTAAATGTCTGCTGTTTATAAGCATCCAGTCTGCAGTATTTTGTTACGCAGCCCAAACAAACTAAGACAAGGTCCTAAGTTCTGATAGCTGGTGAGCCGCCCGCGTGTTTCGAATCCAGGCCGAGATGCTCCACAACCAGCCAGCCATGCAGAGGGAGGGGGCAGGCTCCCCACCAGGGCCCTCGGAAAACAAACGCGGTCACAGAGCTGGGTCAGAGGGAGGGTCTCAGGTAAAGTGAGATGCAGGAAGAAGAGGTTGTAAATAGCCCATATAAGACAGCGTATTAAAAAGCAGAAACATCACTTCACCAACAAAGGTCCTTCTAGTCAAAGCTATGGTTTTTCCAGTAGTCATGTATGGATGTGAGAGTAAGTTACGACCTTCACACCAAAGCACCAGGTTCAAACTCCTCTCTCAAATCCCTCTGAGAAGCTTTCTAAAGAGGTGTCCTGGTCAGCATGTCCCTTGATAGAGAGGCCATCGGAGGAGGGCGGTGTTGACCACAATCAAAGTGGCCAGCACACCCACAGCTGCTCCCTGGATCAAGGTTCCCGTGGGCAGAAGCAAGATCTCGCTGGTCCATCCAACAGGCAATTCAGTCTTCCCTCATCACAAAATTAAACTCCTCCTGCCTCGATACTTGGGATGTCCACATGCAAAGGCCTGGAGGTCACGCACCCAAACACATGCCTGAATGCAGCCAGCCCCGTCGCCCACCCCGTCCGGGCAGAGGGAGCGGGGGGCTCGTGGTGAGCCGTACTCACTGCGGTGGGACAGGGGGCTGCTAAGGACTGCTTCAGGCAGCAGGCTCCCCGGGGCTCCACTCGTGGAGCAGTGCATGAAGCCGTCTTCGCAGTAGCTGCAGAAACAAAGGTCACAGCCTCACTTAGAAGGACTCCCGGCCTCCCACAAGGTGCTCTGTCCCCTCCAGCCCGGCCTCCATCCCGTCATTCATCTGAAACGCAGCTGCTCACCCCACTACAGAACAGGAGGGCCGCCAGGACCTTCTGATCACCAAACTCAGCGGCCCCTTCTCCACCTACCACGGAGAGTTCAGGAGTCCCTGGGTTCCAGCCAGTAGCTGGGTGGCTTGGGAAAGTGATCATATCTCTAAGCCTCAAATTCCTACTGAAAAAGCCAGGCCTGCCTGCCTAACAGTGTCGTTGCAAGGTCCCAGAGAGAAACGCCTTGAATATTACAGCCCAGTCATTCAGTCGTGTCTGACCCTTTGTGACCACATAGACTGTAGCCCGCCAGGCTCCTCTGTCCATGGAATTCTCCAGGCAAGAATACTGGAGTGGGTTGCCATTTCCTCCTCCAGGGGATCTTCCCAACCCAGGGATCGAACCCTGGTCTCCTACACTGCAGGCAGATTCTTTAAAATCCGAACTACCAAGAAAGTCCCAGTATAGCCTTCTGGAAATGAGCGAACATGTGGAACAAAGAATGAGTCTACTGAAGATGCTAATCAATGCTCTAGTTCGTGGATGATCCTCACCAACCCGCAGTTGAGCAAAGAAAACGGAGTGAAGGTACAGCAGACCGCCATGCTCCATTAACCCAGGATGCAGGAACAGAAGGCTTGTGGGTGCAGGTCACTGAGCTGTGGAGAACTTTGTTATTCAGGAATAACTTAACTGATATATCTTTCTTGAGGGGCTCCCCAGGTGGCACTACTGGTAAAGGACCCACCTCCCATTCAAGAGACTCACTTTGATCCCTGGGTCAGGAAGATCCCCTCTGTTGTTGCTNAACAGCAGGAAGTAGGTGTGATCTGAAGGGTTTTTTTGGTTTTTTTGTTTTTTTCAAGAAAAGCATGAAGCAAGTGGAGACACTGATGTGCTCTGGAGGCGATGCTACTACGGTCTATGTTCTTCTGTCTCAGATGCTGTGGCCTGAAAACACTGACGGGAGGCTGGCAGGGAGCACTCTCATCTCACATTCTAGAAAAGGGAAACTGACTAACGCGGGGAGTGGGGCTCCACGAATGACAGCTGGCTTACTGCTCACGACTGACTCCCACCGCCAGCCTGAAGCTCACGTGCCGGGCACAGGAAGGCAGACAGAAGGCCTGGGTGATATCCCAGCTTAACTCCCGACTCGCTGTGCAACACTGGGTCTCAGTGTACCCATCCATGAAATGGAGGACTCGGAGGACCATTTCCCAGCCCTGCCATTCCCATAGTCCCCGGTCCCGCTGCTCGACTCACCACATGGTGTGATGGTCCGAGAAGATGTCTTCGGGTTGGAAGATCTCACCGTCGTAGTAACAGGGGCACTGGGCCCTGGGCACACAGGACCCTGTCTCATCCAGGAAGAGCCCTGGTGGGCAGAAGCAGCCCTCCAGACAGGCCTCGGTGCATTCCTCGTCCGGGTGGGAGAGTGAGCGGCAGGTGAGGTTGCAGGGGGTCCCACACTGCTGGTACACCTGGCCGTGTGGGCAGCTCAGTGCTGGGGGAGAGGGTGGGGCAAGGACAGACTCAGTGGAAACATTAAGATGAGCAGGACTGTGGTTCTAGGACCAGCAGTCCCACCCGCTGCCTCTAAGACCCCCAATTATATCTGTATGGCCACCGCCTTCTCTTCCCACCAGGAGCAAAAGTGTGTTTTTATGCTCACAATTGTCTGTTCTTCTTTTTTTCTCTTTTTTAGCTGCATACAGGATCTTAGTTCCCTGATCAGAGATGGAACGCTCTTCAGTGGAAGTGCACAGTCTTAACCACTGGACCACCAGGAACCCCACGAATGACTGCGGGGAAGTACGTGTACGGAAGTACATGCTTTCGCCTCTGCCTAACTAGGGGGACCCTGCTTTGGTCACCTCTGAATTCTCAGAGCCTGGGACAGAGTAGAAATCCCAGTAGATTTTAGGGCTGTAAATATCAACCCTGAATACTCATTGGAAGGACTGATGCTGAAGCTCCAATACTTTGGTCACCTGATGTGAAGAGCTGGCTCATTAGAATAGACCCTGATGATGGGAAAGATTGAGGGCAGGAGGAGAAGGAGATGACAGAGGATGAGATGGTTGGATGGCATCACTGACTTGATGGACATGAGTTTGAGCAAACTCCAGGAGATGGTGAAGGACAGGGAAGACTGGAGTGCTGCAATCCATGGGGTTGCAAAGAGTCAGACATGGCTGAGCAACTGAACAACAAATAATAAAAAAAGACCTGGCAGAAAAATAAATAAATAAATAAATTAAAAAAAAAATTTTTAAAGACCTGGCAGGGATGGGCGAGGGCATTTCTCCCTTGATGATAAAAACAATGACAGCTCCCTTAACTGAGCACCTACTGGATACCCTGCTCTTCACGGAAATTTTATGCCTTTGGTGCCCCTCAATGAGTGAGACCTCACAATCCCATCACCAGAGGTAAGAAACCTGAAACCTAAGCTTAGTGACCCATCAGGGACCTGCCTTCCAGGAAGAGGCCGAGGCAGGATTTTTTTTTTTTTTTAGTCCCAGCCAGGATTCAGCCCACTGTCAGCTCACAGTCCTCTCACAAGCTCCCCGATGATGGAATTCTTGACTGGTGGTGGGGGAGGGAGGTTGGTGTTGAGGGGCACTTGGCTCTTTCAAGATGCTTTCCCGCTGCTGATCAGCTATCATCCAAGAAATAAGAAGCTCACCCTGAGGACACCCCTCCCAGGATCATAGAACCCGTCGCTGCCTGCTAGAAGCCATTTCTCCAGCAGAAACCTGCTGGCTGTGTCCCAGGGAAGCTCCAAAGGGAAAGCCTGGTCGTGAACCTCAGAAATGCCTAAGCCAGGGTGCCCCCCCACCGACAACTGCCCCGGTGGGCCTGCTGTTTGAGGGAAGCTGGGAGGGGAGGAGCTTTAACCATGTGAGACACAGACCTTTTTCCAAACCAGCAGAGACATTGGGTCATCGGATGAATATTTAGAGCAAAGGTGGGTTAAGATGGGACCTGCATACGTGATTCGCTCAGTTCTGCCTGACTCTTTGCAACCCCATGAAATACAGTCCGCCAGGCTCCTCTGTCCATGGGATTTCCCAGTCAAGAATACTGGAGTGGGTTGCCATTTCCTTCTCCAAAGGGATCTTCCCAACCCAGGAATCGAACCTGCATCTCTTGTGTCTCCTGCATTGGCAAGTGGATTTTTTACCGCTGTACCACCTGGGAAGCCCTAAGATGGGACAGGTTGGGTTCTAAAGATGGGCATCCCAATCCACTGAACCTATGACTATAAGGGCACATTTCACCCAATCAGAAGGAGTTAGGCTGAGAAGGTTTTTTCCTCTGAGAAGCTGGCTCAGCTATATTAAATGTCTCCTTCTTCCCCAGAAGTAACATCATCTGTTTAACACGCATTGACTGTGTGTCCGCGGCAAGGGGCGTAGGAGGGGCTGTGCTAAGCTGGGGGATGCAGAGACGGTAAGACTTGGTCCCTGCCTGCCAGGAGCCTGGGGTCTTGTCTTTCCAAAGGAAACACAACCAATTTCCAAGGGGGGAAAAAAATGGTTTTGCTTCTCAGGACTCTCCTGATATCACCTTGTGAAGTAGCTACACATTCGGGTCTTGCTGCAAGAGAGTCCCCAGTGGGTGTGGCCTCTTCTTGGGGACAGAGTTGGTGGTTTAGAGATTCTGCTTATTTCTCAGGAAGGGAAAATGAGGTACAGGACGGAGGAGGAACCCAGGCATCCTGCCCCTTCCTTCCTCGGGCCTCAGAGAGACAACCCAGGACCACCTGGCTGGTTTTCTCTGGTTCAGCTCATAAAGACAGATCCCTCTTGTCCTTAAAAGTCTCCAGGGACAGGGTCTGCCGTGGTGGTCCAGTGGTTACAAATCTCAATGGTCCACTGAGCCCGTGTGCCCCAACTGGAAAATCCATGCACCATGCTGAAAGATCCTGCCTGAGACAAAGAAGATCCCAAAGTAACCAAATAAATATTTTTAAAAAGACTAACACAGCCTAAATAAATAAATTTTTCTTTTAAAGTCTCCAGGGATGGGGTCTTCCCACCACCTGCACTTCCTGCCATATCACGAAGCCTCAGGAGCCAGGAAACTCTAACCAAAGGTCAGCGTCTGCTGCTGTGGAGTCGTCCCATCCCCTTTTTGTTTTCTTCTGGGTTGGGGTTAAGAACAGCCACTCCTAAGAGTTTAGACTATTTGGTTAAGCCCTCGGCATTCTGGGGGACTGTCCTAAAGGAGGAAATCCCTCTGGCGGTTCAGCACAGGGATAATGCGTAGTGTCTAACGTCGGCAGACGATCAAGGTGACAGGGACAGTGAAGGGACAGGGAGGTGATACACTACTTAATCCCACTAGGGGACTATAGGTAGAAAAAACATGGGAGACCCCTGTAAGTTAATGATGACTCAGAGGGCAGGTTTGCTTAACCACAGAACCAAGCAGGCTTGCTTAGCAACAAAACCATGAGACAGAAACAGGAGACGTTTCCAAACAATAAAACAATGCTGGCATGAAACCCACATCCTGCCCTGTGAGCTCAGTAAGTTAATGATCCCTAGGACATGCTATCAGCACCCACAACAATTTGTGGACCCAGCTTGACCATGTAGGGACAAGAAAACTCACCTGCTCAACCTGGAGGAGGAGCTGATGTTGGAAGCATGATGTCTACTCAAGAAAGACAGAGAAAGTCTTCTCCCCATTCCCCACTTTTCCTTTGATTATACAACTGTAGCCCTATAAGTTCTCAGGACGTGGCATTTCTCACGCACCCACTTGTACAACCTCACAAATGTCCTATTCGAATAAATCACTTCTTATCTACCACTTGGCCTCTCGCTGAATTCTTTTCTGCCCTGAGATATAAAGAACTGTGGTACTGGAGTTCTTTGGAGCCCATGAAAGAACACCAAACTGTTTTAAAAGCATGTTCACAATCAGACACCACTTACTCCAGATCATGTCTCCCACAATTTCTAAACAGCAGATGCTGATAAGGGTTTTGGAGGGTGAAGTGAAGGGCTCAAAGCAAGCTGCCAGTGAGGTCTCCGCCTCAGTTCTCCTGGCTGCTGGCCTGTGACACCCCAGGGATGGTGGGACGGGGGCACAACTGCACACATCTAAATACTTGTTCCTAAATACGTGTTCCTCATTTTGTCTGTTTCTCTCTTTCATAAGGTCGCTTAAAATCAAATCACACTTAAACTCATTTTTATAAGGTCGCTTAAACAATGATACTTCTAGAGGCCCTAAATCTAAACTTCTCTTCAAGTATGTGTTATTAAGTCCTTTCACTGTGTTTTGTAGTTCCTATTTTCCTGTTTCTGTCAGAACCACCAACATTTATGTCTCCAAATACATCTACTTCACCCTATAAATCAGTGTCCACTAGACCGTATCCTCCTTCAATGCCTTCACTTCTACATCACTACTATTATTCCACCATCAGAAACAACTTTTCTCCAAGAAAGTACCTTTTTTAAAGCCTGGTCAAGCGCATACGTGTGCATGCTAAGTCACCTCAGTCATGTCCGATTCTTTGTGACCCCATGGACTGTAGCCCAGCAGGCTCTTCTGCCCATGGGATTCTCCAGGCACGAATACTGGAGTGGGTTTCCATGCCCTCCTTCAGGGGATCCCCCCCACCCAGGGACTGCTGATCAAGTGCACCACCTCCAGAAAGCCTTCCTTGGTTGCCCCTGCCTTAATCTAACTATGCTCTTGCTCAGTGTGAGCTCATTGTGACACCTAGTAAGGGAGGCAGTTTCCACCTCAGCCTCAAACAAGAAGGTCCAGGCCCGACAGCACTGTGACTGCCTGCCCATGCAGGGCACTGGGCAAATGTTCCCAGAGTGACAGTAACAACCAACCAGGGACCAGAGTGCGGGGCACACACCAGCTCAGATGCCAGGCCTTTAACAGCACCGGTGAGGCTCTCAGGTCGTCTGGACCTTATTCTACTTTACACGACTTCACACAGTGCCGGAGCTGTGGGGAGGGACTGCTCCGAGGTTTGCCTGGAGTTATAAGCAGAGGACGGGCTTCCTAGGTGGAGTTAGTGGTAGACTCCTCCCGCCAATGCAGGAGACATACGAGATGCAGGTTGGATCCCTGGGTCAAGATCCCCTGGAGGAGGAATTGGCAACCCACTCCAGCATCCTTGCCTGGAAAATTCCATGGACAGAGGAGCCTGGCAAGCTATACAGTCCATAGGATCGCAAAGAGTTGGACACGACTGAGCACACACAAGGAGGAAGATCAAACAAGAATATATCCACAGTTATCTCAGAAAGTTATTAAAATACTCCTTTTCCCAGTTACATAACTCTGAGGCCAGATATTCATGCAAAGGGCTGCAAAGAATCGGACACAACAGAAGCGACTTGAAGTGAAATGAAAGTTGCTCAGTTGTGTCTGACTCTTTGTGACCCCATGGACTATACAGTCCATGGAATTCTCCAGACCAGAATATTGGAGTGGGTAGCCTTTCCCTTCTCCAGGGGATCTTCCCAACCCAGCGATCGAACCCAGAAGCGACTTAGCATGCACACATACAAGCAGAGGGCTGGTACCTGCCTCTCCCATTGCTTCATCAGACCCTCTAGGTATGCAGGAACGCATGGGCATCTGGGACACACTCGCTCCTCACCCCCACCCTACGTGTATCCCACACTAGGTAGCAGCAGCCTCGGAAATCTCTGCAGGCAGGGACCCCAGTCCCCACCGCCCTGTGCTTCCTGGAAATAAGAAGGGTAAGGGATGCGAGATGCCCTGGGCTCCTTCCCCAGGGCAGTAAACCAGAGACAGCGCTCGGAACTGGACCAGAGCAGAGGGCATCCCAGCGGATCCCGCTGGCTGCCCTGCAGGGGCAGCAGACGGGGAGGACACTCACCACAGAAGCTGGGCTCCCGCCACCCGACGTGCACGCCCCTCCGGGCGCAGGCCGCTGCGTAGCTGGCCACCGCGTCGCACAGGCAGTCTCTGCCGTCCGAGCAGGCACACACGTCGTAGCGGCAGTTGCGCAGGTAAGGCAGCGGGCCCACGGCGCTGTGGCAGGCCTCGAACTTGGGGGACGTCAGGATCGCGCAGGCCTGGTCTGCGAACTTGGCTGTGGGGAAGGGAGGGGCGTGTCCGGGACCGCACACAGGCGCGCGCACCAGGACCCCAAGACCAAAATCCCCGACCTCGCCCCCCTCGGCAGAACCAACAGCAAAAACAGTGTCTCTCCGGTCTGGGAACCATGGCGATTTTTCTTCTGCAGCCCATATTCTTTCCTGATTGGCTTCAATACACAATCAACTGCATTTCCCAGGGAGAAAACTGTTCCCTGATGAGTTGAGAAAGAGGGCGCGGTTGATGTAGGCCCCAGATGCTGAGGCAGGCCAATCTGTGGATGGCCGTCCCCTGCATCTATCTTCCCGTAATGTAAGTGCTGCTCAGACAGAGTGAGAAGGTCCAGGGGAAGAACTGTGGACTATTCTTTTCTCTCCCAGGGTGTGGCCCACGGAGGGTGCTCGATAAAGAGACTTTGAAGAATAAATGATCCAGATAATCAAATGCTGAGGATGAAAAGGAAGACCCACCGGCTCCAACCCCCACACCGTGGGCGAACTGTCCAGGAAACACACTGGAACAAGGGGGTTCCCAAGGATTTGGGGGCACCCTCCCCCACGGTGGGCACCCCATCCCTGGAATGCACTGGAACTCGGGGATCTCGGGGCTCACGTACTCAGGCGCGGGTTGAGGCTGCAGGGGTCACTGGGCTGCTCCTGCAAGTCCTCGCAGTCTGCGCGCAACTTCCAGGAGTTTCCGAAGTGCTCCACCAGGGGCTCGACCAGGCCCGCGGGCGTCAGGAAGTCGTCCCTCTGGTTGCCGTTGTAATTCCCGCACAGCCCGCACGTCCTCCCCGCGTAGACCGGGGACAGCTGCGGGGGACAGACCACGTGGAGCAGCCGCCCCAGCAGCCACAGCTTGCCTGCCCTCATGAGATGGTTTTCATCAAAAAAAAGTTCCCCCGGAGCGGGGAATAAATATGAATTTAATACATCACAGCTAAGCTCTGGGCTGCAAAAGAAACTAAAAACCCGAAGAGTGGTATCTGTTAACCAGTTACCAGTAGTTCATCTCGCTCTTAAATCTTTAGAATCAAAGACCTGTCCTCTAGGAAGCAATTCAGAGATGATCCCCTCACTTAAAGAGCAGACACTGAGACCCAGAGAGGGATAGCAACTCACCTGAGGTCACAGAGCTGGGCCCAGCAACGGGCGGAGCTCTGCCACCCTGGCCATCAGAGGACATGGCCGGGGAAACACAGTGCAAAGCTAGCCCCCCTTTCTTGCACACTTATCTCTGTCACACACATGGGAGAAGCAGGCTGAGCGTTTATGGCCCAAGTTTTCTCAGAACATACACTGCATGACCAAAAATAAATACTCCTTCCCAGTGTCTAGATTTTGACTCAGTCAGTGGGTATCTTTGAGGAAAAAAGGCCATGAATCCAAGAGGACCCCAGGCGTTTCAGTCATGATCCAAAGAGGTGGGCGGTGGGGATCAGTGAGGACCCAGGGGTGACCTGCAAGGGGATCAGGAGGGGTGCAGGCCACTGGCATGTGCTCATTCTCCATGCTTCTAAGCCTGGGGCGCACATTCAGGGCTGACATGGGGGTCCATGGTACAGCTGGAGTCATCTGCCCATCTCTTTTGGGGGGATCTTAGTTCAAACTGGAGCAGAGGCCTGGACCCCCTTGTGGCCCTGACCCCTGCTCTGCAATTTGCCTGAATGCTAAGTCGCTTCAGTCAGTCGTGTCTGCCTCTTTGCAACTCCATGGACTGTAGCCCGCCAGGCTCCTCTGTCCATGGGACTCTTCAGGCAAGAATACTGGCGAGAGCTGCCATGCCCTCCTCCAGGGGACCTTCCCGACCCAGGGATCAAACCTGAGTCTCTTACGTCTCCTGCAATGGCAGGCGGGTTCTTTACCACCAAAGCTGCCTGGGAAGCCCCAGAGTTCAGTTGTGGCTTCGGGACCTCCTGTGTTCTGACACCCGGACAGGCCGGCTCTGCAGGGTCATCTCTTGGAGCCCCTTCCAGCTTCCAGCTCCAACTCGACAAGACTCAGGATGAACAGTCTCGTGAGGGTTTCGGACCCATACGTATGTACAATGGACCCAAGTTAATATCATTCATAAAAAGGAAGATGGAATAGCGTTTCCTTGTTTGCTTGGCAAACAGCAAGTGTTGGCACGTCAGGCCCCGCCCTTGCCTGAGCTCCCACTGAACATGTCGGTCCTCCCCACCTGGCTCGCCCCTGCTGTATCTCTCCCCTCAACGGATGTATCACCTCCTAACACGAGACACAGCTTCCTTGGTTCTGCTTAATGTCCGTTGGCCTCCAATAGAATTTAAACTAAACGAAGCCGGGATGCGGGTCTGTTCTATGTCACCGCTGTAACCCCGGCGGTGCGCGCGGTGAGTGAGTGGCTGGACAGTGTCTGGGCGGACTTGTGAGTGAGCCAGGCGCTCCTCTGGACGCCAGCCCCGGCGAAGCTGGGGAGGCGCCCGTCCCCTCGCCCACATCCCAGCATCGCCTCTTTTCCCTCCTGGTTCTCAGGCCCCGAGGCCTCAAGCTCCCCCTGTTCACCCACCAAGCCTGCCTTCTCCACCACCCCCCACTCTCTATGACTGCCTCCTTCCGTCCCTGGGACTTGTCTCGGAGGCTGGCTCAGCTAAGGGTTAGGAGGGTGGACGTGTCCGTGGAAGCCAGGCCTACACTGTCCAGGATCAGGGACCTGGGGAGAATGCGCCAGGTATTTGCTGTTTGGAATAAACCTTAGGGGCACTTCTGACCAAGTGAAAACTGTCAGCACCCTTTCTCCTCTGCTCTAAGGCCGCCTCACAGCCGGCACGACCCCATTTCCTGGACGGCGGGATTCATACCTCACCCAGGGAGCCACTGGCAGCTTCTCTTTCACCCCACCTCATCCCACTGCCTTGGTGGGGAGCGGGGGTCCCCAACTGCCACCAGCCGGTGTCCTCCACTCGGCGGTCCCCACAGACCCGGGGTCAGCATGGGAACGCGCCCCCTCACACACACCAAAACACCTAGGACATTCCCCAGGCCCCGGGGTCCCGGGCCCTGTAGTCTTGACCAGTGAAGGCCTCTTCTCTTTAGTCAAACCCACCAAGCCCGGCCCCAGAGATAACCCTGCACCCCCTCCCCACAGAAGCAAGTCTGCCTTCTCACCTCAGAGGAGACAGAAGATGGAGGAGTTTGAGGGGAGGAGGTCAGCCGCCCAAGACAAGATGCCATGGGCCTGCTGAAGCGGGGTGATGGGGTGCCTCACAGATCAAGAGCACCCTCCCCATGCAGAGGGAGGTGCCTGAGAAAGTGGGGGAGCTAATGGGGGCGCCTCCCTTGATGACTGGGGTGTGGGAGACCTGAGTTCTGCTCACTCTGTAACCAAATGACTGTGAGTCACTGTCCTGCTCCAGAAATGGGGGTAACTTTATTTCCAACTGTACCTGAGGATTTGATAAGGTCTCCAAGATTTTCCTGTTCTTTTTCTTTTTTAAGTTGTTGGGTGAAGGCAACTTTTATTTTCTATTTATTTCTCTATGTGTGAGATGTCACTCGATCATACCCGACTCTTGGTGACCCCATAGACTGTAGCCCACCAGGCTCCTCTGTCCATGAGATTCTCCAGGCAAGAATACTGGAGTGGGTTGCCATTTCCTCCTCCAGGGGACCTTCCTGACCCAGGGATCAAACCACGCCTCTTGAGTCTCCTGCCCTGGCAGGCAGATTCTTTACCACTGAGCCACCATGGAAGCCCTTTACTGATTTATTATTTATTTATTCGGCTGCTCCAGGTCTTATTTGTAGCATGTGGGATCTAGTTCCCTAACCAGGGATTGAACCTGGGCCTCCTGTATTGGGAGCACAGAGTTTTAGCCATGGGACCACCAGGGAAGTCTCAAGATTTTCATGCTCTATAGTCTGTGGTCATAGCTTTATTTTTTTATAAAAGAAAAACAAAAGTGTTGATTTGGAGCTCTCTCAGGGACTTGAAGAAGAAGAATATGACATTACAAGGATGGAGGGCGCCAGGATGTCCTCAGGGACACCCCAGATGCCCATCACGGGGTCATACCAAGGCCTGGGGAACACTGGCCCCCCAGAACCAGGTCTCTCACATTACAGGCCAGTTCTTTACTTTGTAAGCCACCAGGGAAGCGATAGAATACATCAATAGATACAATCCCCATAGAAGATCTCAGCACCTTCGGTATAATTTAAGAGTGCAAAGGTATCTAAAGACGTCAAAGTGAGAAGCACTGGTCTAGTGGTGGTGACCCTGCCCAGGGAGCTGATCAGGGTGTGCAGTCCTGGGCACGTCTCCTGGTCCCCATGAGTCTTGCTTGCTTTGTTTCTGAAAAGGCAGTGACAGTACCTTATGGGGAAATTTTCAGAGGAAAACAAGGATCTGGAAGCCAGCCCTGTGAATTATACGGATCCCTATCCAAGAGTGACTCTAAGAACACAGACAGCAGTTGGAAGTGACTCCCAGGCTGCCAAGCCCCTGGATGGGGGTGAGGGGGTTTGGATCTGGCAGCTCCCAGAATATTCCTTCACAGGTAGTGGGTACATGACCCAGGTCTTCGCTGTGAGTCCCACAGCAGGCACCCCCGGGAACACCCTCTGATCACAGGCCTTGTTGCAGTTAGGAGCCTTAGCAGTAAACTGGCTGCCCACACTCCCCCAAAACCCAGCCCTGCAGGAGCCCAGCAAGGCTGGAAACCCTCGGAGGACCAGAGCCCTGCACCCAGGAACTCCCGGGGTGGACAAGGGGCACCCAGACAGCAGTCACCAGCCTCTCATACACAGAGAGGCCTGTTCCTCGCTCTGGGGGCTCAGGGCGGGTTGGGGGAGAAAGGAATTCCCCTCCCGCCGTCGAGCTCTCTCATCAGACCACAACAGCGGCTTTGTGCAGTCCGGTTGCCAGGAGGGCGCCTACCTTCAGCAGCAGCCTCCCGCGGCCGTCCCAGTCTATCTGCAGGTCCTCCCCAAAGCTGAGAAGCAGAGAGGCAGTCACAGTGTGCTGGATGCGGAGGTCACCTGGAACCAAGCGAGGTCGGGTTTCAGGTTTAGGATACGGACAGGGCAGAGGGCCGCAGGCCGATGGGTTGTAGGGAGAGGTGGGGTATGTCACAAAGAACTGTGGCAATGAAAGCAGTGAATTAGGGGGCAGCTGGGGGATGGCCATGAGGCTTACAGAGGGTCTCAGAGGAAAGGTGGATTAGGGTGGGTGTAGTGCAAACTGGGCTCCAGAAGAAGGTGCCTCCGCATCGCTCAGGTAGCCTGCCATTCCCCACACTGCCACAAGGGGGAGGTAGAGACTCTTTAGTTTATGCACGTCCCCTGAGCGGGGATGGGTTTTCCATTGAACCGCTAACCCCTTGAGCATTTCCGGGACTGTGGCACATGCTTCCAGGCTAAGTGACCCACTCCTCACGGCTGAGCAATGCCGTGTGCAAATCCAAAACTGCAGTTTTCTCTGGGGACGACATAGAAGGCGCACCTCTTGTCCTGGGGAACATAGCATCTCATGGGAGACACACAGCCTTAATCACACATGGACAAGCTGTGGGCCCAAGTTCACCCACTGTGTGCAATATGGGGAGGGGAGGGGTACGGAAGCCCCTTTGTGAGTGAAGGTTGGAATCATGCTGTGCGTAATGGTACACTGCCGCCTGGCAGTCACTGAGCAGGGAGCTTTTCCCAGAGGTCACGTGGTCAGCTGGCTTTGCCCCAAGATGTCTTGGGGTCTGACCCATCAGCAGACACCCCACCCTCAGTTAGTTCATCTTCCTCCTCCAGGAAGCCTTCCTTTCTTGCAGCATAAATTCAGGACACCAGCTTGTCCAACAATTGCACTCCTTCACATTCTCACAGAAGAGGCGACAGTGAGGGGTGGGGGCGCCGAGAGCGAGCTGGGTGGGGGGTTCCAGGGGAGGAGGGCGCCCACCTTGCAGGAGGGGAATCTGGACGTCCTGGCCGTCCAGGGCGACGCCACCCCCGTGTTTCAGCTTCAGGAGGCCGTGGTGCGGGCTGGGCAGGCGGACGGTGACGGAGCGGGTGCAGACCGCATCAGGGTCGTCGGCACACTGCCAGGAGGGGCGTGCAGAGGGGCATCACCACCACCCCCAGCCCAGCCCCCAACCCATTCACTCAGGGAAAAACCCCAGCCAGGCAGCCTCAGCTTCGCTCACTCGGAACCACTCCCTCCTCAAGACTCTAGGTCCTGCTTGTCCTTGTTCCTTGGGCCTGTTGTCCCAAAGGGAATTGGGGACCTGGATCCCCAAGGAGCCCGGGGCACCCCATCTGTCCTCCCCTTTGCTGGGTGGTCCAGAAGAAAGAAGTACACGTGGGGTCTCCTTGGCCCTCATCCCCGTGGGCATCCCCAGGCTGCCTGGCGGGCTCACCTGGACAGTCTCTATGACGACAGAGAAGGAGTGGTCCTGGCAGTCCTGGGCCAGCAGGTACTGGCAGACCCCACTGAAGGTGAAGTGCCTGTCGTCAAAGCTCTTGAAGTGGGATTGTCCTGTGATAAGACACTCTCCTGGGAAGACAGGGGGGAGGGGAGAGTGGGTGTCCCAGCAAGACCCCTGGGAGGACAAGGGAGGGGAGAGTGGGTGTCCCAATGGGTCCCCTGGGGAACAGGGAGAAAGGGAGAGGGGGTGTCCCAGCAGGTCCTCTGGGGGGACAAGGAGGAGGGGAGAGTGGGTGTCCCAGAGGGTTCCCTGGGGAAACAGGGGGGAAGAGAGAGAGGGTGTCCCAGTGGGTCCCTTGGGGGGTGTCCCAGTGGGGGGCACTTCCTGGGTTTCTCCACATCACGGTCTAGAAAGGAGCCCCACAGGAGGACTCTACTCAGGCCCCACTCCTCTGGCCCTGGGAGGTCAAGGCCCAGTGGGTCAGTCCTGAGCCTCAGGGAGTGAAGTCACACCCAGGGACTGAAGTCACACCCAGAGAGTCACACCCAGGGGCTGGGCTGCGGGGGGGTGGTGATGCTGGGGGTGGGGCTGGGTCAGAAGCCAGGGTTAGTTCCAGCTCTGGGCTTTGGGCTCACTGCGGCTTCCAGCCCTCCCCGCCGCCTCCCTGGGTTCTGCTCTGCTGGGGTCAGAGACTTTCTCTGATCCCAGCATCATCATCATCATCGTCATCATCGTCATCACGGGGCCTCCCCCTCACCAGAAGAGTCCCTGAGGGCAAGAGGGCAGAAAGCCAGCCCAGAGCAGTGATGGGGCCAGCAGTCCAGGGGCCAGGATGCTGTCCTCACCCCCTGCCCAGCTGAGGGGCAGCTCTCAGGCCTCCTCTTGGGCAAACCCCTGCTGGGACTTCAGCGGGGCCAGTGGGGGCCCAGGGCACCATCTGCCCACTATCTCACCACTGCCTGAGCCAGCTCCCCAGACAGGCTGACACAGCTGGGGGTGGCCACGAGGACTTCCCAGCATCACCCTGCAGCCCCAGCCCTCGACTTGCCCCAGATCCAACCACTACTCTGTCCTCCCCAGGCCCCGGAGCAGCCCGTGGCGCAGGCCCAACGCACCCTGGACCACAGCCCACCTGTGTGGGGGAGGGGGCTCTGCCATCATCTTCAGTGATGCCCGCTGGCCCCGCCCCACTCAGGAAACCCCATCTCAGAGCCCACAAGGGCCCCACTGAAGCCCAAGCGGTATCTGGAGTCCTTCCCAGCCCCCGTCTCTGCATCCCCTCTCCGCCTTCTCCTCTACAGAGAAATAACCAGACACATGCCATGGCTGTTCTTCCCGGCCCCATCACCCCCAGCCTGCAAACAGCAAAGACTCATTCGCCATGGCACGGATCTGCTCTGCACCCCAGGTTCCCCCTAAGTGGGCCCTACAGCCAGTTCCATCTCCAGGGGATGATGCTGGGCCCTTTCACACAGTCAGGAGTCCCCAAAGGCCTACGGCGGTGGCGGGGAGGAAGGGTTGCAGCTGCCCACCTGTTAAAGCCCAGGCTTGTCAGCCCCTGACTACTACCTCATCCCTATATCTGCACTGAAACGTGCAGTGGGCATGGACGGGACCCCAGCTTGGGGTCCAATTGTGGCCCCGCCCTTGGCAGTCAGGGGGAGGGCAAGTAGCCCTCAAACCTCCATTAAAACCCTTAAACAGGGACTTCCCTGGTGGTCCTGTGGCTAAAATTCCACTCTCCCAGTGCAGGGGGCCCGGGTTCCATTCCTGGTCGGGGAACTAGATCCCGCATGCCACAACTAAGACCCAGCACAGCCAAATAAATAAATATTTTTAAAAAACCATAAACAACAGAGGTGGGAGGGCTTCCGGATTGGTGACCTTATCTACACTCAGAAGGCGGTGATCCCTGTTCCACGGGGAAAGAAGCTCTGGGCTCAGGACCCTTCCAGAGCTTGCCCTGAGTTCCTCTTCATCAAGCATTTGTATCCTTCATATTTTTTTGTAATAAACTGGTAATAGTAAATGTAGTGTTTGCCCAAGTTCTGTGAGCCATTCTAGCAGTTACCACGGCTGGCATCAGAAGTAGGGGCGCTTGGCCGCAGACCTTCACCTCCAGGATCTGCACTAACCCCAGGTAGTCAGGCTCAGAAATGCAGTGAAGTGTAGGGCACCCAGGTGGTGTCCAGTAAGTCAGAGAACTGGCTGTTGTGGGGAAAACACAAACACACGGTGCCAGAAGTGTGAGTAGGAACAGGTCATGACTTCCCACTGCACTGCCCCCCAAGAAGGGCACGAATAAGGGGTCACTCTTTGTGGAAGTCAGAGCACAAGACGCAATGATTAGGCGTAAGGGTGGGCAAGGGTCACCCTGGCTGATTGCAGCCAAGCTGGAATTCCAAATCCACAGGTGTCACGAGAAAGCCTTTTTTAAAAAGATACTTGTTTATTTGGCTTCACTGAGTCTTAGCTGCGGTGTGTGGCCTTAGTTGCTCCAAGGCATGTGGGATCTAACTTCCTAGACCAGGGATCAAACACACATCCCCTGCATTGCAAGGCAGATTCCTAACCACCAGGTAAGTCCCGAAAAAGCCTTTCTGAAAGGGAATTTTCAGATGCTGTCATCATTCTACAAAGTGACACAGCCCTGTGTATCACAGGTCTTGACTCTGTCACAGGGAAATGGGTGGGAATGCTTCCCCCAGCCTCTCTCTGTTTTCTCAAGAGCACTCTTATCTGAGAGCATCCCCTCTCCGCCTTCTCCTCTACAGAGAAATAACCAGACACATGCCATGGCTGTTCTTCCCGGCCCCATCACCCCCAGCCTGCAAACAGCAAAGACTCATTCGCCATGGCACGGATCTGCTCTGCACCCCAGGTTCCCCCTAAGTGGGCCCTACAGCCAGTTCCATCTCCAGGGGATGATGCTGGGCCCTTTCACACAGTCAGGAGTCCCCAAAGGCCTACGGCGGTGGCGGGGAGGAAGGGTTGCAGCTGCCCACCTGTTAAAGCCCAGGCTTGTCAGCCCCTGACTACTACCTCATCCCTATATCTGCACTGAAACGTGCAGCGGGCATGGACGGGACCCCAGCTTGGGGTCCAGGTGTGGCCCCGCCCTTGGCAGTCATGGGGAGGGCAAGTAGCCCTCAAACCTCCATTAAAACCCTTAAACAAGGACTTCCCTGGTGGTCCTGTGGCTAAAATTCCACTCTCCCAGTGCAGGGGGCCCGGGTTCCATTCCTGGTCGGGGAACTAGATCCCGCATGCCACAACTAAGACCCAGCACAGCCAAATAAATAAATATTTTTAAAAAACCATAAACAACAGAGGTGGGAGGGCTTCCGGATTGGTGACCTTATCTACACTCAGAAGGCGGTGATCCCTGTTCCACGGGGAAAGAAGCTCTGGGCTCAGGACCCTTCCAGAGCTTGCCCTGAGTTCCTCTTCATCAAGCATTTGTATCCTTCATATTTTTTTGTAATAAACTGGTAATAGTAAATGTAGTGTTTGCCCAAGTTCTGTGAGCCATTCTAGCAGTTACCACGGCTGGCATCAGAAGTAGGGGCGCTTGGCCGCAGACCTTCACCTCCAGGATCTGCACTAACCCCAGGTAGTCAGGCTCAGAAATGCAGTGAAGTGTAGGGCACCCAGGTGGTGTCCAGTAAGTCAGAGAACTGGCTGTTGTGGGGAAAACACAAACACACGGTGCCAGAAGTGTGAGTAGGAACAGGTCATGACTTCCCACTGCACTGCCCCCCAAGAAGGGCACGAATAAGGGGTCACTCTTTGTGGAAGTCAGAGCACAAGACGCAATGATTAGCCGTAAGGGTGGGCAAGGGTCACCCTGGCTGATTGCAGCCAAGCTGGAATTCCAAATCCACAGGTGTCACGAGAAAGCCTTTTTTAAAAAGATACTTGTTTATTTGGCTTCACTGAGTCTTAGCTGCGGTGTGTGGCCTTAGTTGCTCCAAGGCATGTGGGATCTAACTTCCTAGACCAGGGATCAAACACACATCCCCTGCATTGCAAGGCAGATTCCTAACCACCAGGTAAGTCCCGAAAAAGCCTTTCTGAAAGGGAATTTTCAGATGCTGTCATCATTCTACAAAGTGACACAGCCCTGTGTATCACAGGTCTTGACTCTGTCACAGGGAAATGGGTGGGAATGCTTCCCCCAGCCTCTCTCTGTTTTCTCAAGAGCACTCTTATCTGAGTAAGAAATTGGACTTGCCTTATCTCTGACAATGCCCAGGAAAAGAAGGGTCAATGAGAGAATCCGCAAACATTCAAAAGCAAAACCTTGGGGCCTGACTCTACTCCTCCGATCTGATTTCCTGCTCTGACCTCCCCTGATGGGCGTCCTGAAGTTTCCTGGGAATCAGAAGTCTGAATATTGTATTTAGCTTATCTCCTTGGTACAACTGAGGGATGGGGCTGCCGCACAGGAAACCCAGGAACACAGCCATGCTGGGGAGCCATGAGCCCAGGGGGGCTGGAGGAGGAGCCGAAAGGATGAGCTGCACAGTGACGCTCACCCAAGCCCTGCCCACAGGTCCCTGAGAAGACCAAGTTCTGCCAAGAGGACGCTTAACATTCCCAGCCACTTGGTCAGCAAAAGGCATCCAGACAAGCCACTCGCCACCACTGGACGCAGCAGGTGGGCGATAAAGGTTTGGGTCATCTCCTGCAACTTCTAATTAGCTTGATTTCATAGGGATCCAGGACACGTGTGTATGTGTGTGTGTATGTGTGTGTTAGTCACTCTGTCATGTCTGACTCTGTGTGACCCCATGGACTATATCCCACCAGGCTCCTCTGTCCATGGAATTCTCCAGGCAAGATTACTAGAGGAGGTTGCCATTCCCTTCTCCAGGGATCTTCCCAATCCAGGGATTGAACCAGGGTCTCCTGCATTGCAGGCAAATTCATTACAGTCTGAGCTACTGGGGAAGCCAACTCATGTGGCAGGTACAAAATAGAGGTCAGGCAGTTGTGAGTTTGAGTTTGTGAGTTGTGTGTTTGTCTCTATCTTATAGCAGCTGTGTGACTCTGGGTGAGTTACTTAACCTCTCTGAACCCGTTTCCTCTTTTGTAAAATGAGAATAAATTGCACCTGCCTCATAATGAATAGAAAACATCATGTAACTGACTGAAAAGGGAGATGTGTCGGGAGGAGAGCCAGGGTCATGGTGGGGGCAGCTGGAGGGGAGGAGGCAGAGGGAGAGCTGAGTGGACAAAATTTGCCGTAGATGGAGTTGGGGCTAAACAGAGGAGAAAGTAAAAGGCAGAGATTGTATTGAAACTTTTCCTAAGTGGATTTTACAGGGTGGAGACAGGATAGAAATCACTGGGTGGCCTGGTGTTTCTAGCTCTTGCGGTGCTGTGCCCAGTCGCACAAGCATGTCTGACTCTTTGCGACCCCATGGACTGTAGCCCACCAGGCTCCTCTGTCCGTGGGTTTCTCCAGGCAAGAATACTGGAGTGGGTTCCCATTTCCTCCTCCAGGGGATCTTCGCAACCCAGGGATCAAACCCAAGTCCCCTGCGGCTCCTGCATTGCAGGCAGATTCTTTACCACTGAGACACCTGGGAAGCCCTTGGATCCTGCCAAGGTCTTTGGCTCAGGCATTCCGGAAAATTCCAGAAATTTCTCACTTCAACTTTAAAGAATTATCAAGCCCGTCTTCCTCTTAATTTTCCAAGGAATCTGCGTCATCTTTGTTTAGTCATCCATGACCTTGCAGGTTTCACAGCTCACGCAACCGTAACCCTCTGAGCAAACAGGTGACGGGAAGCAGGGTGAAAGCTTTGCCCAGTTGCAGCCTCACGTTTCACTGCTGGGGGCCTCTCCTGGCTGGCCGGAAAGGAGCAGTTTAGCACAGCTGGTTCTGCAGCTGTAAACGGGGGTTGCAACCAGCCTGCCTGTCCAGGTGAGGAGAGGCTGCCTGGCTACGCGGCCCTCCCTGTTTGGAAGGGAGGCTGCACCTCTCCACTGGGAGGAGGGCAGTGGGTGTGGGGGGACGCTCCCTACCTGGACAGTCCTCGTTGCTGCAGACCCACTGGCTGTTTCGGCAGATGCTGGTGGAGAGAGAAGAACGGGTTGTAGGTGGGTCTGCAGAGGCAGGCATCCATGAACGGATTTGGAGAGGGCATCACCACCCCACAGCCCCCCAGGAGGGGTATGGGAACAGAAAGGCACCCAAATCAGAGGGGGCTTCAGGAGGTGAAGGGGCTTCAGCCACAGAGGAATCGTGTAGACAATGCTGAGATAAGGGAGCAAAGCCTGACAGACAGACAGAAGAAGGAAACCAAGGGAGTCCACCCAGGCATGAAGCAGTTGAATTTCTACCCTCTCAACACACCCACCCACCCACCCACACACACACACACACACATGCACACATGTACACACATACACAATACATACATACACACACAAACAGGCACAGACACAAACACATGTGCGCACACACATATATACACACAATACACACACATACACATATAAACACACATATACAAAATGCACACACATACACACACATATTGCTGGTGGAAGACCGAAAGGGTGGGCTCTGACGGGGTAACGCCCTGACCCGTGCTGGGCAGCCCTGGAGACTCCTGGAAGACAGCCCGGGAGGGAAAGGCAGCCAGGGACAAGGCCTTGAGGTGTTCCCCTCGCCTGTGTGCAGGGGGGGACACCCAGAGGGGCTTCTGGAAGAAATAGCTTGAGAGAAACAAAGGCAACAGGGAGAAAGAGTCGCTTATTAAAGCATGGGTGGGGGTGCGGCTAGACACGCTGTTTGCCCCTGGAGCGGCCTTCCCCCCAACCCCCCTCCTCCAGGCAGATCTGTATATAATCCTTGCTCCCCATCATCAACCTCCACAGCCTTTCCCAAACCACCTCCAGCCCAGGCCTGGTCCTGCTCCACCTGCTGGTGCCCCGAATGCCCCTGCTGGCCCAGCGGCCCCTCCCCAGCCCCTAGCAGCTCCCCAAACCTGCACGGCTCAGCCCCAGTTACCAGGTGTTGCAGTCTCGTGAGACGGAGGCGCCTGGAGGGTATGTCTTTCCAGCATGCACACAGGGGCACTCCGTACTTTCCACGCAGCGGCCTTCATCCAGGAGCTGTCCCTCTGGGTCAAGGGCAACAAGACAAAGACTCAGCCTCGTCACCATCATGACCCATCTTGCAACTACAGAAGCCCATCTTGCAACCAAGAAGGTGGTCATCTGCTCAAGGCTTCTTGCAGAAAGCTCAAAGGACTCATTCTACGATGCTGATCTTTCAGTTTGCAAAGTGAGGGGTTGGTTAGGGGGCCGGGGGGGCTATTTATCTCCACTCTAGTGATGAAGCAATGGGGGAAAGTTTTGTTCAAGGCCTTCCAGAAAGGAAGCCATGAGTCTAGGCTGAAGGCTTCTCCCAGAAAGCTCAAAGAATTTCTCATCTATCTTGCACAGAGGTGGGGGAAGATTGTTCGTCTCCATGCTATCAGATGAAGACATGGAGGCAAATGTTTCATTCAAAGCCCTCCAGTAGGCAAGTCACGATGGAAACACACAGGACTCACTCTCAGTAATTAGCCAGGACTTTTCACCAAAGCTCACGAGGTCTTTCCTGGAAGAGACTCTTTTTCAGCTGAGCTCACATGGCCAACCCAGGACAGAGTTTAGACTGTCCTTCTCCCAGATCACTTCCTGATTCTTAACCCAGAAAACACTACAGGTCAGATAGAGCCACGAGCCACCCTCTCCCCTGAACAAAATCACTGTTGGAGCCCAGACCACCCTACTCCCCAGACACACATGTGCTTTCGTGGATATGGTACAACAGGAAAACATAAATTAAAAATAAATGCCAGCTTAATTCCGGCCACTCTGTACAAAGACTTTTTAAAAAGTAAATAAAGGTGAAGGAGTATTTTGGGCCTAGAAAAGAGAGCTGCAGTCTCAAAGGCCCCTTGCTGAATCATCTAACTTCGGAGAAAACAAAACAGAATTTTAGTTCCACCCTGATGCTCCAGGCCAGTTGCATCTATCTGGGACTTATCAACCCCTGTCCAGAAACCTTGCACCCCCTACACCTGCCCAGAAGACTTATCACCCCCTGCCCAACTACAAATGTCATCTCAACAAAAGAATACTCAAAATATCCTGCCTGATTGACATTTCCCTTATCGCTTCCACAAACCTCCTTATAAGTATGAAGCCTCCCTGATCCCTCTCGGCGCTCAGCCTGGTCGTTAGGCCGACTGTCGCCCCTCCTTGCCTGAATAAAGGTAACCTACTTCTGTTGAGGTCGTCTTTCCTTTTCTGCCTCGCTGGAACTATGCCCTACATTCCTGGTGCCGAAACCCGGGAGGGGGCGAGGCACTCGTTCTCACTCTCTCTCACTCTCCCTCCCTCTCATTGTTTTCCCCTTTTCCCCGGCAAATATCCTCGAGCTCACTTTTCTGCCAGGGCTCTTAATTCCCCACCTCCCAGACTTGGAGAGTGGAATGTCCACAGAGACGCCCTGGCACATCTGAGGGGATCCCCACGTCTCCCCAGAACCCCAGCCCAACTCTACGAGAGTTGTTCCAATGACAGGGCCCAGGTTCCAGCCCCCCAGCCTGTGTCCTGAACACGAGCTCAGAACTTAGGGTAGATGGGGCAGTGGCTGGAAAAAAGACCTCTTTTATAGTAGACACTGGAGCCACTTTACCTCTCTTAACTTCCTACTCTGGCCCAACTCAAGACTCAGATATCACAATCAAGGGGATCTCTGGAGTTCCCCTAAGGCCAAAAATTAGCCCTCCATTACTCTGTCAATTTGGAAAATCAACCCTTATACACTCATTCCTCATAATGCCTCAGCGCCCGATGGCACTCCTAGGGAGAGATTTGTTATCCAAATTGGGGGTCTTTATTACCATACCCCCCTCGATACAGTCTCTATATTCTGCATGCAGATGGCACCTGGACTGTCCCTATAGCTCAGCTCACCCCTGACCTTCCCTTGGATCTACCCACCTTAGNGAAAAGAGAACAATAGTCTCAAAGGCCCCTTGCTGAATCATCTAACTTCGGAGAAAACAAAAGAGAATTTTAGTTCCACCCTGATGCTCCAGGCCAGTTGCATCTATCTGGGACTTATCAACCCCTGTCCAGAAACCTTGCACCCCCTACACCTGCCCAGAAGACTTATCACCCCCTGCCCAACTATAAATGTCACCTCAACAAAAGAATACTCAAAATATCCCGCCTGATTAACGTTTCCCTTATCGCTTCCACAAACCTCCCTATAAGTATGAAGCCTCCCTGATCCCTCTCGGCGCTCTTGCCTGGTCGTTAGGCCAACTGTCGCCCCTCCTTGCCTGAATAAAGGTAACCTACTTTTGTTGAGGTTATCTTTCCTCTTCTGCCTCGCCGGAACTATACCCTACAAAAGGGCCTCTGAATTCAGCGATGAAACACAAGCAGCCTTCATCTGGCTCCTCCGAGCCAAGGGCGCTGGCGAGGTCTCGGGTTTGTAAATAAAGTGGGACATGGGTTACCAGGGCAGCTGCAGCCATCCACACACTGCTCCCGACACACTTCGGTGATACTCAGGCTCCGGCAGGTCCTGTGGCATGGAGACACACATTCCTTGTACTCCATGCCCGCGGGGCAGTCCGGTCCTGAAATGGAAAACCCAGGAGTCGCCCTGGAGCCAGTCCCCTCCAGGCAGCATCTCACAGGCCCCATGATGCTCAGAGCCCTTGAGGCCCCTTTGTCTGGCCCCTCTGTCTTCAGGGCCCCAGGGGCCATCTCCACTTCAATGGCACCCCAGTGGTCAACGTCACCTCCCAGGCGATCCGCTGACCACTCCTACCGTGAAGGGGCATCTTCCACCTTGTGGGGCCTGGTTAAGACTCAGCAGGGTCACCTGGCACCACCATGCTCCCCCTCAGTCACCTGATCCCCACGAACATCTGGCCACTTGTTTGCTTCTCTGTTTTGTCCTTTTCACCTAAACTCCTCTCCGGGGGATGCCAAATGCCTCCAGGCTGAAAATGCAAGACCCCCGAGGCCACACAAGCCAGAACTGGCGTCTTCCATCCCATCTCTCCTCTGAGGGCTCCTCTTCCTCAAGAACTTGGGCTCGGGACTTCCCTGGTGTCCAGTGGTTAGGGCTTCGCCTTCCAATGCAGGGGTGTAGGTTTGATCCCTGGTCAGGGAGCTAAGATCTCACATGGCCAAAATAAAATAAAGCAGAAGGAATATTGTAACAAATTCAATAAAGACTTTAAAAATGGTCTACATCAAAAAAAAATTTTTTTTAAGAGATATTGGGTTCAATCAGACACCCCACCCAAAAATGGGCACACAGCATCTTCCAGGCTAGGGGATGGTCATTCCTATCTATGTCCACTGAGTGGCAAGACAGCCCTCAGAGCTCATCACCTAAGCCTCTGTTCCCACTGGACCCAGCCCTTCATAGATAAGGACGGCTCTCCTTTCTCTCTCTACTGGCTGCTGACTGATGCTCAGGCGGAAGAACCAGAAGGACCGAGCCTCTCCTCCAAGATACCTCAGTCATCTGCCCCTCCTACTTTCAAAGACCTGAAAAGACAGCCACTCCCACTTCCAGAGGCGAACCCAGCGGTCAACAACCACCCTTCTCACACCCCCACAGCAAAGATGAAAAGCTCTAACTTAGAAGCTGGAAACACACACACACACACACACACACACACACACGGAAAGGCGTGTGTGTGGTGTAAACATTCGGACAGCCTGCCCTGCACCACCAGCCAGTGTGGTCTACAGGAAGCCTGCGGGGGGGAAGGGCGGGGGAAGGAGGAGGAGGTGGCCTGCAAGCTCCTAGTTCTTCACGATAATTTGGGAGTGGTGACAATCACGATGACCAGGGACCCAGTGAGATTAGACGACTGGGTGCGGGGGAGGGATAGAGAGTACTGGCCAGAGGAGAAAAGGGAGGCAATAACAGGCAGGGACTTGAGAAAAGTCTGCCAGGATGCCGAGATCACCGCCCTGCTCCTGGTCAGTTTCAGACTTGAACGGATGAGACCCCCGGCAGAGGTGGGGAACAGCTTTTGAGTCCAGAGATGGATTTTTCTCACGAGGAAGTGGGGAGGCCGGGCGTGATAACAAGAGGCAGGAGAAGCGATATGGGGACTTTGCCAGGGGGACCTTTCAAGCCGTTAGGGAGGGGATTCGCTCTGTGAGCAGGTGACAGGGGCAGGAACCGGGGCGTCAGTCAGCACTGGCTAGCTGGGGTGGGACACCCAGGACGGGCCCCGCCCACCCCGTTGGGAGGTGGTCCCGCGCAGACTCACGGCAGGAGCTGTGGTCGGCCCAGCCGTCCAGCCGCATCCCCTGCTGGGCGCAGGCGCGGGCGTACTCCAGGAGCACAGGGCAGGGGCACCGCAGCCCCTGGGCGCATGCGCACAGCATCCGCTCACACAGGGCCACGAAAGGCTCGGGGTCCACCAGGGCGTGGCAGCGGGCGAACACGGAGGCCGTCTTCAGAAGCTGGCACTGCTCCCACAGGCCCTGCGGGAAGGAGAGGCCACCTAGGAAGGCTGCCACCCACGCGGCCGGGTGTCCCCTGACCTCGGGGCTTGGAGATCCGCCACGCCCGGAAGTCCAAGACCGCTCTCTCACACCCAGGAGCTGCTTGTCCACATCTGTCAAACGAAATATTCCAGCAGTCCATGGAACTCTGTCGGACCCCTTCTTGGTGGGGCGCCCCGAGGCCAGGGCGACCTTGTGAACTGAGCCCTGGAAATGCAGATGCCAGGGACCTGGCCTGCAGCGGCAGACAGTGTCCTCTGAAGGGCAAGGGCAAAAAGATTCTGTGAGTGAAAGGAGCTGAACTTGAAGTTCTTGTGAAAATCCACCAGAGGCTGTGGATCCGAGTGAGGAAGGCCAGGCATCTGATCCGCACCCACCTGGTCACCTCCCTTCCCTGAGTTTGGTCCCTCCATCAGAGATGAGGTTTACAAAGCAGACCCTCCAGGCTTCACCACCAGAGACTTAAACTCCGTGTGTCAGGGATGAAGCTGAACAAACATTTGCAAGATGGTTCCTGGGATGGACCAACTGGACCAGTTCCCATCAGCAAAAACATGCCAGGACTCTACAGAGTATCCCAGGGGTGCTGCCAGGTTAGGGATGTTCCTAGGTTTTATCATTTTGTTGACAACCTAAACCCCATAACACAAGCAGGTTTGGAACTGTTCTCACTAATGTTTCCTGGACACGTTAGTATAAACACCCTTCTCTGTAAGTCATATTTGTGAGCATCTCCACATTCTGCATTTTGGTAATTTTTCTCAATAACATGCATGCCAAGTCTCTTCGGTCATGTCTGACTCTACGGCCCTATGGATTACAGCCTGCTAGGCTCCACTGTCCATGGGATTCTCCAGGGAAGAATACTGGAGTGGGCTGCCATCTCCTCCTCCAGGGGATCTTCCCGACCTAGGGATCAAACCCACATCTCTTACATCTACTTGCATTGACAAGCAAGGTTCTTTACCACTAGTGCCATATCAGAGATGTTAAGTCATGAAAAAAAAAATGCGCTGGTAATTTTTAAATGCATTTATTTCCCCACAATTTAACATTTCTGAAATCAGACCACATATTAAAATCAATATTGCACTTTGTCTTCAGTTTGACATGCGGCAGTATTGTTGCTATAACCGATGCCCACTGGGTACACAATTCCCTTCCTGCACAGGCATGTTCCCAGAGTGAAGGGAAGCCAACTGTTAGTGGAAGGACTTCAGCTAAAATGAAGGGAGTACAAGAAGAAAGAGCTGAGTCCTGGAGGGTCAATCAGAGCAAATCAGCTATCATAAAAGGGATGGTGAAAAAGAGCGAACAAGTGACCAGTTTTCAGGAGAGAGAACTCCAATCTGCTCTAAGTGTACAAGGACGATCAGAGCAAGGCTGTTTACATCAAGAAACAGGAGCTAGCCGCGCGGTGTCTGGAGGAATAGAAATCTGACCCAGTGCTCCTTACCACCTGGGAGAGCCACCTGGGGAAGCCCCAGGGTCATGCGGTGGCCCTGGGGAAATGTGTGTCCTGTCCACGGTGCCCTGCCCGCAACCAGCCTGCAGAGTCTGCCATCAGAACCAGGCCCCTCATGGCCACCGGCCCTGGAGAGGACCCAGGGAGTTCCAGGGCCAGCCGGCCCAAGCAGCTGGGCGTAACTGGTTCCTTCTGCACCTGAGAAAAGCAGCAGTCACATGGCCTGCTAAATTGCAAAGCTGCAGCAGGCAAGCTGAGAACTTGCTGAGAGGTTGCTCTCTGCAAGCTGAGAGCTGTGGCTGAGAAGGAGGGAGGCTGAGCCTCGCTCCCTCCATGACCCCACCCTCCTGAGCTCTCCCCCGCACCCTCACATGGCAGAGAAAAAGCAGAGGCTTAAGAGGCTGGTGGTGGGGATGGGGACAAAGCTCATTCTTCCATGGAAAAGGGCATCCTGGAGCAAAACGGGACACCAGCTGCAGACTCTGCCTCACAGGTGGACACGTGGAGCAAGCGGCTGATGAACAAAGATGGCCGCCTTGGGCCTGTGTTGCTGAGGTGATGACATGCGCCTTTCCTTTACCACCTGAGCGCTTCAGATGGGGGAAACTGAGGTTTCTGAAGACAACGCCAGCAAGAGCCCTGCCCTGGATCTAATATGACGTCACAGCCCCAGGCCCAGCTTCTGCCTCTTCACTATGCTGGCTGTGTGACCCTAGCTGCTTACCTAACCCCACCCCCTTTGTGGAGGGGATAATAACAGTGCCTATCTGAAAAGACTATGTCAGACTGTGACTGCACCAAACCATGACTTGGACCGTGAAAAGTCATAAGTCAGAGCTATGTTTTCTCCAGTAGTCATGTACAGATGTGAGAGTTGGACCATACAGAAGGCTGAGCGCTGAGGAGTTGATGCTTTTGAGCTGTGGTGTTGGAGAAGACTCTTGAGAGTCCCTTGGACAGCAAGGAGATCAAAGCAGTCAATCCTAAAGGAAATCAATCCTGAATGTTCATTGGAAGGACTGATGCTAAAGTTGAAGCTCCAATACCTTGGCCACCTGATGCGAAGAGCTGACTCATTAGAAAAGACCCTGATGCTAGGAAAGATAGAGGGCATGAGGAGAAGGGGCGACAGAGGATGAGACGGTTGGACGGCATCACCGACTCAATGGACATGAGTTTGAGCAAACTCTGGGAGATAGTGGAGGACAGGGGAGCCTGACGTGCTGCAGTCCATGGGGTCACAAAGAGTCAGACATGACTTAGCGACTGAACAACAACAATCTGAAAAGACCAAAGTGAAGACTGGATGGAATAATGCATCCTAAAGGTTTCGCATTAGAAATGGTGACCCCGTATCACCATCATCATTGTCACTGACATGGATATCCTGGCCACCAGAGAGAGCCCTTCCACTGTCCTTCCTGCCATCAGGCTTCTCTTCAGAATAGTGAACAGATCACCAGCAAGACGGAAATATATCTTTGTCCCTTTTCCCGTCTCCATCTGCCTGGATTGTACAGGGGTGAATGGTTGCCAAGGCAACACTATCAATTCACTAGTATCTTGGGGGTTCCCTGGTCAACAGAGGGCTGCTCTTATTGATCTTTCCTTTGAGACAGTCCCAGTCTTCCAGAACAAGGTAGGTGTCTTTCCAGTGGGGAGTGGCTGGGGGAGGACCCCACTCTTCTTTCTAGTAGACAGGTCTAAGAATCTCCATCCTCACTGGCACCTGAGACTCAGGGAAGGAGGCTGAGGCTTGTGTCTGTTTCTTTCCATCCTGCCCCACTGCCTGGCCCATCAGAAATGCCACTCAGGAACTTCCCTGGTTGTCCAGGGGTTAAGACTTCACCTTCCAAGGCAGGGGGTGCAGGTTCCATCCCTGGTTGGGGAACTAAGTTCCTCTAAGCCTCACAGCCAAAACACCAAAACATAAAACAAGCAATATTGTGACAAATTCAATAAAGACTTTTTTTTTAATGTGCTATGCTTTAGTCACTCAGTCGTGTGTGACTCTTTGTGACCCCATGGACTGTAGCCTGCCAGGCTCCTCTGTCCACGGGGATACGCCAGACAAGAACACTGGAGTGGGTTGCCATGCCCTCCTCCAGGTGATCTTCCCCACCCAGGGATCAAACGCAGGTCTCCCGCATTGCAAGCAGACCGTTTATTCTATGAGCCACCAGGGAAGCTCTTTTAAAAAGGGTTCACATTAAAAAAAAAAAATGTGGAGGAGGTTACTGCTCTCTTACAGGGCAGTCGAGGGCACCCTTGGGGTAGGGGCAGGAGCTTGGGCACTTGGCAACCTCTTGCCACACACACAGTTTGGAACCAGAGGGAAAAAACCAAAGGCAACTCCATGGGGTTTTTCTAGTGGTTGCTCCCATTGCCTGGGCTGTAGGATAGTGGCTTCAAGCAGTCCCTGCACCACATGACCAGCTCCCAGGCACAGGGACCAGGCCCCTCGGCGGACACAGAACCAGTCAGAGGAAGGGAGAAACCCAGGAGTCCAGGGTCCCCTCCCCCTCTCAGAGCCCAGGGTGGGGGAGCAGGGTCCAGCGTGGCTCGTCTCCAGCTGGCCCACCTTCACCCCTGCTCGAAGGAAAAGTGGGAATAGTACTCCAGCACATTTCCTGGGAGGTCCCTGGAGGTAGTAAATGGTTTTCAGAAAGCCTTAGCAAGAAGGGTGGGTTCTGATCACTTGCCTGCAGGAGGGAGTGGATTTCTGCAGAAACGGCCACCTCCCTTAGAACAGTTCCTGAGGCCTCGACCATCTGCATCTAAAACCTGCCTAGGCTTTCTTTCTCAGAGAAAAGGAAAAAGCTGTCCTCTGGTCAGCCCTGGCCTGAGCTTGGTCATGAGAGTGACCACAGTGTGAAGGTCAGGGAGGATTTTCAGATGCCTGCCAGCTTTAAAGCCCAGCTGGCCTTATCCCACGATGGTAGCACAGTGGCACACCTGGCCTGCCATCTGCTCCTTCCCGGATTCCCTGATCCATCACCCCCATCCTGATTCGTCCCAGGGCACACATCCTGATTCGTCCCAAGGCACTCCATCCACTGTAGGGTTTGGTGAGCAGGCCCGGGTGTTCATGCCTATTACCACGTGCCCTCATGGAACCCAAGTTATCCATGATGTAGGTGTGCTTTGCCTGTCTCCTTGTCCACGGGAGCTGGACATAGTCATGCCTGGCAGTGTTGGGTGGGTCAGGAGGACACAAGTTCCTGGGTAGCTGAGCACCCCTGCCAGACAAGGCCAGGCTGCAGGCAGGATACTTCCATGGACACGAGTCCAAGGTGGAGCTGTTGTGTCCTCTGAGAGCCATGGAGAGACAGGAACCAGTAGGAAATGACCATATGGTTGCTCAGCAAACATTGGCTGTGTGGTCAATAGAAAAGTCAAGTCTAAGTCCCACCCCCACTTGGAGGGCCGAGTCCCAGCATATGAGGGAGGCAGGGAGGCCTGGCCTTCCATGGCCTGAGCCCAGCCTCCTTCTCTCGCTCCCCCTCCCCCTCCC